AATAGTGGGATAACACAGCCCAATCCTAGACTCACTAGATATCTTCCAGCAAAGATCACTAGAAAATAATCAGGAGCGGGAACCCTTGCTGATGTTTTCCTTCTTGATCCCCGGAGCTCCAAGGTCAATTATATCATATAAATTCTGCCCTGACCAAGAATCAAACCTGTACCTTTTGGCCTGCATGGACTGAACACAGGAAGGATGCCTTAATGTAGAATACACACTGGGTTCTTTTCAGAATCATCATGAGGAATGCGTTAGAAAGAGTGCATTTTATAGGTATTTATTATAACACCTGATGTATCAGAAACTGTGGTTACATTTGCTGATGGCTCCCATCAGTAACACCAGGCACGTGTGCTTAACAATGCTTAACTCACAGAGCCGACAGACATATTATTATTTTCATACAGTTAAATTTCCTATAGTTGTTGGCCTGAGTTTAAAAAAAAGTGATTTAAAATTGATCATTCACTTCATGGTTATTTGTGCGGCATTGGTGAGCACAAATTGAGGAATTGATTGGTTTCCACACAGGTCAGACATCTGGCTGGCTAAACCTTCTCCCCCACCCCCCACCCCCACCCCCAAACCCCAACAAATTAGTGGTTTTCTTCACCTAAGAAATACAGTCACTACACTCTACTGTAAATCCTGTGAAGCTCTTTGAAATATTTCAATGATGTGATGAGATGCTACATCAAAATTCAAGGATTATTTAACATTTCTCATGTTTATTCAGGTTACGATAAGCTTTTCAATCACGTATATATCTGTGGACATAACATATTCCCCTTGGAGTGATGAATACTTTGACGATCTTCAAGATAAGGTTACAAGAGATCCATCTAGTCAAGAACAGGCAAAGTATGCTATATATTACATAAAATTATGTCGACACAACAACACTGAAAAAGGCCATTCGGCTCATCTAGATCATGCTGGTGTTCATATTCCACATGAGACACCATCCCTCCTAACCCATTTCCCATAACCCTCTATTACAATGAGTCTAAGATGAGCTTCCTCATTAGTTCTTATTTTAGCTTTTTCTGGAGAAGACTAAACCAAATTTTAAATGTTTTCTCCATCGCATTGAGATTACCCATTTATGCCATCATACATTGCAACTCGATTGGTGTCATTGTGTGTTTAAACAATTCTGTTTTGCCAGGCATTTTTTATGGTGACATTATATAGAGAGCCCAGATATGACTGATGGATCTTTGAAAATGTCTGATTTTAATTTTATCGTCCTTTGGATGAAATATTAAACTGATATCCAGTCTGCCTGTTAAAGATAATAATAATAATCCTTGCATTTGATATAGCACCTTATCGTGTTGTTGAGGTATCTCAAAGTGCTTCACAGAATATATGTAAAGTGTAAATAGGAAAGTAAACATTTTTTTCAAAAACATACAGTTTTAAAGGATTCAATGGATCGAGACAGATAAGTAGGCATTATTGAAAAAAAAAGGGAGTTTCTCCCAGTGCCCAGTGGCCAACAATCCTCAAGATAAAATTGATAATTTACTTCATGGCTCTTCATGGGACATTATTGTCTGCAAATTGACTGCTGCATTCACCTACAAAATACACAGTCATAGTCACTACACTTTGCAGTAAACTTTATAGAGCAATTTGAAGCTTTGTCCTGACATGAAATGTGCTATACCAAATGCAAGGATTGTTTTTATTACTATTTGTAGGAGAATAGGATTAGATTGATTATTGTGGGGAAAAAAAACAAACTTAATGGATTGAAAGACCTGTATTTGTGCTTTAAAACATGTCAATATATTCATCATATTTATATTTTTCTTGTTCTTTAAGAAATACAGTGGCAGGACTGAAAAGGCTAACAAAAAAAATCTTCAACCCTTTAGATGGAACAGGTAAGGGAAGCAGAAACATTCAATAATTAGCACATCAAGTTAAAGTTAAGTTGTTGAAGTGAGAGAATTGAGGGCCTTGAAGAACAACGCCATATCATTGTGGAGGCAAGATGTGAGAGACGGAAGGATTGGCAATGTCAGAGGGATAAACAGGAGAATCCCCCAGAAACATGGTTAAGTGAAATCTGTGACAGACAATGTCCATCTTGTATCGGCCTGCATCGTCCTTAACACACCCAGCTCCCATGAACTTATGCTTCCTTCATTGTTTGGCATTCTCATCCTCAAGTATGAAGGACACCCTACTAACACATGAGGTGAAACATGTTCTTTTATGTTAGTTTATACTGCACAGTTTTGGTCAGATCGACAAAATTTTTGTAGCAATTCATGGCAATAAGTGCAGTATAAATTAGGATGATCTGGCAGTGAATCACGCTGGAGCCCGGCTGCTTAAGGAAATGGTTTTAGCAGCACAACAGACAGTGCTAACTGCCACGGGTTCTGCTCAGAAATGGCCCTCTAAAAATTATTGGTCGATGGTCAAGTGGATGCATAGAGGGTACAGAGGAGATTTACTGGGATAATAGTAGGGATGGAAAGCTTTCGTTATGATGAGAGAATAGAGAAACTGGTGCTCTTTTTACTAGAACAAACAATGTTAACAAAAGACTTGATAGACGTCTTTTAATTTAAATTAAACCACCAATAAAACACAATTAATATTAATCCTTGCATTTGATATAACGGCTTTTGTGTTGGGAGGACATCTTAAAGCTGTATAAAAAATGACAAAAAATAAAATATTTTTATAGCACCTATAATGGCAAAATTTCAGAAAACTGTGATGCTTTCTGAAACTTTTGACATTATGGGCGTTATAAAAATATCAATTCTTCTTTTCCATTTTTATGATTTATTTCCATTTCTGAATGAGGTGTAGACAACAAAATCCAGAATGGGGCACTTCATGTCCAGGGAGAAATATTCAACATCTGTGCCAGACAGCAGCGGAACCTGAGGAGAAGGTAAGTGTATATGATTGTTTTCAAATAAAAAAATCATAAGGTATATCTGCTTCTTTACCTGAGCCTTTCAGTAACCTGCCAGGGAGTCGACCTGGCTCAGCTAGAAGCACTCTTATCTCTGAGTCAGAAGGTTGTAGGTTCAATCTCATTTAGCTCATTACCCAGCCAGTGACTTTAGGCTGAAGCAAATCACGTTGTGTTTGCATTATGACAAGTTGTCCTTGTACTGGAACCTGTGAATGCCGTGCCACACAAGCTCAAGCACAACGAGCACAAACCTAACCCTTCAACCAAGGTTTTTCAATTGAGTAACAGCTCTCTAAAATACAGAAGTTCATAAAGCCCTCTTTGTTATTTCTGCATATAGCTGTAGCTAATTATATATACAAATGTAATCTTGTTGTTGTTGTAGCTAATTCCATTTGTAAAGATCAGAGTGCGATGATATAGTAGCATCTGATTGATTTTGCATGTAACACACACAATGGTTTATTATTGAAAGAATAATAGATTAATACTTCGGTTGCTAATTCTTTTCTTCACACAGTAAAACATGGGAACAATATTGTGCAGAAATAATACAGAATTATCCTCTACTCTAGTTTTACAAACAAGACAAAACCTAATCCCTGATTTACAGTCAGATCCTAGAAATTATCTCTGCTCGAATGCACTCTGTCATTGTATTACCAATAAATACCACTTACATAAGAGTGCAGTCCTCGATATCTCTGACATGATTAATTAGCCAGGGAGGGAATCACTTGTTTGGTCTCACACTTTAACCTTTCATTCAACATGAGTGTGACTCCCTCCCCCAACCGCCCCCCCACCCCGCTCACAATCTCTCATCTCCATTATGTCAAGGGACAGATAATCTGAAACAAAGATAGGTTTTAGATAATAATAGATAATAATAATAATCCTTGCATTTGATTTAGCGCTTGACATGTCTTCTAGTGCTTCACAGAATATGTTGTAAAGTGAATTGACCGTATATTTGTGGGCGAAACTTGGCATCCAATTACCCACAGCAGTATCCCACAAACAGTCATGGATTGAAGTGACCAATTTATTATTCTTTTTTTTTTGGAGGGATTATTATCAGGCGTGTGGAGTAAGGAAGCTTGCCCAAGGTTTCGCCCTGTACAGGAATTGAGCCCAGATCTCTCGCTTGCAAAGCGAGTGCTCTAACCACTGAGCTACAGGACTCCACAGTAGGAGAAATGATATTTTGGTGGGATTGAGTTTTTTTTGCTAAGACTAAGACTCCAGAGTAAAGGCACAATCCACTAGCAAGAATCTTTACCACAAAGTTTATATCAAGGGTTCATGCAGAGGGATCTGTTTTGCAGGTTGTAATTCTGTTTACCGGTGCTAAATTACATGATGGAGGGAATCCGATTCCTCTGTGCTCTCATCCTCTTTCAGTGGTTTACACATGGTTCAGTGCAAGATGCCCCCTGGTGTAACTAAATATTTCACCACTGATTGAAGAAGCATCTAAACAAGCAATACTGAAGAGAACAATTCCACCCTCTCCATATTACCCTATTAATAAAGAAAGCCATGTTATCAACACATCTAAATTGCAGACACAAAGGTCAAACATGAGGTTTAAATTTAGAAATGCGTAAATGATTCATCAGGAATGTACCCAGAATGTTACAGAAGTAGGTGTGCACATGTCCCACAGGAGACAGCAAGGAAAGCACAATGACTGTAGAAACACCTCCACCAAAGCAAACCGATCCACAAATCTCACAAATTGGACTTTCTGGAATGACTGCAAATAATGATAATATTTTCCTTTCTTTGAATTTAAACTCTGGCACCTTGAAACGTTAGAGAATTTGTTGAAAATAAAATTGACTTTCCGAAACAATGATTTGCTTTCTGCCTTTTTTTTAATCCTGCAGCCAACTCAAGGTCATCTCAAACAAAGAACAAAATAGCTTCAAACCTCAAAACTTCCAGGTAATTTGTATTTGTAATGACACTGGGAAGTGAAATAGCTCAAAGGTAGAGCAAGTACTGTTTCTCATAATTAATCCTGTTTATTTTTGCAAAGATGAGTATAACTGTGCATGAAGCCAGACAGCTACCTGGAATAAATATTGATCCTGTGGTGTACTTGGAGATTGATGGCAAGAAGAAGAACACATCCATACAGAAATCGACAAACTGCCCATCCTTCAATCAGGTAATCATGAAGTAGGATTGCAGCAGGCATATCTGTAATATTATATCACTATTTGAAAAGACAAGGGGGTTTCTCTCTCCTGATGTCCTGGCCAACAATCGACCAAATAATTCACTTCTCGGCTGTTTGTGGGACATTGCTGTGCGCAAATTGGTTGTCGCGTTTACCCACAAAAATGCACACTGCTTTACAATATATGTGTGAAACGCTTTGAGATGTGCTCCCAAATTGAAAGGCCCTATATAAAATGTGAGTATCATTATTTTGTAGCTGAAATTTCCATTCATGTGTTATTACAACATGACAGAGAAGCCATTTTATGTCTCTCTCTTTCTCTCCAATAATAAGCAAGACATCTGTAAAGTTTCCAAAAGCAATGCTATTGAGCAGGTTTTTCTAGTCTCCTATTCTCCCTACTGTTTAATGAATTATTTATCTTTTCTGAAATGAGAAAATAATGCATAAAGACTTTCAGACAGGAATATATAACCTTTTACATCATTAAATACAAAAATCTTTCTGGGAAGACTTCACCGAAGAAGCAACAACTGCCACCCCCGCTGTCTGTCAGCCCACAAACAATACAAAACATTAAAAATATAATGATGACAACGGGATTGAACATGGAGCATTCTCATTCACAAGCTAGGAAATAACTTTATGGGGTATAGTACATAGGTAGTTTGGGATATATGTTCATGCAACTCACCAGGAAGGTGGAAGATGAACTAGATAGACCTATGTCTTTTTTGTCTAGCATTTCTTATGTTGTTATGATCTTAAACTGGAAGTCACCGCTCTAATTATGAGCATTGTTTGTGGCTGAAATATTTGCGTGATTTGTTAACAAATTTGCTAAAATAATCATAGTTTCTCCCGCTGTCCTGGTCAATAATTACCCTGGTAAAACTGATCACTCACTCCATGGCTGTCTGTCGAACATTGCTGTAGGCAAATTGGCTGCCACAATTGCCTACATATATACAGTCACAGACTATGCAATAAATCCACAAAGCGCTTTGAAAGACATTGACGATATGATAAAGTGCTACACCCAATGCAAGGATTATCCCTGAGAAGAATGCAGTATCTTCCAGCGCTGTGCAGCTGAGAAGCCACATGATAATGTGAATATTCAACTGGACTCTGAATTTCACAAAGCTCAGCTGGTACAGCAGTGTGCTTCACAAGTGCAAAATATTCATTAATGCAGGTATATTGGTATTTTAATTAAAGCTGATTGACATTCTCACAAAACACGTTTGAGAAACCCTGACTCTCAAGCAATTTCAATAGTATTTTATTAGAATTTGTTAACCAGTTTTTCTTCAAAGAAGCTAGTCAGTTCTAGCACAACCTTTGTTGTCAAAGAGCATCGCAATTCCAGCACTCAGTCTGACCTCACCCTGCCATTGTCACTATGGTAACAGCCTTAGGCTATTCCAAATTGAAACGCTAATCTCCCTGACAGAAATATTCCAACCTTTCCAATGAAATAGATTACATTGATGCTGCTGTTGCTGCATCTCTGACCTTTTTTTAATTACTTTACCTTTTCACAGAACTGAAATCTCAAGCGTTGCTTAAAATACTGGCCTCCCACTTCTTATATTCCACTCCACTCAGTTATGTGCTAGGCTCCTGTTAGCCTGTTCAGAGGTTAATGTTTGAGACTCTTTGTGAAGTTCCCTCCAATGTGAAAAGTGCAATAAAAGTTGTGGAGTCCTGTAGTTCAGCTGCAAGCGAGACACCTGGTTTCAATTCCAGGCAGGGCAAAACCTTGTTTCCTTACTCCACACGCCTGATAATAATCCCTCCAAATCAATAATAATAAATTGGTCACTTCAATCCATGACTGTTTGTGGGACACTGCTGTGCGCAATTGGCTGCCGCATTTCGCCCACAAATATACAGTTAATGTGCAATTGTGTTAAAAATTGCTGATGACCCCAAATTGGGGCATAGCATATTATGACAAAGATTGCCAAAGACTTGAGGGGAGTGTAAAGATGGCTGATAGGGTAGCTAGGTAGCAAACACAGTTTAATATCAACTATTTGAAATAGTATATTTTGGTAGTAAAAATAAGAAAATGAAATGCTGTACATCTTAAATGAAAAACCTTTTAATAGAGGTCAGAGAGGGACCTTGGTCTATAGATCCACAAGTCATCAAAAGTGATAGCGCTGGGGAAATAAAGTCATAAAACGGCAAATTGAGTCATTTATTTTCTATATTGAGGCATACCATATATTTGCAAGTTCATGTTGAACTTATATAAGACCTTAGCCGAGTTACAGTTGTGTGCAGGCTTGGGCATTCATTAACCAAAATAACAAAACCAACCCTTGCAATTGATATCGCATCTTATTACATTATTGAATCTGGTTGTAATGTAGAATTGTCTGTTACTACTGGAGTTACAACAAAATGACAACAACTTGCATTTATTTACTCCCCTTCACTTACAGTGGATTGTGTCTTGGTTTGACGCTGAGCTGGAAAAGGAGGGGGAAGTGAAAGGCTTCAGATGTGATTTGAATATGGGCAAAGAGGGGGCAAGATTGAGGCAGGGAAATCCAGAGATTCGGGACATAGTAGCTGAAAAAAAGCAGCCCCAAAAATTATTATGACAGAATTAGATAGATGCTTGGAAGAAAAGAGTATTAAAGAATGTTGGGAGCAAACTAAAGAGTAGGATTAGATTAGATGGTTCATGTAGAACCAAATTGCCTGCTTCTGTGCTGTAACATAAACATCAACCATGTGGCCAAAGCAGTCAAGTGTAATCGCTGGCCTCGGAGTTCACACCCCCTCCCTCCATGATGATAACTATGGCCTGTTTTTTTATTGCAGTTTTGGTCGTTGTGATAATTATCACCAGTGATAAATATCACATGCTGCACTTTCCTCTCCAATGAATATATGAAATAATTTTCATGCAGTGTGATTTTAATTATTTTTTGTTCATCTTTATCCAGGATTTTACCTACGAGTTTTATGAATCGCCAGATCTGATGATGGATAAAATCCTTCAGATTTCAGTAAGTCCTGACTGACATCCTGGTGGGAGAATATAACATCTATTATGTATGTTGTTTACAGTTGTGCATTGTGACTTTTGTATGTGGATAATGCATCTCCTCTAATGTATCGAATAGGTGTTCAGCGCCAACAAAATCCCTTTTAAGAAAACTCTAATAGGAACATTCAAGATAGACGTGGCAACTATTTACAACCAGCCAGGTAAATGGATCTTAAACCTCCATCAAGCTGATGTTCTGGGGACTAGAAATAATGGTTATGTGTTAAACATGAAAAACAAACACTGTTACTTCAAAGCAAATCAAAATTCTTTGTGGAATGGGATGAAAATTAGCTCCATTTTGTGTCTAAGTACAGTTAGATACTGCAGGACTTTATTTAGTAGCTAACTGCAACCTATTTTAAGAATTCGGGGTTTGCGTCGCATCTGTTTTTTTTAATCCATCCCATATTTTGTTGCAGATCCACTGTCTGTTTTGCAGTGGATTGATTGCATGTTTGGGGTTAGACGAAGGTACTCGGTACAGGATATGATATGATTATACGTGAGGTAGCATCCGTGTTGCAGAGGGTAGTACAGTGAACAGTAGCGTAATGTATTGGAGTTGTTTGTCATAAATAATAATAATCCTTGCAGATGATGTAGCACCTTTCACATTGGGGAGATATCTCAACGCACTCTAGATGATTTATTATAAAATATTTTCACTGTGTATCGTGTAGTTGCATGTGACAGCCTCTGTAAATGACACCTCTTCTCATGACTAATTAGCTTAGCTAATCATTCCTCATTGCTCATCCCTCTAAAACTGAGGATCATCCTTATTGTTCTCCTCAGCACTACATCTCAGGTCTGAGCAGTCTCCCTATGTTATAGTGACCAGAAAGGTACACAGGACTCCAGGTGCAGGCTGCTCACAGCACTATTTCGCTTGAGAATGACTTCTAAGGATCTAGACTTTACCAATTCGGTAATGTAATCCAGTATCCTGTTTGATTTGCTTATTGCTGCCTCTGTTTTTGACAAGTGAACAATGAGTCAACCAACATTCCTAGATCGCTTTTAGCGTCACCCTTAGGAAGTTCTATCCTGTCCATGAAATACTTCAAGCCTTTCTGTTTCTTCTTACCATAGACCACATGTTCCATCACAAGTGGGCCATTTTAACAGACCTCCAGGACATCAAAGCAGCTATCAGAGGTTATGTAAAGTGTGATGTTGCAGTGCTACAAAAAGGGGACACAGTAGAAAGCTCCAGTGGGTCTGGGTCTTTTTCAAATTATATTGAAAGGTAGGTTTTTGCCGCTAGAACTTTTTTGGTTTTATTTCAATTATCAAATAATGTTTTATCTGGATTTCAATTGTGCTAAACAATGATAAGAATCCTTGCATTCATGATAATGAGTCCTGTAGCTCAATGGTTAGAGCACTCGCCTCACAAGTGAGAGACCTGGGTTTGATTCCCGGCAGGGCGAAACCTTGGGCAAGTTTCCTTACTCCACACACCCAATGATAATCCTTCAAACAAAACCAATAATAAAATTGGTCACTTCAATCCACGACTGTTTGTGGGACACTGCTGTACGCAATTGGCTGCCGCATTTTGCCCACAAAAATACAGTCAATTCACTTTACAGACTATTCTGTGAAGCGCTTTGAGAGGTCTAGAAGGCGTGAAAAGCGCTACTTCAAATGCAAGGATTATTATTATTATTGTAATGCATTTCACATCGGAAAAACACCGCAAAGTATTTATAGGATCCACTATACCTTGTAGCGACTGTGCATTTAGGAGGTGAACGTAGCAATCAAATTGCACACAGCAATGTCCTACAAGCAGCCATAAAATGAACCATAAATTTTATTTGGGGGAATTGTCTACACTCGGAGAAACTCTCGTCTCTTTTCAAATAGTGCCTATTCAGGTAGATGTTAATGATCCCATGGAGTTTGGAGATTGTTCTCATGGCTGTGGAACTTTGCTGTGTGCAAATTGGCTGTCACTGTTTTGTCTATAAATATAATGATTACAACAACAACAACAACAAGATTCCATTTATAGAGCGCCTTTCACGTTGGGAGGACGTCCCAAGGCGCTGTACAGTTGGGTCAGGACCCGAGCAGGGGGGAAATGGTCAGGGTGAGGGGAGGGAAGGGAGGGAGCGAGGAAGGGGTAGAGAGTCGAGAGGGGAGCTGACTGCACGATCAAAGAGAAGGGTCTTGAGACCGGCCTTGAAGGAGGAAAGGGAGGAAGCAAGGCGAAGGCACTGGGGCATAGAGTTCCAGAGCCGAGGGGCTGAGAGGCTGAAGGCCCGGCCACCGATGGTAGGGCGGTTGGGGCGGGGGATGTGGAGCAGACCGGAGCCAGAAGAATGGAGGGTACGGGCAGGTAAGTAAGAGGATAGTAGGTCAGAGAGGTAGGAGGGAACAAGGCCGTGAATGGCCTTGTAGGTGAGGATGAGGATCTTGAATTCGACATGCGACAATATGTTGTAATGTATAATATACATTTAAAAAGACAAATTCTTTCTGATTTCATGGTTGTAAATTTATTGAAGAGTGGAAAATATCTAGTAATATTGACCAGTAGAGATTATCTAGTATTAGTGACCAGCGGAAACTATCAAGTAGTAGTAATCATTGGAGAATATCTGGTAATATTGAAGGGCAGGGAATATGTGAATACTCTCTGTGCTATCGTTAATTTGTGGTTTTGTTGGATTCTGGATACTGGTCTTTTCCCTTTGATCCCTGTTGACTCATAATTTCTTTTGAAATTATTGTTCAACAAAAGCAAAACCCACAGTAAAGTAATCTAAGGAATGAATGTAACAGCAGTTTATGAGGATTTGGGGCAAAATTTGCAGAGTTTAATAATTATCATCACAATTAGCAGTGTTTAGTGTGAATCGAGCTTCACACTGAACCTGCTGTAATACACGTAATCAAAAAGCAAAATATTACAGATGCTGGAAATCTGAAATAAAAACAGAAGTTGCCAGGAACACTCAGTAGGCAGAATCTGTGTAGAGAGGAAAGTGAGTTAAAGTTTCAGGTCGAATGAACTTTGGTCAGAACTGGGGGATGTTGGAAGGGAGCAGATTATAAGGATAAGCAGAGAAGGGGGACAGGAAAGAAAGACAAAGGAAAAATTTAGGTGGAGGACAGAAGATGATGAGATCAGAGGTGTTGATGGTGCAAGACAAAAGAAAGCAATAAATGGGAGATTATAGAAAGAAAAGATGTGCCTGAGACCTAGAGGATATGTGAATGGTTATTGAAGCGGGGAGGGGGAAGGCAAGCATGAGAGAAGATGGGAGCTATGTTTAAGGTCTGTACTGTTCATTTAATATAAAGGTGCACATTTAAGCATTCATTTCCTTGCTCAGCATCGTTGTGTATGTAACTAATATCTCTTAATTTATTCCAGGAATCTCATGCTTCCTAAAGGGATTCCAGCAGAGCGATGTTGGTCTTTATGGAGTATTAAGATTTACAAGGCAGAAGGGCTTCCAAAGATGAACTCTGGAATCATAGCCAAACTGATAGGAAACAACATGGTTTTAATTGACCCCAAAGTGTGTGTAATATTTGTTGATCAGCAGGTAAACTCTGTGTAATACATGATGGGATAAAGTTTATCGTCTTTCAAAACTAACACTATTAGTTAGTTTTGAAACATTTGAAACATTTGTTACTATTGAAACATTCCAACATTACAGACATCACAAGATCACAAGAGATAAAGAAGGCCCTTCATCTCATTTGATCTCATCCTTCTGGAATACCCACCCCAACATCACAGTATCAAGCTGTTAGTTTTAAAATGGAAATTTTTTTCAAAAGTCACTTTATTGGTAGTTAAAACTAACTGTTTAAGTGGCTTGAATTCTCCCAGAATTGATCAAAAATAGCTGCGCTAATGAATGAATCTGGATAGCCAGGCCAAAACGTACACGTGAGCTGCACTCACACATTAGCTTGATGCTCATTAATGCACTAATGCAGTAATGCCACTGAACTGCAAGATTACATTGAAAGTGTGTTACTCAGGTGCTATCATTGAAGAGCTGTTCAGGGTGATCAGAGCCTGATATTACAGCATTTCCAATGTCATAAACACAGAAGAAAACAGCTAACATTAGAAAATGTAAATCAAAAATTGCCTTGCCCCTCATAATTTTACATCCGTGAATGTCTGTGTAGCCTGGTTATCAAGATCGCCTTGATTGAGTAACCCATGAACTGATACATTTTCCTGATAGACAAGTTGCTCTTTTTTGTCCCATTATGTGAGTTAAAGTCCTGATGTGAGGCTTGAACCCACAACCTTCCAATTCAAAGGCTAGAGTGCTACCAACACATTGTGCAGATAATAAAATAAATACATATTTGGCAATAAACAAAGCCTCCAATCCAAATGACAAAGGTTTTCTTTCTTTAGGAGGAGACATCTGTCATGAGATGTACGACCAATCCTGCCTGGAATGAAAAAATCACTTTCATGCAGCTTTTCCCACCATTATGTAGACGCATCAAAATCCAGGTGCAGGATGAAGCAAGCATAGGGGACACAGTCCTGGCTACACACTTCCTCACTCTAAATCAGATCTCTGATGATGGCCCAGAAGGTAATGTACCTTTTACACTAAAGCTATGAGGACATTTTTATTTGTTTAACAGAAGTCATATTTCCAAATCGTAAAACCAATTATGTCTGGGCCTTTATCTATGGAGCGGATGTTTGTAATCTGCACTACCTTTTTACCTTGTTTGAGAACTATTCTTCTGAGGCAGGGCAGGAGATAATATAAAAGGACTGTGAATGGTCTCTGGCATCTCAGCGAAGGAACCAGATCATCACATCCTTTTAGTGTATTACAAATTAATCGGGCTGTTGATTTTTAACATTTCACAATTTAAATCTTCATTAGATGTAGCATTCTGTTTTGTCCTAAGCTAGTGGCAAACCAAATGTAACTTGTCTTACATGTGCTGATGTGCTTTGCCACAGAGGTGAATATAACAAAGATTCGATCCTCAAACCCACATATTTTGAAATGCAATTTGTCAATAGGTTTTCTGCCAACCTTCGGCCCCTCGTGGGTGAATCTCTATGGCTCTGCTCAGAATTTTACAGTGAGAGATGAGCAGCAAAATGTCAATGAAGGCCTTGGCAAGGGGACATATTACAGAGGACGCTTGCTGCTGGCTCTAGAAGTGAGGACCCTGAGAACATCGACCTCTAAAAACAAATTGAAGAAGTCCAAAAATCTCTTCGGAAAAATCAGAAAAAAGTCAAAGCACAAACTGAAAGCTATCCAAGCCACTGAGGATGAAAATGACATTGAGAACCAGGAGCAGCCAACTTCTGTAGTGATAGAAATTGAAGACATTCATCCTCTTCCTGAGGTACGTAGGAACATAGGTACTGGAGGTACATTGGGCGCATTGAACCTGTGCCAATATTTTGTTACATTGTGGCAGCTCTTCCACATTTCTAACACTATTTCTGGAGGATTGTTGGCCAGAACCCTGGAAGAAACTCTTTTAAATAGTGTCATGGTCGATGTTAAACATCCACCTGAACAAGAAGGTAGGACCCTGGGTTAAATGGCTCATCTGAAAGACTACCTCTCCAAGAATGTAGCACTCTCCCCCCAATACTGCACCACAGCTTCAGCTTGGTCTATGATCTCAAGTGTCAATATAGTATTTGAACCAACAACTTTCTGGCCAGAGGTGAGAGTTCTACACACTCAGAGATGACCTCATAGCGATTTGTAACAGATAAAAGAGATTGAAAAAGTAAACCCAGAACAATCAGATAGCATGCAACAAGATAGTAGTACTAGAGGACACAGGTTTAAAGCACCAAATGACAATTTCTGCACAGATATTAGGAAGTATTTATTTACCTAGAAGGTAATGAGCGATTGAAACAGGTTACCAAGAAAGATGGTTAAGGCCTACACAGTGGACTCATTTGAAAAACAGCTTGATGCTTTAAGGAGAGGACTTTAGGATGACCATTCAGACATATAGGGTGGAGAGAGATGGCATCAAATGGGCACAAAAGGCCATTCAAATGATCTTGTGACTGTGTAAACTGACAACTCAGTGTCTCACTTAGCTCTCACTTTTCATAAGGTGAAATCCGTAAATGTAAAAAGATTAGTTGTCTGCTTAAGATGAAGCCACTTTATGTGTTTAAGTGAAGTAGTTGTCATCTGTGGTGTGGCAGAAGGCTACAGAATATAAGGAAAATCAGAGATGAGTGGTTCTCACACCACAGTTGTGGATCTGCTAGCAATTAACACATGAGCAATGTTGATTGTGGCCTGTATGTGTATTGTTCACCTTACCTTTCAGTATTCAGTAACCCAAGGAAGACTAAAAAATAATCTCTAACAAATATAATCTGACCTTCAAGATACAGATCAGATGGGCTGAATGGTCTGCTTCCAGGCACCATCATTCTGTATAATTCTCCAATGACTCAGTTGGTAAAGCCACTACCTAATTCTCACTATTTCCTGAGATATGCAGGAACATATACTACCTAGTGTGAAATTGGAGTGCAGGAAAGGTCAAGCTTCACTCCTGGTATGTGCTCAATTAGCTGATCTCAACCAGGGCGGTAATTGGAGTGGCAGCATTAGGGAAGAAAAATTACCTGCTAATGACTGCAATTGGGATGTCTCCTGACGTATTGTATTGTACTGATTTCTACCGAGCTAGAAAATATATTTGGATGTTGGGTGACAAGAAGACAACAACATGACACATTAAATACCCCAGTGAAAGTCAATACATCCAGACTGTGGTGTGTGTGTGTGGCGTGTTTGTGTGGGAGTGGGAGAAAGTGATGGTGATTGTGGTGTCTCTTATTGTTTTAGCTACAATGTAGTATCTGTAAATCATCATAATAATAATACTCCTTGCATTTGATATGTGCTGAAATGCACATAAGCAAGCAACTAGCTATTTTGCAAATCTCATCAATTAACCGGCTATTCACCAGTGAAATTGACGCATTGAATCCCATTTGAGAACATCACATATTAGAGCTCATTGAGTAAAAATGGTTTACATAGAGCTATGGCTAATATGTGAGATTTTATTATAATTTTTATATTATCATAATAAAACCATGAGAGTACAGTATTTTAGCAAAGGTTGTTTCTGGTTTAAACAACTCCCTCTGAAAGAAGATTGCTCTCCGAACCAACGCTACCCCACGTAAAGGGAACTATATAAATGCAAGATGTTGTTGTCTTTATTGATGATTACTTGAGGTTAGTAGTAAGTAATAAGGGAACACATGAGTAAAGGTTAATTGTGGTTGGCCAGTGGAAGCAATATATACATTCCTGGCACAAAGAAAAGATCATGATAGTATAGTATACTGCCTCATGATAGAAACGTTGTAATGGGGGCAATCCAATAGCACTCATCCTTTTATCTATTCATTCTTTACAAGTGACTAACACACAATGTACCCTGATTGAATGGTTATCTGAGCTAATACTGTAGTCCTAATTGTTCCATTAACAGGGCACCATTAACTGGGGCTATCATCAGTTATACATGGCAAGATGTCAGAATGACTAATGCTAGTGTTTCTGTCTTCAGGATTTTATGGGGAGTAAAAAAGAGTTTCTCCTCTTTGTCACATTTCTGGAAGGGACCATGATAGACAAGAGCCTGGGCTCAAAGCCAATCAGCTTCGAAGTGTCAATTGGTAAGACATCAACAAAGCTTTCCTTGCTAAAGTACCATGAACATTCATAGTATATCTCTAAGTGACCAAGTTTGGAGGAAGTATTTAAACAATGCAGCATTTAGAGCAAGTTGTAAATTCAGTTCCAAGTTTTTCAGCAGGAAAAGTCCTGTGATATTAGCTTGTTTTGCATTATTTTGCTGAGATAAAGCAATTCAGCACAAATCCTATAATCTGTATGCCTGTTGTGAAATAATTAGAGGTCACAGGAAACCACAGAGATAAGGTGGTGCAAAGCCATGGAGGCATTTAAACATAAGGATAAGCATCTTGAAGTTGATCCATTGAGGATAAGGAGCTAATGGAGCCAGACAAGGATGGGGATGATGCGTCCATGGAGCATAATGTGGGAGAGGCTGTGAGCTGCAGAATTCTAGATGGTCTGGAATTTGTGGAGAGTGGTGCTTAGGAAGCTGGAGACAGGTTAACCTTATCATTATTGACTTGGATTACTGTTGAATCACCTAGTTTTGCCAGAAAGGTTTTCTCGGAGACAGAGAGACTTATGTTTACCTTCTATTCCTAAATGAGGATTTTTTAAAAAAAATACGCTGCTGATTTTATTGACCTCAAAAGGATGGGTTCCAATTGGAAAACCCTTGAGGTGGGGGAAAGGACGAGGTGAAGCGGGGGAATTATGGTCTTGTTACAAGTGTTATTCTTTTCCAAAGGCAATTATGGGAAATTGAGTGCACAGACAGAGAAGAAAAAGGTAAAGGCCCGGGCGGAAAGTGAAGAGGCGGAACTTCTGCTGGAGGATGAGGAGGAGGATCAGAGAAGTGACACTGAAGAGACTCAGCCCTGTCACTCGATCACCCCACCTCATTACCCCATTGAAACTAAAGATGAAAGGTTAGTTTTTTCACATTCGTTGTACTTTACGCTCAAAGCATACCATTATTTTGGAAAATATCACAATAACTGACATTTGCTAGCTAGTGTGTCACCCAGTTCTGAAACACAACAGAAGTTGTTACAAGTGCTGAATACTCGCTGTCGCTTTAAAACCAGAGTAAAACCTGGCTCAGATATCGAGTTTCTAGAATCCAAAGCTTCAGATTCTGTCGTTAAAGGGAAGAAAAAAAACAACAACAAATAAACAAAATAACAAGTCATAGGTCAGAATTAAAAGCACAGATGCACTTGGCAGAACAAATGCTGGGAGTATCAGGGGATTTTGATGGGTGATTAAATAGAAAACACTATTTGAAAACAGATGAAAGGTGAAATGTGGAATTTGTTTCTTTAAAACGTTACATCAAGTGATGTGAAATGCAACTGAAGGAAAGAAAGGAAAATATAGAAAATTCTGGCTGAGCCTGAGGGAGAAAGGTTGATATGGCGTCAGCAGGTCACAGAGATAAGAAGGAGTAAGGCCTTCCTAAGGTGGGCGAGGAGGATTTGAAGGGATGAGGATTTTGAACACTCTCCTCTGTGAGGGTGTGGAGCCAGATGAGGGTGGGGGGGTGATACTTAGGGTCACAGAGGCTGGTGTGAGAGTGGACACATCCTGCAGAGTAAAGTCCACTTGAATAGGCAGACAGTACCTCATTTAATGTCTTATCACAAGAACAGTAACGTCCAGCACTGAACCGGAGTTTCAGCCTGGTCTGTGTGAGTTCAAAGTTCCTATGTGGGGCTTGAAAGTACAATCTTCTGGCTCAAAGGAAGGAGTGCCTCCAACTGAGGCAGGCTGATACCTAAATGCAAGATACTGTGTGTAGAAAAAATAAGATATCAACATAAATTCCATAGATGGGATAGATATTCCAAGGGAGAAGCTGAAAGAGATGTAGGGTTGCTGGTTAACTCACTAGTGACCATGTTGAAAGAGTGTGAGGCAGCAATAAACAAGGCAAAAAGGATGCTGGGTTATACAAATCAGTTGAGTTCAGATTAGTAGTAATCTTACTCAGCCTCTACAGTGCTACACCTAGAGTATTGTATTGCTACTAGAATAATGGAACTGCCCAGATCCTAGAGGAAAACAACGAGGATGATCCCCAGTATTAGGTACATGAGCTATGAGCAATGATTAGGCAAGCTCGGGCTCTTCAATCATGAAAAGAGAAGACTCAGAGGGGACCTACACAAGTACATCATATTTTAAATAGGATTTAAATTGAACTCAGAACAATGTTTCTGGATCCTCTGGGAAAGCAGAACAAAAGAAATAGGTTGATGGTTGCAAAGGGGAATTTCAGGCCACCACCCCAGGAAATATTTCTTTTGTGAGAGATAAATTAACATTTGAAACAGGTTAGCAGGGAGGGTAGTTGAGCTCAAGATGCTGGACTCATTCAAAAAACAGCTTGATGCTGTGAGGAGGATTGGAGGGTGGGAGTTCTGGAGAGATGGACCAAAGGACCACCTTTATCCCAACCTCTCTTTTGATCTTGTGACCCGTGAGCCAAAATTTGTAAGTATAAATCAGGGAAAACCAGCATGGTTTGTGAAAGGCAGACCAAGTCCCACAAAATAGTGATATAAAACCTTTTATACTCAACATTATTCAGGGCGTCTGCTCAGACCGGTTTCTTTTTTTTTGCCAATGTAACAATTTTCTACCTTCTGCATTTTGTCCAGATAAAGACGTCTCTGTAAAGCAACCCCCTCACAAGAAATAACAGCCATCTGTGTGACAAACCTGCTTCAGGTGGATGAGAGCTACAGTTTCCATAATGCCCTTGATTAATCTTGTGCTTGTGTCTCATAATGTGATGCAATCTAATTTGCACATTCTGTTTTGCAGCTTTTTCTATTGCATCCCATATCGAGATGAAAAACCCTGTGTTTCTGTTTGGAGCTTCTGGGAGGACCACTGCTGGAGGCTTCATGTCTCAAATGCAATCAAGCAGATCGCAGAGGTGTTGGTAAGTTGGTATTTCAATTTGCTGAGTGCTCCAACATACTATCCCTTGTAAAGGATGCTATATAAGTGCAAATTGTTGTTTCTGTTGTTGCTAAAATCCATTCATTGAAATTTCCGATATAGTTCTATTGACCAGGGTGTTATATATATTGTTGACTCCTGTCACTATTCTTCCTTAGTCATTGTGATGACTACTCTGCATCACTAGGCCAATGAAGACGAAAATCAGTCAGGGTTCCTCCTCATTTCTAGCAATACAACACCTTCTGAGAAATGCCAGTGCAGGTAGACAGGATTGGGCTCAGGAATAATTCCTCAGGAGGTGAATAACTAGTCGACATTCACTGGAGGTGAGGATGTGCTTGAACGGGAAATCTACAGTGTAAATGGGTAGCTTGTGTCAGGAATAGTACCTTGGGTATTAAAGCACATCTCCTGCCCGAACCCCTATGCATGTAAATCACACTGACTCACGATACCTCATCTTCAAGCCAAAGTCACCTCGAAGCAGATTTTTCACAGTTTGGAGTAACATATGTGAGATCCACAAAATCACATTCAGTCCACTTTATCTCATCCTAAACAAGAGATATAGTGTACACCCTGAGGTACTTTATCCAGCAAGAGACACCATTTGCTCAATGTTTTCCATTCAAGCACGTTTTCAACACCACTGACTAGGTTGTCACATGATGAGGTACGACAAAAGTGCTCTGGGGCGCTACCCTGCACGAGGGGCACTGTATAAACACAAGTTGTTGTTGTTGTTGTTGTAACTCAAAGCTACCAGCTCCGGTTGAATTGTGCATCAGTAAGAGTCAACAAAGGAAAGGATTAATTTACAACAATTTATAACCCCCAAGCCTTCAATTTATTGTCTTATAACTGAACTTTGAATCCATTGATTATGTGACAGAGTTGTTTAATGTGGGATGGATAAAATACAGAGCAGCCAGAAAATAAGACAAGATCATTAACGTAATTTGTAACACGGAAGACCTTGTGATGTTGGCTTATATTGCATTACATCCCAGAAAAAAAAGGACACGGTATAAATTCTGTAGTTTTTAGCAGGAAGAAAGGACTGAAGGAAATTAATAATTGCATAGTCTTGAAATCTTAAGTAAGAATAACTGAGAATAAGAGGCAATGTGACGAGTCTTATTTAGAACATAAGCAGGTTATGTGTCCTGTCCATGTACTGATGCTACATTTTGCCACATGAAATGGGAGAGGAGCTGAGGGGAAAAAAAAACACCTATTTGCTGCTAGCAGTGAGAGAGGTGTGAGTATTTATAATTTAGAGTTTGGTGAGTTGATGGCCATTCTTGAATGAAAATACTGGACATGTTGTTAAATGCATGTTGCAACACAAAGAAATACATGCATCAGGTTTATTTCCTTTTGGCAGGAAGAAGATATCCAGGAAGTTGAAAAGATGTTGAGAAATGAGAAGCCAGACACTGTGAAGAGTCTGCATCAAACCTTTGAAGCACTGAAAATAATGTGCAGGTCTGTCTGCAGCATTCGCTAAAGCCCCAAAACATTAACAGCAGCGGTCTGAGACAAGCACTTATTCTTAACCATTTCTTTCAAACCAATGATTCCTAAAGAACCCCAGCGATGCAACTTAAATAGTATTGTGGCACCGACTGGCGTTTTAAGGAAGATAGAAATGAGATCTCAGTGACCCATTTATTCGTTTAACTTTTGTCTCCAGGAATTAATTGGATGTTTGGGTGAGATCAATGATCTTTGTAAGTAGAAAAGCGATATGTTAACAGCAATTTACTCTTTGAGTTCACATCAATGTTACGTTTAATACCTTAATTTATTTTGTACTTTCATTTATTTGTAGTATTTTAATTGATATTTAGTACTTTCATTTATGTTTAATTTAAAATAATTTTGCTTTCTTGCTGACAGCCAGTTCACCACATTTTCTAAAAATCTCCTGATGTCAAGACCCACAGAACTGGACAGGAAGAGACAAAGATCACTGGACCTGTACTTAGTGAGTAATTTTCATTTTGTCAGTGGTCACAGAAGGAAGCAGAGAGCCACTGTTAGGGGAGCTAGGTCAAAATGGGGCGGGGAGGGGGGTGATATTACGACGGTGCCTCAAGTGTCTGTATTGGAAACTTTCCTATTCCTTATACAGTTTATTCTTTGACGATAAGGCACTATATCATTTGAAAGGATTATTATTATTATTATATATTAATCACCTGGATTCACAGAACCAATGTAAGGCAGATAAATTTGTGGCTTACACCAAGGTAGGTGGAACTGAAGAATCAGAGGAGGTAGCAAAGGTTTTACAAAGAGAGCTTGATAGGGTATATACATGGGCTAATACCTGGCAAATGCAGTTTAAAACAGATCAATGTGAGGTACTGCAGGCCGGAAGTAAGAATATGAAACACATGTACTCCATGGATGGGATAGAACTTGCCAAGGGGGAAACTGAAAGGTATCTAGTTGACTCTTTATCAAAACAATGTGAGGCAGCAAGGTAAACAGGATACAGGGCTATATGAATAAATCAGTTGCGTTTATATTCCCAGACATCATACTCAGGTTGTACAGTGCTCTGAACAGACCCTATTGCACACAGTCTGACACTGCAACATCATGGGAGTGTCCATACCCTTAGAGGCAGTGCAGAGGAGATCAAAGAAGATGATCTCCAGTGTTAAAGGAATGAGCAATGAGCAACAATAAGACAAGCTAGGGCTCATCAGTCTTGAGAGAAGACTTGCTCAGAGAGGACCTTGTAGAGGTATGCAGAGTTTTAAATGGGTTTGAAAAAATAAACCTAGAACAATACTTTCGGATGCACCAAGACAGTCGAGCAAGGGGACCCCAATTGAGTGAGGACTCTCTCACTCAATCCCTCCGCCTTGCCTCCTCGCTCCCTGCCTAAAGACCTTCCTTTCTGATCGTGCTTATGGTCACCTCCCTCCTCCCTCTACCCCTGGTTGGTTATCAGACTCCGCCATTGTGAAGAGCTCCGGGACACTACAGTACATGAACGGCGCTATATAAATGCAAGTTGTTGTTGTTTAGAGTTGCAAAGAGCAATTTCTGGTAAGATCAGGACTATGTAGTTACCCAGAGGGTAATTAACAACTGCAGCAGGTTGCCAGAAAGATTGCTTAAGGCCAGGACACTGGACTCATTTAAAAAAAAAGCTTGATGCTGTGTTAGTTGGACAATAGGGTGGATTTCTAGAAGGATGAGATCAAATGGGCTGAAGGGCTTTTTTTAATCCGAACGGATCCTTTGTTCTTAGATTATTTCATAGATTAAAATTAGAGCTGCTTTTAATTATTCTGATTTATTCAGGAAAACATCCTAACTAGAGCAGATTTTTCTTACATAATCAAGACACTTGTTAAAATTGGCCAAGTGGGTTGGCATGACAATTTGAAAAAACACTGCGGAAACTAAAAATGAACTTAATGATTTTAAAATTTAATAAAACAGGTTTAAGGTTGAAAATATCAGGTCTCATGAGATTAAATACCAAAGATTTAGCCTGCCTTGGGGATAGAAAATACAGTATGTGATATGACAATATGTGGCATTCTGCCTCTGTACATATCACAATGCTAGCCATGGGGGACTTTCCTTCTGCTGTGGATGAATATCCACTGTCCTTGTTACAATGATTTCATCCAAAAGCCCATCTCTGTCATAATTAAGATGGTTAGTGGAACTTCTAGTTCTTCTGCTGCACAGATGCCAGTATTTGGGTGCCGGTTTAAAGAATACAATACAAAATTACATTTGTTTAGCGCCTTATAGCGGAGTGGGGGATGAAGACGACAACGGGGCAGGATGAGGATTATTGTTTGGGTAACTCTAAGCACTCCAGTGAATGTTTATGGGACTTGTTATGTGCAAATTGGCTGCCACATTTGCCTACAAAATACGTGACTACACTTTCAGGATATTCTGTAATTTGAAACTTCCTCCTTAACACATTACACACAGATTATTATGTCATTTTCATCTCAAGGTAGATTGACGATTGTAATACTTGCTGAGAAAGCTCCCATAACAAGTTCGCATACAGGAAAGGAGACTGCTTTATCTTCTGAAATAGTGCTGAACTCCAGCATTGTAGCCCTCACTGATATTTGGAGCTTACACCTCTGTTTACAATGGCTTCATACCCAGAGTAACCGGTAAAGAGACATCAGTACAATTTGTTTAAGATAAAATTTGTCATCATGGTTCTGATCTATCAGCAAGAAGTTTTCTTTCCCCAACCACTTGAACAAAACAACAACAACAAATTGCATTTATATAGTGCCTTTCACTTTGGGAGGACGTCCCAAGTAGCTGGAGAATGAGGTGTTTGGCCCCAAGCTGTGGGTTTGGAGCAAAGAGGGATGGGTCACAAGGGGCGTGGAGGAGGAAAGATGACCAAAGGCACGGTTGAAAAGGAAGTTCTTGCGATGAGCCTTGAAAGAAACAAGGGAGTGGGCAAGGCGGAGGGGCTCCGGGATGGAGTTCCAGAGGGTGGGCCAGAATGGCTGAATAGTGGAGCAGGCCAGTGCCTACAGAGCAGAGGGAGTGGACAGGTTGGTTTTTTAACTTGAAAGCACTTTTGGACGTCCTCCTGATGTTAAAGGCAATATAGATGCAAACTTGTGTTGAATTAAACTAGGATGGTGCTGTAATGGTGCAATGATAAAAGAGAATCGTAGTTGTACAATTGGTGTTAATGTTGAAAAATTAACAATTCCCTGGAACTCCACTGGAATCCAACCTTATTGTATTTGTGTTCACAAAATCAGATGTTGAGCTTGATGACCTTCATGTACAGATTTATTCAATTAATTGCTACATGGAAAGGCTTTTTTTTCTAGTCCATGATTTATCATTTACCAAAATCACAAGGAGTTTAATTAAAAGCATGACATTTGTTTTCTGCCGCAGAAAAATGTCATTGAAATGGCAGCTGCATCACAGAAAGAGCTGAGCAGGGAGACTATACAAGTACTCTTACACAAAGCCAAACATATCTTGAAAGAGCTGTATTGGTGGGCTGATGAGGTAAGGAATTGTCAGATAAGACATTGCCTCAGGGAAATTTCACCTTCTTGAAGTTTGTTAGACATTGTCATCTTTGTTTTTTTATATAGTAACATGCGATCACACTGATACAGTCTCTTCACAAGAAGTCAAGAGGATTTCTACCATGAACACAATGGCATTAGTTTAACAGTACATTTGATACATTCCAGACCATGCCATTGAGACCAATGTGGCATTTCTGCCTCCCATCTGTCCAGATATATTGGATTCAGAAATATGGATTGTATATTTAAACAGACCTCACTTACTGGGAAGCTTTCTGAATCAAATTGAGCTGGACCACAGATCTTAATGGAGTCAAAAATTGTGAAATTCCAAAACACATTCTTCTCCTTAGCTTTGATTTTTTATTCATATTAAACACCTTGTCAACTGGAAACTATCCTTACAGACAGGTTTGAGACTGAACATTTGCTAGACTTTGGGAGAATGATTTCTCCCTCAGGCTTCCCACAGTCAATTTGCACACCAGCTATCTAAAAAAGATAGCAAGATTTTATTCTTAGCTGCGAGAACAACCTTGAAATCTATACTTCAAAATTGTTTACCGCTGAGGATCTGATGAAGATACTGAAAAAATTTCTCCGTGGCCTGTTTAGAGGCTTTCTTGATCTGCAGGGATTATCCCCAACCCAGATATGAAGGACAGGTTTCAAATATATTTGTCAAACCCTAACGTCGTTACCATTTTTGAATTGTTGCCATTGATAATTAAGGAACACAAATACATTTTGTAATTTTGATCGCATTGTTTTAAAACAATTAGGCAGGTTTCAACAATTTTACGGATTATTATACTTGCCAGGTTAACTGTGTGCTATCTAGTTGGTTGGTTTTAGGACTTTTTCTATTATAAACCCTGGAGCCATGAACCTTCTCTGCCTATACTTCCTGACCCCCAATTATCCTTTCTCCCCACATCCGGTCCCTCACCAGCCTTCTTCCACCTCCGACGCATCGCCTGTCTCCACCAATAGCTCTCTCCGAAAGCCACTGAAACCCTGGTCCATGCCTTTGTCACCTCTCGGCTGGACTATTCTAACCCCCCCCTCGCCGGCATCCCCTCTGCTACCATCCACAAAATCCAGATTATTCAAAACTCTGCTGCCCGCACCCGCACCAAACTCCGCTCCCCAATTGCCCCAGTCCTTGCCAGACTGCACTGGCTGCCTATCCCAGAGAGGATCGACTTCAAGATCCTCACCCTTGTCTTCAAATCCCTCCACACCTCTGCATCTCCCTACCTCTCTGACCTCTCTCCTCAAAACAGTACCTGTTGTCTTCGTTCCTTCGGGTCTGGCCTCTTCCTTGTCCCCCAAATCCTCCGCTCCACCATCAGCGGCCGTCCCTTCAGCCACTACGCCCCAAGGCTCTGGAATTGCCTTCCTCATTACCTTCGTCTTGCTCCCTCCCTTCCCATTTTCAGGTCTCTGCTGAAGACCTTTCTTTTCGACCGCGCCTTTGGTCACCTTCCTCCACTTCCCCCGGCTCGGCCCCGGGATCTGTTACTGTAAAGCTCTCTGAGACGCCATCTGGTGTGGTGGGCGCTATATAAATCCAAGTTACTGTTGTTGTTGTTGCTGTATTTGTTTTATTGTTTTTTATTTTTTTTTAGAGTTTTTAAAGATTATTATGTCCTTAGGATTCCTTGGCTCTGCCTCATTCCCTGTCTTTATAGCCTCAGATTACTATTCCTCATGTATTCATCTGGATGTTGAGTGGTGGCAAACGGATTGCCTACACATGTGTGCACACTCAGGACATTATATATTCAATCTCACAATTCGAAAGAGGCAAGCATTGTGGAAGACCTCAAACTCTGTTTCTGAAGGTAAGATATTTAGATCGTAAGCGCTGTTTGGAATGACTGCAGTAATACTTGCAAGTTGTGGCCACGCCTTAGTAATGGTGTATTATTTCATTTATCTCTAGTCCTTACAACTACATACAGAGTGAAATTAAAACCAACAATGGTTTGTTGTAAAGTAATTAGCATATGAAATAATTAATGGAGCACTACTGATGAACCTTCACTTGTGATAAGATGCCAACTCTCTTGTGTGCCGAGTGTCTTTCAACCAGTTTTAATTTTCTTTTTTAATCTATTAGTACTTCACAATTCTAGATTGAAATTTGGCTGTGGGGGAGCACAGATCCTTTTTCATCAAATAGTGTTCTAAAAACTATTTTTAGAGTATTCAAAGTTTAGCAAATTCCTAAATATAGCCTTCATTTTGAAGCTGGATTTCTGTAAATTTCTGCCCCTTAATCTACCTCTACTGGGTACATTTACAGTCACTGCCTTTACTCACTGTAACATCAGGTGAGCTGGCATACTCAAATGGAACTGAATGTTGCATACTCTCATTTCAGTGTTGGTACAGCTTGTATATTGTCGGCCTCAGACTTGACAATTATTTCCCCCAAGGGAATGGTAAGCAAGCTCAGTTCTGTTCATGAAGATTAAAAAGGCTGGAGTTTGTGTTTGCTGGGAAAAATGAATGGTAATTGCTTACATAATTGCATGTAATAAATAATAATAATTTGATATAGTGCCTTATCACATCTTCGAGATGTCTCATATCGACATATTGATATGTATGTATAGACCCCTGAAATATTGGCCCCGGTCCAATGTCTAGACAGGGCTGAGGTCTCCCATGTTAGTGTGAAGCACATGGAGTTCTCTGAAGGAGATGCACTTTTCATCTGAAGGGGTTATTTCCAACACAAGGCACAACACCAACATTTTCCTGCAGAGTACTTTGGAACTCCCAATGTTATACAACTGCACATATTTGATGTGGGGAGTGTGTTTGGGGGATCCTAACTTCATTTTATTCAGCAGATCTTCTCTGGTTAATTTGCAGATGCCAGGAGTCCAAAGAACCATGTTGGTCAGATTAGAGGTTTGCATGTGGTTTGGAGCAGCTACCAAAATAACAAACTGTCTCAACAGTCTGCCCGCTGGATACAAACCCATATATGAAGAAATGGCAGATATCGGGAGCACGGCCAGAAGCAAAGTACCTCTCCGTCTAGTTAGTGAAGGTAACTATATTTATAATATTTATATCCGCTTTGTGGAGTCCTGTAGCTCAGTGGTTAGAGAACTCGCTTTGCAAGCGAGAGACCTGAGTTCAATTTCAATCAGGGCGAAACCTTGGGCAAGTTTCCTTACTCCACACAACTAATAATAATCCCTCCAAAACCAAAAACAATAATAAATTGGTCATTTTCAATCCACGACTGTTTGTGGGACATTGCTGTGCACAATCGGCTGCCGCGTTTGCCCACAAATATACAGTCAATTCACTTTACAGTGTGTTCTGTGAAGCGCTTTGGGACGTCCTCCCAATGTGAAAAGCGCTATATCAAATGCCAGGATTATTATTATTATTATAATGAATAAATTTACAATAAATATAAAGATATATTTATAATAAATAGAATAAATAAAAACTAATGGATTGTGGGGTATAAGAATAAGACATTAATACATTTATATTGAATAGAATCATAAACTGCAAGGGCAAATGCTATTGCCATGAGATTGGATTGCTGCCTTGAAATTGCTTTGAATACCTACTATTGTTTGTAATAAACACATTTTTGTAATAAACGTGTCATAGAATGGTTCCATTTGGTTTTGCGACCAGCTCATATCATGAAGAACCTAATGGCATTGAATGTAGTTGTGAAAAACTCATTTTGGTATTTGGGAATTTGAGGATAGAATCTGCATTTGAAGGTCAGCCCAGACTATGAGCTCAAAGACTCAAATGTGCGGCTTGAACCCACAACCTTTAGATTCAGAGCCTAGAGTGCTACTCAGCCAGCCGGACACCTTATATGCTGTCTTAATTAAAGGTACAGAAAAGAATCTAGACATCTTTTGGTGAATATTGTGCTCATCAAGGTGAGAGAGGTTAGTGCTGGGAAATGCAACACATACCCATTTCAACCACTTCAAAGGAGATATACCTCCAATCGGTAAAGTTATTGACCATTGTCTAAGTTATTTACAATAAGAAAATTCCATTATAAGCAAAGCACCAAGATCGGTAACATTATTGACCAATGCAAGATGATATCTGGTTAGGTATAAGATCACATATTCAAAGTCTGTAAACCCATCAATGATCAGAAAATTGCCCCAAATGTATTTTATGCTTTGGATTAAGAGAAAATTAAGATACACATATTAACTCAATGTACATTTCATCAAACAGTGCAGAGTTTCTTCCAGCTGAGGGCTCACATGTACCAGGCCCGAAGTTTACTCGCAGCAGATGAAACCGGGCTATCAGATCCATTTGCCAGAGTGACATTTTCTACATATTGTCAATCCACCAAGGTAGGCTATGGTATAAATCTCTGTTAGTATTTATGGCAAGGTCTTTAAATCTTTCATTCAGTATTATGACTCAGTGGAGACACAGGACTCCAGTAATCCATTTGATCAAGCAGCCAATAGTTAGTTGCCTCACTTATATATTTTGCCACATCCATAGTCTTAATATATATACTATTATATATATGCCCCTCCCACCCCCCCCACCCCCACACATACACACACTCAATGCCACACAACAAAGGGTAAGATTAAAAGGACAAGCATTGTATGTGGGTGGGGGTGGGGGCATATATGTATAACTGTGTGGATGTTGACTTACTATGGTAAACGATAGTCATACATTTTAGTTAGGTGCCAGGTAATGGTGTGGTAACCCTTGACAGGAGGCTGGCATTATTGCCGAGTTCCAGTGGGCACCACATTTTCATCTTAGCTTTTTTTTATTGCTGGTGATATAAGGCCAGATGGAATCTGAACTTGTTTCCCATCTGCAATCCCTATTCACTGAATCTCTCCTAAAGCATTCAATGGCCTGGAGTCCTTTCTTGAGAGGAAGGCTGCTTTTGATGCAAATGAAAGAGAACTGAGAGGTTATACCTATCAAGAAAGGCTGAACATGCTTTGGACTCTTTTCTCTTGGAAAGAGGAGGGTAAGGGGGGATCTGATAGAGGTCTTTAAAATTATGAAAGATTTTGATAGGGTAGACATAGGAAAGATGTTTCCACTTGTGGGGGAGACCAAAACCAGGGGCCATCAATATAAAATAGTCACAAATAGATCAAATAGGGAAGTTAGAAGACATTTCCTTACACAGCGACTAGTGGGAATGTGGAACATGCTACCACAAGGAGTTGTTGAGGCAAATAGCATAGATGTATTTAAGGGGAAGCTAGATAGGTACATGAGGGAGAAAGGAATAGAAGGTTATGCTTGAAGGCTTAGTTGAGGACGGGCAGGAAGAGGCTCATGTGGAGCATAAACACCGGCACAGACCAGTTGGGCCGAATGTCCTGTTTCTGTGCTGTATATTCTAATGTATTCTAATGTATTCTAGAATGGAACTAATTCTCTGACCATCAGTAATTTTAGCAATAATTGGCAAGAAACTCACACTACAAGTGTCAATACATTTACTGATCAGTGGAAAATCATTTGTACCACACAATACAACTTTACATTTATATTGCTGCTTTCACATTGGAAGGACGTCCTAAAGTACTTTATGGTACTGGCTGAACCTGAGCTGGGGCTGGGAGCCCATGTATTTTCTTTGGACATTCAAGTATCTGACATAAGCAGAAACCCATCACTAAACTCAAACCAAACTGCTGAACGTTCCACATTCATATGGTATCCTTTTGTCTAGCTTGTTTTTAATGTATGTTTTAGGCATTTTTATTGGGAGCCCCTAACCTCAAGTATCAAATAGTGACTGCTGTACTCCAGTACTTTGCATCCACAGTCTCTTCTGGGTGCTTTGTTGTAGGTTGAGCAGGGAAATAGGCAAAGGCAAAGTCAGGGGTAGGGCAGCACCATCACTGTTTGTGAGTTGAGTGAGGGATGGGACAGATAACTCCATGTGTGACCCTGCCACCAAAGTTAGTGGTAAATTCTCTACCCTCCAGACAGGGGAAAACAGAATACAAATGAAATGTAATTGCATCTTCCAGATATTTAATGAAACCTGTTCACCTCGCTGGGAAGAGACCTTGTTATTTGATGACATTTTGATTGAAGGCAGCAGAGAAGAGTTCCAGAAACATCCAATTGCTGTCAGCATAGAGGTCTTCGATCACGACAGATTTGTGAGTGCAAGACATTATTCATCAGAAAGTACTTTGCCTCTTGTGCACTTGTTTAAAGAAATAAAACAACAGCTTGCATTTATATAGCACCCTTCACACAGGGTAGCATCTCAAAGTAAAAAAACCCTGATGTGCAGTCACGCAATAACAGTGTGCCCTCTTGCTCTCCTGAATAATTAGACTGCATTGACTAAGGGTAGTTGGTTTAAGGATTGGTAGAAAAAGTGTGAAAACCGCACAAAAGCTTAATTTCTCTGAGGAACAAATATCGATTTGGTGTTTGTCTAACTGCACATTTAATGTTAGTCAGCAGAATTGTACAGTTTAAAGGAATCCTTGCTCTAAATGTGTTTCAGCCCTAAATAATAATGTTTTAACTTGCCAGAACAGAAAGCTGACTAAAGTAAAGTTTGGTCAACTCTGCTATGTGAGATAATGTCTCAGAGAACTAGAAGGGAAAACGAGAGAGGAGTTTCTCCTGAAGTCGCTGGGAACTCAGCAGGTGAGACAGCATTTATGGAAAGAGGAAAGTGAGTTAATGTTTCAGGTCGATGACCTTTTGTCAGAACAGTTCTGATGGAAGGTCATCGACCTGAAACGTTACATCACTTTCTTCTGTCCATAGATGCTGCCTGACCTGTTAAGTGTTCCCAGTGACTTCTGTTTTTATTTCAGATTTCCAGCATCTGCAGTATTTTGCATTTTGAGGAGTTTCTCCTGATGTCCTGGCCAACCATCCTCTGGTTAAAATTGATCATTCCCTTGATGGCTGTGTATGGCACATTGCACAAGTTGGCTGCTACATAATATACAGTTGCTGCACTTGACAGAAAAATTTGTGAAATCCTATGAGCTATTTTGACACTATAGGCGTTGTATTAAATGCAATGATTATTACATTAAAGCCTCCAGAAGACTAATGCATTGTTTTATTTGTCAGGGATCACCTGAATTCCTCGGTCAATGTTTTGCCATTCCCACTGTCACTCTGGAAAAGGATGAATACAAGCAGCCTACGCTGCAGATCTTTGACATTTGGAGAGGCTCCAAACCTGCTGGGGAATTGCTTGCAGCTTTTGAGCTCATCGAGTTGGACTATTCTACATTTGGTGAAGTAAACACAAAGCTTTTGTTGTCCTTGACACAATATCAAATGAATCCAATGATTATCAGGAGCAAACAAAGGGTTTATTTGCTTGCAAGCTAAATCTAAGATGATTCCCTGACTCTGAGCTGTAAATTATACAGCTTGAGTTGCAGAGTCATACTCATTAGAAAAAAAGATGCTTAAGTCTAGGTCTTTATGATAATAATCCTTTCGTTTGGCATAGCACCTTATCATGTGTTGAGATATCTCAAAGCTCTCAACAGGATTTTACTGTTAAATGTAGTGACAGGATGGGGGCAATAGGCTTGTGGAACTTAATGCATAGTTAGCATAATGAACATGTTATGAATAATCCCAAATTTCACCTCATTTTAAAATGTATATGATATTAACACTGTGTTTGCAATGTGTCTTCACAGCCACAAATTCCTGCTGATGTTATTCCTCAGGAAATGAAATTAAATGAAGATCACCGTTTCAATATTCCATTCGAAATTCGTCCAGTATTGAAAACCCATAAAATTGAGGTGACTTTTGGATCTATAAGGTGTTGAGAACATTTTTGTCAGTTTTTTNGCCTTTGCAATTGATTTTTATACATAGAAATCTCAAAATGGTATGTCACATTCCTGATGGGTTGCGCTACCTCGATTAAATGTGTTGGATTTAAACCTTCCTCATTTTGTTTCTTGACGAGATTTCACACACGCTTGATGCAGTGACACTCTCAAGACAATTCATGTCATTGATTTGTGTATTTGTACATAAACCAATAAGGTTTTCTAACATGATTTTCACACAGAAAGTATGCTCCCCTCTTTCAAAAAAGCAGACCCTGCTCATTTCACAAGAGATTCAGCATGTCTCATTTGGTAATACTCTGCCTCTGGTTCAAGCCGCATGAATAGATATTGAGCCCATAGGCTAGTCTGACTGTCTAGAGGAGTCCTGAATTGTTAACAGGACTGATGTTTAAATATGGAACGGTTGTATTTGCTTGTTTTCAGATGGACATTAAAGATTCCAATGATACTGTTCAAAACCAGAGTGGGGGAGTGGGGGGTGCAGAGTCCTGTCTCAAACTCCCCCAGACTAATTGACCGTTGTATCCTATTGGCACAAATCCTTGATGTGTTTGCCTACAACAATGGTTACCACACATTACAGTGCCTATTTGTGAAGTGCATCGAGATATTTCAACATGAAAAGTTACTGTAAAAATGCAATTTCGTTCTTTACTTTCATTAGAAAATATAAAACCTTGATTCTTATTTATATCGTCAATTTCTCACTCATCATTCCCAACTAAATATATATCCTCCCTCAAATAACATTTGCCTTCTTTTTGATCTCTTTTCTTCAAACTAAGTTACCCTTGAGTTTCTCTCCCTGATTTCTCGCTTTCCCATAGCTCTCCTATGGGGAGAGTAGATTGGAGGGTGACCTGATCTCAGACCATCACTTATACAACTTTTAAATGATGACCAGGACAAACACAGAAGTAACTTGGTCATGTCACAACATTAAATTTCTTACTAACTCTGTGCAAGAGCTTCTATCCTCTGCCTGGCACCCCCTTCCCCTCTAACCCACCGTCAGTGACCAAGCTTTCAGTCACTGTGCCCAGGTTCTCTGGAGTCTGGTTGTGGAGTCCTGTAGCTCAGTGATTAGAGCACTCGCTTTGCAAGCGAGAGACCTGAGTTCAATTCCAGTCAGGGCGAAACCTTGGGCAAGTTTACTTGTTCCACATGCCTAATAATAATCCCTCCAAAACCAAAAACAATAATAAATTGGTCATTTTCAATCCACGATTGTTTGTGGGACATTGCTGTGCGCAATTAGCTGCCGCGTTCGCCCACAAATATATAGTCAATTCACTTTACAGTGTTCTGTAAAGGACGTCCTCCCGACGTGAAAAGCGCTATATCAAATGCAAGGATTATTATTATTATTATTATTATTATTATTATTATTATTATTATTATTATTATTATTATTATTATTATTATAACACCCTTCCATCTCATTCCCTCCCTCTCTGTTTTGAAAACCCTTCCAAAAAAATACCTCTATGATTAAACCTCCATTCACTTCCCTCCCACTTTGCTTGGGTTCCCGTACCATTCCAGCAGTGCATTTTGAGATGTTATTTGGCATGAAAGGTACTATAAAATTGCACGTTGTTGATGTAGACAATTTGTTTGTCATCTATCAAACATTTTTCCTTTATTGCTTAGTTGATTTTCTGAGCAAATAAGATCCCAGATGTAGCGTTGTGACTGAAAGTATTTTGCAAATCTTTTTTGGTGTGAGATTTACGGGAGGGATTCCAGCAGAATATATTTTCCCTATCAACTAATCCCAAATTCATTCAGGAAAATATTGCAACTTCATTCCACAGTGTTTTATCAAATCTGATCCCCCCATATTACACTGTTCCTAATTGTCTCGGTGGTTCAAATAGGATACATTTAGAAGAATGAAAAACCAAATAACACAAAATCTGTTTATTAACTACAACAAAAGGGGATAAAATTACTAATATTGCTTAACCTTTTTCCTATGTTAACAATAACAACCAGAGCAACAGACTCAAAGCATTGTTCTGACAGTCGTGACTTTGGAAATACCACAGGTTGAATCACGGTTCGGTAAAAGTCTAGAATCTAGGATATCTTCTCATCCAGAAATGATTAGAAGCAATTGGGTGACTTTCATACTCTGTGTCCAGGCCCAGCCATCAATTGATTTAAATGTTTAACTTCCAGGTCTTATTCTGGGGACTACGAGACATGCAAAAAATTGGTTTCCTATCAATAGACCAACCAATGGTAACAGTTGAATGCGCTGGGCAGAGACTGGAGTCGTGTGCAATTCACAATTACAAGCAGAAGCCAAACTTTCAAAGAATGCTGGGTTCTTTTAAAGTGGTAGGTAAATTATTATACAGATTGTTTAACCTCAATATTACTTTTCTGCAGTTATTTTAACAAAATGTACACCATAGCGTTGAAGAGCAATTACTGAGAAGGGCTGTTTCAGAAAGGGTTGTCAGGTGGTCAGATTTTACTGAGGCTTGAATTCTTCCCACTCAGTACCTGTTAACCTTGCAAGTCACAGCCCCAATGGGTAGGATGGTCCCAGGGCAGACAAGCAGCAGCCAGCTTGCCACCATTCCAGCAAGATTGCTTAGAGAAAACTATAGCTTCCCTGCAAGTGTAGTTTATACATTTTTTCCATTGGATAAATGTGAAAAATGACTCTGTTAAAAGCCCTGATGACCAGCATAAGAAAATGGCCCTATAGCTACCAGTTAATTCACTGTTACCACTGTTAATTCTTATATACAAGAGATAACCATTGTCCATGAACTACTTTTTATTATCTAGCATTATTGCAGACACATTGCAGTTTGGTATCCACGGCTTTCCGAGGCAGTGCATCTCACATTCACGACCCTCCATGTGAAGAAGTGTTTTCATGCCTCAGAAACCAGTGGCTCTAGAAATAGTAGCTGATTTGATGTTTTTGGTACAGGACATTCCCGAGGACACTGAGCTGCACCCACCACTCAGTATTCTGGTCACCGAGCAGCGACGGTTTGGTGGTGTTGCCCTTCTCGGTACGTGCACCGTTGGGTCCCTGGTACGCTTTATTCATGGCCTAAAAAAGAGCATCAAGAAGAAATCTGAAATGAAACCACGTCCCACACTGATACCACAATGTAAGTATCAAATATGCAACAAGATCTCAGCCCAATTCCACACAATTGCAGTACTGAGGGAATCATTCTTTTCAGTGTTATTTTATCACATTTTTTTACAATTATGTATTTCAGTTCTGCGTTTTTTTATTCAATTTATTGTACTACGATTTTAAACTTAGATATACAAAATATACAACATATGATAGGATAAATTTAAGCTGGAATCTACTGGGAATTATACTTGGCTAGTCAAGGGACCAGCCAGCCAAATCTTTAATACACTGTCAGGAATGACATCTAGGGAACGTGAAAGGAGCTGCAGAGTTGTTTTGATGCTTGCACCTTTAATGTGAAGTGGCTTTCACCTCTCCACAGAAGATTTTGTTTCTCATCTTGAAAATGTGGAGTCCTGTAGCTCAGTGGTTAGAGCACTCGCTTTGCAAGCGAGAGACCTGAGTTCAATTCCAGACAGGGCGATACCTTGGGCAAGTTACCTTGCTCCACACAGAGCCTAATAATAATCCCTCCAAAACCAAAAACAATAATAAATTGGTCATTTTCAATCTACGACTGTTTGTGGGACATTGCTGTGCACAATTGGCTGCCGCGTTCGCCCACAAATATACAGTCAATTCACTTTACAGTATGTTCTGTGAAGCGCTTTGGGACGTCTAGAAGACGTGAAAAGCGCTATATCAAATGCAAGGATTATTATTATTATTATTATTATTATTATTATTATTATTATTATTATTATTATTATTATTATTATTATTATTATTATTATTATCTGGCCATGTAGCTAGAATAAACTTCTGGCTGCCTCAGTTTTTGCCTAAAAATTTAACTGCTGACATGAGGCCCAAATGTTCAGTTATATAATAATAATAATCCTTGCATTTGATATAGCGCTTTTCACGTCTTCTAGATGTCTCAAAGTGCTTCACAGTGCTGTGAAATGCTTTACACAGTACTGGAAAGAGAATTAACTGTATATTTGTGGGTGAAACATGGCAGCTAATTGCACACAGCAGTGTCCCACAAGCAGTCATGGATTGAGTGACCAAATTATTATTGTTTTTTCTTGAGGGATTATTATTAGGCTTGTGGAATAAGGAAATTTGCCCAAGATTTAGCCCTGTCGGGAATCGAACCCAGGTCTCTCCTTGCAAGGCGAGTGCTCTGTAGCACTGAGCTACAGGACTACTACCCTGTAATCTTAGCCTACAGTGTTTAAAGAGAACTGTTTTCTAAATGTAAGAATGGATTGAGGAATTCTCCACAATCCAGCAGGATCTTAAATTTTAAGAAAAAAGTGGTCTTACGGGCTTGAAACTAGGTGAAATTTACCATTGGTAAAATAAAAAGTTTGTAGGAACTCTGTCTGTTTGAGTAAGAGCAATAGTCAAGGCATTCTTCAGAGATTATATGATATTGGAAGAAGGATTATTAGTGAGAGTTTAATGCCAATCACAAGCAGTAAGGAAGATACCTGTATATGCCCTCCAAATATATCTCTTGCCCATTGCTCCATCGCCACACTTCAATAAAGATACAATAGGGAATGTCATTGGAGATATCAGACTCCCTATTGTAGGATTTCCAAAGTAAAGACGTTGGATTCACTTAAGAAACTATTTGATGCTGTAATAGGAAGATGGTGGGTTAGTATTCTGGAAGGATGAGTTCAAATGGGCCAAAGGGCATTCTTCATCCATACCTATTCTGTGATCATGTGAAAAGTGTGATCAGAAATCAATCAGATCTTAACTTGTGAATTTCAGCAGCAGCTGGAGGCAGCTCCAATGAAGTGAATGAAGCCCAGGTACGGCTGCAGAAGATCAACACAGTTATCAAGAAGATAGCGCCAAAGCAAATCGTGGTGAGTCTCATCATAACCTGGTGAATGGGTCCCGATGTTAATACAAAACAATTAGCAATTAAATTCTGAAATTCTTTTCCTTTTTGAAAACAGAATAAAATCAAAGCAAGTATATTGGACAAGAAAGAACCGAAAAGTACGGCAGAAGAGATTGATGAGAGTGAATTTGACTGGTGGTCCAAGTATTATCTTTCGAAAGAACAAGTAAATATTTGATCAATTTTGTGTACAAATCATGTCTTCAGCAAGGACATTGTGGGCATTTGATATACAATTGAGTTTTGGCCTGGCTCATTTGGTAGCACTCTCACTTGTGAGTCAGAAAGTTGCGGGATTAAGCCTTATCAGGATTTTGAACTCACATAATATTGGACTGATACTCCAGTGCATTACTATGGTTGCATCCTTTAGATGAGATGTTAAGCCAAAGTCTTGACTGCCTGTTCAGGTGGTCGTTAAATTCACTGTTTGGAAAGAGAAGGGATTATCTCTCAGTTTCCTGGCTGACAATCCCACAGGTAAAATTTGTCATTTACTTCATGGCTGTTTGTGGGCTGTTGTTCTGTGCAAATTGTCCTGTCCGTCTCCAGAGTATAGTCATCATACTTTACAGTAAATTCTGTAAAGTGCTTTGAGACATCCTTCCAATATAAAAGGAGTTATATCAAATGCAAGAATTATTATTATTTATCCGATAGTTCTGAAATATGACATAATTGAATGAACTGCGTTCCATCATATCTTAAACTATCACAGTAGACAAGTGACGTGTGTTTCAACTCTTACCCACTGAAGAGTGTCTTCCTTATACATGATTTTGGATGTTTGGGAATGCATTACAGCCTCATTACAATCCATTTATTCACAGGTTATAATGCAATTGCAGTGTGGATCCCATTCATTGCAGATGTGTGCAGCAGACCTGCTCAGTTCATACCTGTCAGCTAGTTCTCATGTGGGTCATCAGATCATTGCTGATGTCACTTCCTGCTTTACACTTCACATGGGAAGTGATGTCAGTGGCAAACAGATGATCTGGAAGTCAGTTATTTATTTTTTAGTCATTTTTCAGAGCGAGTTGGCCAGCTGTGGACTTTCACAGTGAAATTACTTATCATGCTTTGTTGTAGCACAAGTTGGGATTCTATGGATCACCACATTATAAAGGGGCTACGATGTCATGTGTATACCACTCACATACCTTTGTACCAAGTTGGGTTACACGTTGACATCACTGGGATTTAAATCATGGCAATTTTAAACACAGTTTGTTAATTAAAGTATTCCAAAAGTCATTTGAACTCATGGGGACTCCCTCTGATGTGTCCTACTTTTGAAGAAGAGTTCCTATGAGTCTAGATTACATTATTTCAGTTGCTGGGAAGGAGTCATCACTAGGATTGCTCCCTTAATGGAAGTGAGACTGATTCAGTTGCTTCTCCTTTTATATCTGGGTCAGACGGTTGTGGATTCAATCCCTACATCAGGACTTTGAGTTCATGTGGTCTGGGCTGATACTGCAATACAGAGGTGGGGGGTGTTCTCTGTTGTCAGAGGTGCCATTCTTCAGATATGACATGAAACCAAGGTTCCCTCTGCCTGTTCAGGATAATAAAGATCCTACTACTTGAATAGAGAAGGGGGTTTCTCTTGGTGTCCTGGCCAACAATCCTCCAGATAAAATCTGTGGGACACAAGTTGGCTGCCGCATTCACTCCAAAATAAAGTAATTATACTTCACAATATAATTGTGAAATCCTGTGCTGGGGGAGCACTGCATTGTTATAGGTGCTCAGCTCTGTTAGAAAATAAAATCAGCCAAATCTGCAAGGAAATAACGCTAATTCCTCTAACCAGATATCAGACTGTTTTATTATAATTCGTTCGTTATTCCCCAATATCCCGATGGGTCAGACCAAAGGCCGGTACAATCAACAGATCTTATAACAGAATAACACCACTATAGATATCTTGAGTTCAAGAGTTCAACACTGTGTCTTTACAGCACACAAGCTTGATTCTTCATGCTTTCAGTGTTCTTGCTTACAGTTTTCAATCTTCCATCTGATATCCTCAGTCTTAGTGTTTCCAGCTCTCAGTCTTCCACCTCTGTATCCTTGTCTCCGCGACCCGGGACGGCTCCATCTCCCGTATCCTTGTCTCCGCGACCCAGGATGTCTCCATCTCCCGTATCCTTGTCTCCGCGACCCGGGACGGCTCCATCTCCCGTATCCTTGTCTCCGCGACCCGGGACGGCCCCGTACACAAAGTTATCAGAACTCTTATACCAATATTCATCCAATCATGGTGCGGATATTAGATCACCCGGTCGAAATCATGCTGGGTTCACGTGAACACCTCATGGGGTGTACGTGCCTCACATACACAAACACACTGTCCTTGAGACAGTCCGTTATCTCGTGTACGTGCAGGGAGTTTCAGTCCAGCTGCCCACAACACACTTAACTTAAAAGTTAACCTGTTCGCAACATCTATTATGATTCTAACATTATACAAAAAGTGTAAATTCTAACAGCTCTCATCCTCAGATATGGTGCCCAACCAGAATTGTCAAGCACTTTAGGAGGTTCTCTCACCATGTAAATTGTACTGTATGTCCTTTGACGTCATAATCAAATGATAGGATTATTATTATATTGCTAGCTGTGACAACGCAGTTCTCCCAGATCACTAGATTGAAGTGTTAGCCTAGGCTATGGTTATCTATAACAAGCATTATAAAGTATAAAAAGCACCAAGTCAGATATTGAAAATAGTGCGTATCAAAACGTAGCTGCTATTGTTAATGAAGCAAGAGACTGGTCATAACATGTGCACTTAAGTAAATGTGGCAGTATATAACAAAAACAACAACAAGATTACATTTATATAGCGCCTTTCACATCAGGAGGACATCGATATATAAACTCATGTTGGCTTTCTCTAGCTGGCCGAGGTGCAGAAGAGTGAAGAGGAGAAAGAACATTCAAGGGGTAAGATTGTAATACTGAATTTTCTACAAATACATTCCTGTATTGAAGTGCTTTTTTGCGCATCGCACTAAAGCTCTGTCATCCATATTCGTAAGCAAACTTCAAAAAAGATTGTGCAAGTATTACTCAGTGTCATGTTAAAGCACTTATCCCATCTCTACTGTAAAGTTATTTGATGTTGCTCTTTTGTTTCCATGTCCCCTGCATCAAGAGGGTTGGACAACAGCCTGCCCTCAAACCTTTGTCAGATTCAGCCACTGGGAGGCACCCAAGAGCAGCTCTAGTAACTCACCTGCCACCTTTTTTCCCTTTTGAATGAGTGCTAACTTGCTCTGGAGAAATGGCAGAGGCCAGAAGCTCTCCATAGTGGGAATTTCAAGACTAAAGTGGTAATCCTGCACTCTGTGACAGATCACCACAAAGCACCAGCCTGCTGCCTTTACCTATATCAATTGTAATGTATTTCTGCAGGAAATGTTTATTTTGATGCTTTTGTTTAGCTTTTAAGGAAAAAAAATCACAGTGTAGCCAATGTGAACTAATCACGTTCTGTACATGGAAATATAGGAATGTGTAAAACCATAGCGGTTAATCTGGCCACAGGAGATCTTTCAAAGATGTTGAAAGTTAGAAAGTACAGCATAATTTACAATGTCTGTCTCATGTATATTCAGCACAAGCACAAGAAGGACGGCAAGAAGAAACTCAGGATGAGAACAGAAGGAAGCAGATGAGTAGAGAGAAGCCCAAAGTGTCCCTGAAGGTGCTTTCAAATACCTTTATTATTTCTAAAGATGCTGCAAATCAGCAACAAATTCTGCACAACAGATCACAGAGGCCCACTGAGATACCAAGAATAGTATCTTACTGAGATAGAGAGAATGAGCCAGGGACAAGACTTTCAGACATACTGAGGGAGAAGGAGAAGATAACACAGGGTTGTCTTGTGAAGCGTTGTGAAGGGTAAATTTAGGATAGAGATCTTCTGTTAATTTTTTACATAATGTGTAACTAACATCTGGAACGGGTTATCAGGTGTGGTTGCGGCCGGGACGTGAATATCTCAAACTGCAATGGAAATAGAGTAAGATTTGCATTCTGAAATGGAACGAAGAGATCAAATGAGCAGAAATGCCTTTTCTAACCACATCTCTCTTGTGACGTACCCCTTCCCTCAACCCTCTCCCACACCCCTTGTAACCTTGGTAAAGTGAATGGGTCTGAAGGATTCGCAATTCAGGTGCTCTGGGATGCTACCCTGGGCTACTGTATAAATGCAAGTTGTTGTTGAAGCTTCATTTTTACCCCTAAAAGTGGTGTTTTAACCCCACACAGCAGGAGCACTGAGTTCAGTTGAATTTGTTAAATAGAAACCTGTCTCAATAATAGCAGATTACACCAGGGCTCCAGGGATCACAAACCCAAGATGGTGGCAGCCGATGGTGGCCATGGCCTTGCCAGGGGACAACCAGCAATGATTGACAAGTGGCTTAATATAAAGGGATAATTGTGAGATGGAACTTGCAGCATTTCATAATGTCTTCCTGGTAAAATTTATCCCAAGTATCGCCCTACGAAATGTTATACATTTCACTCCATTGTTAGAGCTGATGAAATCCCAGCAGCCGTTAATAAACATTCATGCTGTGTCCTGAAGGTTTAAAAATAAATTGTTATACTGCAAATGAAGAGTGAGACAATAATGCTGCGTGACAGACTTCGCTTAGCTCCAGCTTCCAGTGTCTGCTATCCACTCAATGAAGCTTCGGTATGATTTTTAAGTCATAAAATCTTGCTCATAGAGATTCTCAATTCCCAGACGCTAACTCTGTCAGGTGTTTTTCTGAACAAGGTTTATTGGCAGGGCTACTTCAGTCTGATCAATGAGTCTCAAACTTTACTTTGGTCTCATCAGACACACTCATCAAAATTAAATTAATAATAATGTGGTCCCTCAATCCAATACTGTTTGTGGGACACTGCTGTGCACAATTAGCTGCCATGTTTTGCCCACAAAATACACAATTAATTCACTTTATAGTATATTTTGTGAAGTGCTTTGAGATGTCACAATGACATGATAAGGCGTTATATCAAATGTAAGGATTATTATTATTATCAATGACAACACTCCCCTGAGTTAGGAAAAGTAGCTCTTAATTTCAAAACCTTTGAGAATCCTAATGGCAGAAACTGTTCACAGATCTATGGAAGAGAACTGGAGAAGGAGTTTGATCAATTTGAAGACTGGCTATGTATCTTCCCTTTGTGCAAGGGGAAAGCCAGCCTTGATGATGATGACAGTGTTAATCGAATTACAGGGAAATTTAAGGTTGGTCTTATTGGTTTCTATGGGGGATTGGTCAGAACACCTGGAGAAATTCCCTTCTCTTACAATCATGTCTTGGGATATTTAACATCCACTTGACATACAGATGGGACCTAAATTTTAATGTTTCTCCTTAAGTATGTCATCTCCAACACTGCAGCACTCTCCCCAATGCTGAACTGGAGAGTCAGCTTAGAAGACTATGGGCTCAAATCCCAATATTTGGGCTTGAACACACAACTGTCTGACCCGATGTGAGAGAGCTAATAACTGAGCTGACACCTTGCTCATTGCTCAGTTGTGGCAATGTGTTGGTAAGTAACAGCTCTGAGATGCTACCTCATGTGAAGAGCATTATATAAATACAAGTTGTTGTTGAAATGCACAAATTTTGGCAGCCAGTTTCTTTGCAATTGAAACTCTACATTGGTGTGAGCGAAGTGACTTCAAAGTTACCTTTGCAGGTAGAATTCTCTGATCAGCCTCCAAACTCACCAAAAATACGGCTTCTTTCAGAAACTTCAGAAACTGTAAGTTTTTACAATTCTGAAAAATAAATGGATTTAAAAGACTAACTTTGGCTTTTAGGGTTCCTTTTGCCTGTATCCAGATTCAGACAGTGAAGAAGGCAGCGAGTACAAGATCATGAGGGGAATTCTTACTAACACTCCTGTGAAGGTATTGGTCAGGGTTTATGTGATAGAGGTGAGAATGACTTTTTATTTTCATTACCTCCGTAATAAAAGATTTTGTTTCGCCCACAAAAAATACAGTCATTATACTTTACAGTATATTCTGTGAAGCACTTTGAGACATCTCGAAGAAGTGATAAGGCGCTATATCGGGTACAAGGATTATTATTATTATAATCCATAGTACTTTCAAACAGGGATTGCATTTTGCTGCTTTGCCAATCTCTTGCTGTAATTCTTCACAATTGTAACTGCATTCCTGATGCAATGATGGCTAAATATGGAGAATATGTTTTCATAAGGGTCTTATTAAACTTTTTTGACGATGTCTTTGTAAAGTTCGCCTACAGGCAGGACATTATATAAATGTAAGCTGCTGTTGTTAATATGTCAATAATTTTATTATTTTATTATGAGTACTCAGGAGAATTATCACGTCTTTGCTTTTGTTGTAAGGCCACCCACCTAGCTCCTGCAGACCCAGATGGGAAAGTGGATCCGTATCTGACAATTACCTTAGGCAACAATGTGATCTCTACAAAGGAGCGTTACATTCCCAAACAGCTCAATCCTGTATTTGGAGAGTAAGTACTGCTGTTCTCTTACAATTGAAATGGGAAGGGATCTGGGTGGAAAGGGAAGCAGGGATCATTCGGTCTGGGTTTCATTCTCTGCACCAGCAAAGGGTTTCATTACATCTCAATTTGAGCCCTGTATTGCCATGTATTGCAACATGGAGTTTTAGCCACATCTTACAATGACATGTGTTTCAGCCTGGCTCAGTGGTAGCACTATTGCCCCTGAATCAGAAGGTTGTGTGTTCAAGCCCCATGTTGGTCTTGGAATCACATCGTCTAAATTGACATTTCAAAGCAGTGCTGTGTTGGTTGCATTGTTGGAGGCGCCGTACTTTGGATGAGATGGTAAACCGAGGTCCAATCTGCCTGTTCAGGTGGACGTTAAAGGTCCCATTACACTATTTGAAAAGAGAAGGGAATTTCTCACAATGCCTTGGCTAACAATCCCCCAAATAAAATTGGTCATTCACTTCATAGCTGTTTGTGAGACATTTCTGTGTGCAACTGGCTGCCACGTTTGGCCCACAAATACACAGTTAATCCACTTTACAGCATATACTATTAATGCTTTGAGACATCTCAATGACGTGATAAGGCGCTATACCAGATGCAAGGATTATTATAGCATGTGCTTAACTGGTGTCCACTCAGTGGTGAGGCATTGCATAACGAGTTACTTCATCGGAGCTGAAAGAAGATATGTGGAAATAAAGAGGAAGAGACTATTTGAGAACGCCAATAGCACAATGAGCTCTGCTTTAAGAGTTGCAAACTTATAGTGACCCTGATTTCACTTTAGATTACCTTAAATCAATGTATCACAAGTTTTTAGAAACAGTCTGAAAGGAATTTAGGCAGTGGATGAAAATTGTAATGTGATGATTATTCCTGGTGATAGTTTTCAACAAGAAGCCCAGTCAATAATAAGTCTGACAATGAGTGTGACTCCTCCTGCCAACAACTCCCATCACAATGATTACCTGGCACGGTGCCACCCACAAATTAGAATGATAGCCTGTGGGATTATGGTTTATTTAAAAACAGCACTCTGTTTATCCAGTATCCCATGAACCAGCAAATTCAATGGTCTTCATAGATCAGCTTCAAGCCCATTTATTATGCCAGAGTTGAGAGAGGGTGGTCTCATTAGTTGCCAATCTAGTTATTGACTGGCCTCATTGCCTGGATTCAGCTCTGGCAACAATCAATACATCACGTGGCACATATTTTTAACTGGAAAACAATCTCTGGCATTCAATTCTTTCAAAAGGGTTTCATCTGAAATGCTGACATGTCTTTCTCTTTTGGATGCTCATTTTCTGCTGTACTTTTTCAGGATCTTGTTCTTACGCCAAAAGCGAATATTGCAGAGAAAATAACTAATAATCTGTGTGACACCTTCCCTCCCCCACAATAGCTTGGTCACAAAGTCAGCCCGAAGACGATGACTGATGCCATTGGAATACACAACCACAGAATGTGCAATTGAGAGATTCACATTGACTTTGGTCCCAACAACAACAACAACTTGCATTTATATAGCCCCCTTCATGTGGGATAGCGTCCCGGAGAGCTTGACAATGGCAGAGTCTGACACCGAGCCAGGGGAAGAGGGAGGGGGGGTGACCGTAAGCACAATTAAAAAGAAAGGTCTTTAAGCAGGATTTGAAGGTGGGAGAGACTGGGCAAGACAGAGGGATTAAGAGAGAGAGTTCCAGAGTTTCGGGGCATAGTGGTTGTAGGCAAGGCCACCGATGGTGGAGCGGAGGGGACAAGGGACAAACGTGAGGCCAGAGCCAGCCAAGTGGAAGCAGCAGGTGGTGTAGTGGGGGATAAGCAGATTGGATAGCTAAGGAGGTGTGAGGGCATGAAAGCATTTGAAAATGAGTGAGTGGATCTTGAAATCAATCCGTTCGGTAATTGGGAGCCAGTGAAGCCTGAAAAGGATTGGTGTGAAGGGGGTACAGAGTTTTGTGCGGGTCAGTATCCAGGTGGCAAAGTTTTGGATTAATTGAATTTTGTGTATGGCGAGGAGGGTATTGGAACATTACAGCCGGAAAGTGACAAAGCCGTAGAAGAGGATTTCGGCTGCTCTGGTTGTGATGTACAGACAGGCGGGCAATGTGACGGAGGTGGAAAAAAGTGGTCCTGGTCAGGGAATGGATATGAGGTAGAAAGGAAAGTTGGAGATCGAACATGATGCCTGAGTTGCGCATGGATTCTGTGAGTCTGAGGGCGAGCATAGGGGAAATTGAGGAGTTCAGACCTGCAGGAGAACCAAAGAGAATGGCTTCTGTCTTGCCGACATTCAGCTACAGGAAATTTGCACACATGCAGCAGCAGCGGCAGCAGAAGCAACAGCAGCAGGAGGCGGAGGAGCAGCAGCAGGAGGAGGAGGGTTAATCTAAAGACTTATTTTTAATATAAAAAAAGCACAAATATACTCCCATTTAGAGGATGAGTGTTCATAACTGGAACAGTAGCCATGCTAACAAACTGAGGCACAGCACCCCTATTCTATAAAAGAAATGAGTGCATAAATTGTGTTTTTAAAAAAGGAAAATGTTTCATTATGACTTTTTTTGGAAAGCATTGAAAAGTATAGAATGCAACCATCAAGAACAGTATTGCTAGGATTAAAATGCAAAATGTAGTAGCCAAAATATTTAGTAGCAGCAGCAGCAGCAGCACTATTATTACTATTAGTCGTCGAAAGGACGTCACAAGGCGCTGGACTGACAGAGTTACAGACCTGAGCTGGGGGTCGGGGTGGAGGAGGGTGGAGGGCAGAGGGGGGAAGCAGGGAGATGGAATGCACGGTCAAAGAGGATACATGTGGAAGTTGACCCCATGTTTGCAGCACCTGATAGAGAGCATGTAGATAAGGAAGAGAAGGGGGCCAAGGATGGAGCCTTGTAGTACCTACAGGTGACCGGGCAGGGGAAGGAGAAAAACTTATTTGCCAAGATGTATTGCTGACAGTTTGTTTAGCAGGAATCAAACCATGTGAGTGCAGTCCCACTAAGGTGGATGAGGGAGGAGAGGCGATGGAGGAGGATGGCGTGATCGACTGTGTTGAATACGGCGGATAGGTCTAATAGTGCGAGGAGGCAGAGGGAACCCTGGTCACAGAGAAAGAGAGAGAGGACATCATTTGTTACTTTGACAAGCGCTGTATTTGTGCTGTGGGCAGCCAGTCTGTAAATTGTAATGCTATCCTTTAAACCTTTTGGATTGCTCTGCTGTTCACCCACACTATATAAGTGCAAGTTGTTGTTGTTGTTGATGATGGCAAATTCTCATTTTTCTTCAGTCAAGAAGACCCTGTCACTGAGAGAGTTAAAATACCTGAACATCATCTTGGTAATTGTTAGCGATGTGTGTGAAAGAATGGGTGGGACTCCAGGAAATTCATAATAAATATAGATAGGCCCAATGTAGCCAGAATAATGCACACTGAACTAAGGGACATATGTGATAATGTAATTATAGACCTCATTTTTGCTTCTTGAAAATACATACAAGCTGTGTAGTTACACAAATTCTATTCCACATTTTGATAGGCAGTTCCATTCCATTAGCTTTGATATGTGCCATGCCACGATTTGGGAGCAAGACAATAATTAGTTCACCGTGGGCCATATGAGCAAGGAGGATGTGGCTGAAGTGTAATGAGCAGCATGTATAATATATCCAAGCTGTTCTGAGCATTTGTTTTGACTTTTCTGATGCTGTATTATTGTTTGAAGTCCCCTTTGTTCATTTGCGCACAGGTGCTTTGAGATGACTGCAAACTTTCCACTGGAGACCGAGTTAACAGTTACACTTATGGATTATGATACACTCACCAGTGATGACTTGATTGGCCAAACCAAGATAGACCTGGAGAATCGGTTTTACACCAAACACTATGCCCTCTGTGGCCTGCAACAGATGTACAACATGTCAGTATGAGGCTTCTTATGTTGCATTATCCACTCTCCAATATGGTCATTAAAGTACATACCAGGGGCTAATTGTCAAAAGTCGTGATTTTTAACTAGTTACTTGTAATACACTGTTATTGTTAATGATCAGAGTAAGCTAGATGCCGTTGGAGTTTAGGAAAATATGAAAGTAATTCTATATACATTTCACCTTGACGGGCACAACATTGCCCTATTAAAATAAATCTGAGTTATGGGATGAAATGATCTCACCAATCTGGAGATGAAGTGGTCTCAACTAAGATCTTTCTTATACCATGGTCTGAAGTCATTACAGGGTTAATTACATACTTAGCAAAGGAATGTCAGAATCAAGCCCACCCTCTGTGTTCCTGAGTCAGGTGGGTCCACAGTACTCCAAGGCACTGCTGATGATAGCCCAGCCAGCCTGACATGGAAAGGCAGACCAGTCACTGGGGGTAGGGAGTCATCCAACTCAGGTCAATGCAATTGACCTGATTCATCCTGTTAACCCTGCAAGCCAAAGTCCAAATGGGTAGGGTCATCCTAGCTGGTGAAGAAGTGGGAAAGCTTGTCAGACAGTGCTCTCAGACGCAAGCTATGTGGTTTTAATAGTACCCCAATGCACACTACAGAGTCCCCAAGATTTGGCTCTTGCCAACCTGTCCCTAATACTCTCCAGAATTAGGTAAGCAGAATATGTGCCTCCAGGGAGAGATTCCAAAACACAGCTCTGGAATTTCCATGTATAGGGAGATGCATGGAACTTTATTTGGTTTGGATACTCTTAAGTATGGTAATTGGTTTCCACATGTGTCAGTCACCCAGCTGACCAAAAAAATACTGGGTTCAGTAATCGTGTTACATGTTGCATTCATTCATCATGTGTTTGTTTTTGTGTGGCTGCTTTGAAGGTTTTGTAAGCCTTCATCTTATAATACATTGATCCACAGAAATGTCAATTGTGCTGTCCAAACCAATATATTTTTCTACTTTTTATTGTGTGTGTGTTTGTAGAGGACGTGCTACAAATTATAATCCTGCTTTTCTGAGGTTGAATCATTGTTTGAAATCTGTTCAATTCACCTGCAGCTCAGGATATAATGCGTGGCGAGATGCACAAGTTCCATCTCAGGTATTAATAAAACTGTGCAAAGAGTATAACCTGTCAGACCCTTTGTACACCGACAATGAAGTCAAGATCAAGATCACTGCTGAAAGTACCATCGTCTTCAGAATACCAGATAACATCTTACAATATGGTAATCACCTGCTATTAATCTCTTCTCATCTCTCCTTCAGTGTATATTAAACTGACGAACCACTGATGTATTAATGTATTAATTCTCGCGCTTTGCAAGCGAGAGACCTGGGTTCGATTCCTGGCAGGGTGAAACCTTGGGCAAGTTTCCTTACTCCACACGCCTGATAATAATCCCTCATAAAAACAACAATAAATTGATCATTTCAATCCATGATTGTTTGTGGGACACTGCTGTGCGCAATTGGCTGCTGCATTTCACCCACAAATATACAGTCAATTCACTTTACAGCATATTCTGTGAAGCGCTTTGAGACGTCTAGAAGACGTGAAAAGCGCTATATCAAATGCAAGGATTATTATTATAATGAGAAATCCAGATCATGATCCTACATCAATTTTATAATGGGCCGTCAAAGAGCTCTTTATAGACCTATTCCTGCACGTTCTTTTCCAGGAAACTGGCATTCTCAGAATTTAACCCCATGACTTAATTGCATTGACCTTTTGTGTAACTGTAGGTAAAACTGAAGAGGAAAAGCTACAAAATAAAGCCTTGTATGTGCTTCACAACTGGCAGGACATGCCGGTGGTTGGTATCGAGTTAGTCCCTGAGCACGTTGAGATCAGGGCACTTCACAATCCTGAGAAACCTGGTTTAGATCAGGTAAGCTAACATCATTCTGCAGCACAAAGTGGCTCCTGTGACAATTCCTACCATTAACAATCCACTAGATAAAATTGTTCACTGTTTGTGCTGCTTGCATATTGGCTGCCGTGTTCACCTCCAGTCACTATAATATGCAGAAAACCCTGTGAAACACTTTGTTGAGGTGACAAGGTGCTATATCACCTTGTTAGCGCCTTGGGATGTCCTCCTGATGTGAAGGGCGCTATACACATGTAATTTTGTATTGTATTTTGTATATCAAATGAAAGAATTACTGTTATTAATTTTTTAAGGGAAATTTTTTTTGCCAATTTGCACAGTGTACCACAACTTGCCATTAAGTCAGTGAACAATCCATTCCAAGCAAAGGGAAATATCAATGTGTAGGTGGCATACCTATGGGAAATTCTCCATTTGGTTTGGATAAGCATGCCAATGGGTTTCCATGTGTTAGATCCCCGGCTGACCAAAAAACAAGAGAGATTGTTGACCAGGACACCAGAAGAAACTCTTCTTTTTTTGAATGGTGTCATGGGAACTTTAATGTCCACCTGAAAATGGGAGGACTGGAACTCAGTTGAATGTTTCATTTGATGATTGGTATCTCCGATAATGCAGCCCCTCCCCCAGTACAGCTGGAATGTCAACCTGGACTGTTGGTATATTTTGAGTGGTGGCCAGAAGTGGCCCATAGGTTGTCAACAAGTGGCCCCTGAACATGAGTCTAGGTTAGTCTGTGTTCGATCATTCATGTATTTAGAGTTTTTTCTTGATGGAATATTTCTTTATTTATGGCATAAATCAAGAAATATTCAATCAAGGCAATTTATTTTTTTGGCCGACCATAAAGGTTGGTCCCTCCTGGCCTAGGCTGTGAGCTCACTGCCCTTAGCCATTTGGAAGCCTTGAATAATAAATAGAAGAGTCATTCTCCCCTCCCACCGCCCTCCAGCACCACCCTCAAGCTTGAGAAATTTAAATTTTCTATCCCATCAAAGAAAGAACTTGAATATTTTATAACACCTCACAGTGACTAAACACAAAATACTGCAGATGCTGGAAATCTGAAACAAAACAGAAGTCGCTGGGAACACTCAGCAGATCAGGCAGCATCTACGGATAAAGGAAAGTGAGTCAACGTTTTGGGTCCACGACCCTTCGTCAGAACTCAAACAAAGGGGCATGGACCCAAAATATTGACTCACTTTCCTTTCTCCATAGATACTGCCTGACCTGCTGAGTGTTCCCAGCGACTTCTAGACCATTGACTGTTTTGTACACAACTGAAGTAGCCTTATAAAACTTGCAATTTTACAGTTTTAGATCAGAGTTTATGAAAAACATATGTAGACCATTTAACTCTCCTGCAGATGTTTGAGAATTGCTTGAGTCAGATTTGAATCCATCAAATCTGCAGTGTTTGTGCATGTTACTTATTTTGCTCCAAAATAATTTTGCTTGCATCTTTCTTGAAAGGGTAAATTGCACATGTGGGTGGATATGTTTCCAAAGGATTTGCCTCCACCATCTCCAATAGACGTATCACCACGGAAACCATTGAGGTACTCTCTTTATCCACATGTATGCAGTGTGGACTCCATTTACTGCACATGTGCATTGCACAAGAAGTGATGTCAGCAGTGATCTGACAACTTGGGAGTTAGTGTGAGAGCCAGATGCCAGGATCCTGGACTCATTTGAGAAACAGCTTAGTGCACTGCAATAGAAGATGGATGAGATTAAATGGGCTGAAGGACCTTCTTGATCTGAATATCTCTTGTGATTTTGAACCTCTCTTCTAACATAATAATAATACTTGCATTTGATATATCACCTTATCACGTCGTGAAGACGCCTCAAAGCTCTTCACAGAATATATGTAAAGTTGATTGACCAGGTATTTTGTATGGCAGCACCAAGTGTACAAAATGAATCGTGATTTCTGAGAACCTCATTGTAATGAGCAAAAAAGATAGTAACAGCACATATACTTGCCTTTAAATTTAACAGTATAGAAATTATTTTTAATTGAAAAAAGGACTCCCCTTATTGCTTACTGTGTTGTGTTGGTAGTGACCCAACCAGACCAGGAAGCTAAAACAAAAACAGAAGTCGCTGGGAACACTCAGCAGGTCAAGCAGCATCTATGGAGAAAAGAAAGTGAGTCAAAGTTTCAGGTCCACGACCCTTCGTCAGAATGCAGGAAGATCAGGAAGCTCTCAGGTTTCAATACCATGTTCAATTAGCTGACATTAGCCAAGATCCGAGTGGAAGGGGAGATGGGGCTTTAACTCACCTAACCAGCTGGGGGAAAAAGTAACCCAGATGAGATTCCCACTTTGACTGCTACATAGTCATAATTCATTAAAATGTATTTGTTCATTGCTGTTGGGTTTGGACAAGATGAGCCTCCATTATGTTGTTCCTCCCCACTTCCCCAGGCAGTGAAATATCATTGCCAAGACTCATTGCCACTAATAAGAACAGATGAGGTGCTTGGGAGACCATCCTGACACTTTACATGATCATGAGTTCCTGTCTTTAAGAGGGTGGGGGGGAAAGTATATTGCAAATCTTTACCCTGTGGGGACAATGGCAGATTTAATGAAGGTGTTCATAATAATAGTTCTTATATTTGGTGCAGTGCCTTTCAAGTCTGAAATAAATAAAGGAAGTCACTGGGAACATTCAGCAGGTCAGGCAGCATCTATGGAGAGAGGAAAGTGAGTTAACGTTTCAGGTCGATGGCCTTTCATCAGAACAATCAGCTACGAAAGGACAGATGAAAAGTCATCGACCTGAAACGTTAACTCACTTTCTTCTCTCCTTAGATGCTGCCTGACCTGCTGAGTATTCCCAGCAACTTCTGTTTTTATTGTACTGACTATGTGTTTTGTGGGCAAACAAAGTCCATTCATATTTAAACATTTGCGGCTGCTGGAAAGTAAGATGTACTGCGCTGAAAATACGCAACAAGGTACAAGAGCCAGTTAACAGCTTCACTTCAGTACTTTCACGAGCAGGATCCACTGAGACTACAGCACTTGGCACTTCACTTACCAGACAGAGAAGAATGAAATGTATCCATTTCATCTCTGAAAGATCCATTCAAATGAATGTAGATTTACTGATGAGGTGTGGAGTCCATTATCAATTGGTGTTGATGGAGGCAAAACCACTAATTGTATCTGAAATCACTGGGATGTTTTTTAATCTACCTTATGGATAAGAATAATAGAAATTACAGCTATTTGGCCTATCTGCTGCTGTCAGTTCCTCCACTGGAGCTATACAATAGGAGCTAGCACATAGTTCATATGGATTGAGTAAATGGATTCAGGAAAAAACAAATTCTTTCAAATCATTTGGTAATGAGGGTTTGGGTGGAAATTATTATAATTAGATATTGCAAATTTTATTGCCAGGAAAACTTGTCAATTTCTGGGCAATCTACTTCAAACCTTTAACTAGGTTATTTTAGAAATGCTAACATTATGTCACTCCATGTTACAATATATTCTGTGAAGTGCTTTGAGACATCTCAATGCTGTGATAATTCTCTATATCAAATGCAAGGATTATTATTACCTTTAATAACAAATAAAGAGAATTATTGTTCATTCTTCAGTGCATCATCATTGTATAAAGAGATCAGAAGTCAACTTTCTAATTCCTGATCCATTCACTATAGCACTTCTTGTACTTTTTCATACAAAATGTGCTCTTTTACAATATACCTGTGGTTTTCTGCTCCCCCTCTAGTTATGAGCTCCGGATAATCATCTGGAACACAGAGGATGTTATCCTGGATGATGTAAACCCAATCACACAGCAGAAATCCAGTGACATTTACGTCAAAGGGTAAGACTCAGAAAGAACATGAAAATGCACAGCAAGGCTGAGAAGTTCCAAGCGGAACTGCATGCCCATTTATTAAAATTCTTTGATTAATATAATAAATCTTCGACCTTGTGTTCTGAACTGATCGTTGCTTTGCTATGCAGAGAATCAATTTGTTGTTTTCCCTCCACCAAGAGAGCCAGTAATTTTCCTGCCTTGCAGTTATGTATTTTACAATCAAGTAAAACTATTACAGATCATTGTCTCATCCTTTCACTTGGTTGTTGATGACATAAGTAAGGCCCCCTGTACTTCCCTTGTTATCTGTATATTAAGACATGATTAACATTCCCTACAGATTAGACTTCATTATAATGTAACTGGTTATGCCCCACCATGCTTTCACTCCAAAAAAAGCGTTATTTTAAGCACTTTGAGACATCTCGAGGAAGTGATGGGGCACTATATCAAATGCAAGGATTATATTATTAGATGGGAATTTGCAACAACATTGCGAAACATGAAAACCTGCAATGGAATTTCAGGCTCTACAATCAAGGTGCTTGCCAGTTAGTGAATAATTAATTCAAAACCTTTTTATAATAAATAATAAAACTTACTCTGTTTTTTTATAATAATAATAACAATAATAATCCTTGCATTTGATATAGCGCCTTATCATGTCTTTGAAACGTCTCAAAGCGCTTCACAGAATATATTTTGTGGGCTGTATATTTTAACTTTAGTTAAGCAAATACAATCAAAGTGGAACTATTATTTTATATTTAATTGTGCAAATAAGGCAGATAGAATACAATCCATGTAAATTTTAACTGCTGGGATATAAAATATAAAAACTGAATTAAATGCAAAAAAAAATCAAATACAAATATTATTATTAAGAGTGGTATAAACACAGAAGTTTATGCCTCAGTGTCACACCTCTCAGTGGTGGCTGTGCTGCTGAAGCTGGGGTGAAGAGTGGTGATAAAGGGCTATTGTCCAGTAGAGATTGTCTAAATTGCACAACAAAGATTAAATAATAGTTGTAGAGAAACACAAAGTACGGCAGAGTCCTGAATTTATCAACAACAACAACAAGATTTCATTTATAGAGCGCCTTTCATGTCGGGAGGACGTCCCAAGGCGCTGTACAGTTGGGTCAGGACCCGAGCAGGGGGGAAATGGTCAGGGTGAGGGGAGGGAAGGGAGCGAGGAGGGGGTAGAGAGTCGAGAGGGGAGCTGAAGGCACGGTCAAAGAGAAAGGTCTTGAGACCGGCCTTGAAGGAGGAAAGGGAGGAAGCGGCGAAGGCACTGGGGGATAGAGTTCCAGAGCCTAGGGGCTGAGAGGCTGAAGGCCCGACCACCGATGGTAGGGCGGTTGGGGCGGGGGGTGTGGAGCAGTCCGGAGCCAGAGGAACGGAGGGTACGGGCAGGTAAGTAGGGGGATAGTAGGTCGGAGAGATAGGAGGGAGCAAGGCCGTGAATGGTCTTATAGGTAAGGATGAGGATCTTGAATTCGATCCTCTGGGGGATGGGAAGCCAGTGGAGGCGAACGAGGGTGGGAATGATGTGATCAATGTTTCTTTCTCACTCAAACTTCAGGTGGATCAAGACTCTGGACAAAGACAAACAGGAAACTGACGTCCACTTCAATTCATTCACGGGGGAAGGAAACTTTAACTGGAGGTTCATCTATCGTTTCGACTTCCTGCCAACTGAAAAGCTTATTGTCTACAAGAAGAAAGATTCAATTTTTTCTCTGGACGAGACAGAGTACTGTGTGCCCCCAGTGCTCACTCTGCAGGTCTGGGACTATGACTTGATCTCTGCAAATGATTTCTTAGGTAAGTCTGGGAACACCAGAAATTATTCAATTAATACAAACCACCTAGCAGATCGAGAAGGTTTTGGGTATTCATTTCCCCAAATAAAACATAATAGCGTGTTTGTGTATTTGTGTGTGTTTGTTCCCTTCCTAATTTTCTTATTATTTTTACCTGCCATAAGAGTAATAAGCCTTAATCATGGCTAAAAAACCTATCAGGAAATTACTTGTGAGCATATGTTCCTCCAAAGCTGTCCTCTCCATTGTGACCAGCATTTATTCAGAAAGGTTGTGAATAAGGGGCACATGGTATACTTCTCCTTAAGCCATATTTTGCTTAGTATTTGTGTCAGCATTCCTTACCCACGTGCTCCAAACTCTCTCCCTATTTGTCAAGCTTCGCCACTTTTAAGCACTGAGATGCTGCCTTTCTGAAGGGCACTGTATAAATGAAAGTCGTTCTTTTTGTGTCTCAACCATCTAACTGATTGTATCTGCCACAAACTGTGCATAAAATAGACTAAAGAACAACAAACAACAACAAATTACATTTGCATGCGCTTTTCAAGTAAGTCAGGTGGATTGCCCAAAACGCTGGACAGTCAGGATGAGCACCCATTGGGAACGGGGATTGGGATCAGGAGGGGTTTAGGGCAGGGAGGGTGGGGGTAGGAGGGTGACCGAAGGCGCAGTCAAAGAGGAAGGTCTTGAGACGGGCTTTGAAGGAGGCAAAGGAGGGAGTGAGGCGAAGGGACTGTATGGAGTTCCAAAGGGTGGGGGCAGAGAGGCAGAAGGTTCGACTGCCAATGGTGAGGCGGGCCGGGCGGGGGACGTGGAGCAGACCAGAGTCCGCCGAGCAGAGGGAACGGGTAGGCTGGGAAGGGGTTAGCAGGTAACAGAAGTAGGAAGGAGCAAGGCAGTTGAGGGCCTTGAAGGTGAGGACGAGAATTTTGAACTCTATCCTCTGGGGGATGGGGAGCCAATGGAGTAGGATGAGGGGGGGGGGGTGTTGGGTTCACGGAGCCTAGTGAGGGAGGGGACACCAGCTGCAGTGCTCTAAATAATCTGCAGCTTGTGGAGGGAAGAGTTGGGAAGCAGGGAGCAGTTCAGGAGCAGTTTATTGACTAGTTTTTCAAAAGGACACAATAACTGCATGAAATTGACAACATTTACACAACAATTATGTAAAGGTCTAGTTCATGTGGCAGGTTCCATTAAATTCCCAATTAGAAGTTTTCTGTGTTTATTCATCAGTGAAATTACTTGATTTACTTTAAACTATTTTAATTAATTTAATATGAATTTCCTGACGTATCACTAACATTTTAAATATAATTCCTGCATGATGGATTTTTCACTTTAAATAAGACCAGAGTAAAAGACGCATATTATTCAATATCATGCACACTGTTATCTATCAGTAATGGATGGGCAGCTCAGCAGATCATACTTGCATATTAGTCAGGCTTGTTTCTGCAGATCAAGGTGCTATTAGAAATAGCCTGAAGCTGCTTTATACATAATCAAAACGGTTTGTTATTTTTTTTACTATATTTTCTGTACTTTTTTTAATTGGGCAAAGATACTAGGTTATTTATTAATTCAACCCTAAGGTCATGTTGATCTTCAGTGAGGCTGGCTGAACTGCCCTGCTAATATATTATGGCATAAATAAATTGCTATATAATGGGATTTTACCCATGGCAAAAGGTACACAGAATTCAGTGAAGGCAAAGATATATTGAGTTGTTGTTTAGGGAGCTTGGTCAAAATGGTGGCTGATGTTAAGCAGGGTGCCTCAGGTCTGTACTGGGAACCCTCCTTTTCCTTGTGTAGATTAATGACCTGGGTTCACAGATCCGGTGTAAGGTAGGTAAATTTGTAGATGACTCTAAATTGGGGGGATCTGTGCAATCTAAGGAGTCTTACAAAGAGAGCTTGATCACATCCTTTGGATGAGACATTAAATCAAGGTCCTGTCTGTCTGTTCAGGTGGACGTTAAAGATTCCAGAGCACTATTCAAAAAGAGAAGGGAGTTTCTCCCACTGTCCTGGCCAATAATCCCCAAAATAAAATTGGTCACTCACTCCATGGCTGTTTGTGGGACATTGCTGTGTGCAAACTGGCTACTGCGTTTCGCCCACAAAATACAGTCAGTCCACTTTACAGTATATCCTGTGAAGAGCTTTGAGACATCTCTACGCCTCGATAATGCGCTATTATCAAATGGAAGAATTATTATTATTATTATTAAGATATGTGCACGAGCTGATAATTGGCAAATGAAGTTTAATGCAGATAAATGCAAGGTACCACATACAAGATGTAAGAATAAGAAACACAGGTACTCCATGGGATTGAAAAAATAAACCCAGATCACTACTTCGGAATGTATCAAGACATTAGAATAATAGGTTTAGAATTGTAACGCGCAATTTCAGGACAGATCCCAAGCAGTTTTCCTTTTCTCTTCAACAGTACCTTAATAATAATAATCCTTGCATTTGAAAAAGCGCTTTTCATGTCTTATCGACATCTCAAAGCGCTTCACAGAATATGCTGTAAAGTGAATTGACTGTTATATTTGTGGGCGAAATGCGGCAGCCAATTGAGCACAGCAGTGTCCCATAAACACTCGTGGATTGAAAATGACCAATTTATTATTGTTTCGTTTTTTGGAGGGATTATTATTAGGCGTGTGGAGTAAGGAAACTTGCCCAAGGTTTCGCCCTGCGTGGAATTGAACTCAGGTCTCTCGCTTGCAAAGCGAGTGCTCTAACCTCAGCTCCCCTCTCAACTCTCTACCGCCTCCTCGCTCCCTCCCTTCCCTCCCCTCATCCTGACCATTTCCCCACTGCTCGGGTCCCGACCCAACGGTCCAGCGCCTTGGGACGTCCTCCCGACGTGAAAGGCGCTCTACAAATGCAATCTTGTTGTTGTTGTACTTAGAGAATAATTAACAATTCGAACAGGTTGCCAGGATTGGGGGTTGAGGTGAATACTGGACTAATTTAAAAATCAGCTTGATGCTGTGAATGGAAGGATGGGGTTGTGTATTCTGGAGGGATGAAATCAGATGGACTGAAGGATTTCTTCATCCAAACCCATCTTATGATCATGTGAGGGGTACTTTTTGTAATGTGGAGGGTGACATTAGTCCTGTCTGTGTGCAACCAGGGTTTCATTCCCGTCTCTGAAAATATAATCGACATATAACCTTAATGGCTGGGAAAGGGTTTTCATCCTCGGATATCAGAGAATTCACTTCATCCAATTCTTTCATGAGCAGATTCGGGTTTAACCATGAAGTTGGAGATGCTGCATTTGATATAGCACCTTTCTCATTGGGAGGACATCTCAAAGCACTTCATAGGAGATAGTACATACTTGACCAGGCCGCTCTATTTGCTCAGCAAGCACTGACCTGCTTCATGTCTCCCGCCCTATCCATCTCACCATCTGTGGATGAATTTTCAGCTATTCTGTGTCCATTCTCTGGAACACCCAATACCTCCCTCACCTCCCCTCTTTCAAGACACCTCTTTGACATGTTTCGGTCATTTTTTCTTCCCCACCCCCTTCAGCACCCATTCCCAGCTTGGGTGCCCAATCAGCAGTGTCAAGTACTTTGAGGCGTCCTCCTGACATGAAAAGCAAAATAAAAATTTAGATTGTATTGTAAAGTGTAGTGACTGCGTATTTTGTAGACAAGCTTCCACTAGGAGCAGTGATGTTTTCAACATTAAAACACTTAAGATGCTTACAACAACAACAACAAAAAGGTTCCATTTATAGAGCGCCTTTCACGGCGGGAGGACGTCCCAAGGCGCTGTACAGTTGGGTCAGGTCCCGAGCAGGGGGGAAATGGTCAGGGTGAGGGGAGGAAGGGAGGGAGCGAGGAGGGGTAGAGAGTTGAGAGGGGAGCTGAAGGCACGGTCAAAGAGAAAGGTCTTTAGACCGGCCTTGAAGGAGGAAAGGGAGGAGGCAAGGCGAAGGCACTGGGGGATAGCGTTCCAGAGCCTAGGGGCTGAGAGGCTGAAGGCCCGGCCACCGATGGTAGGGCAGTTGGGGCGGGGGATGTGGAGGAGACCGGAGCCAGAGGAACGGAGGGTATGGGCAGGTAAGTAGGGGGATAGTAGGTCGGAGAGGTAGGAGAGAGCAAGGCCGTGAATGGCCTTGTAGGTGAGGATGAGGATCTTGAATTCGATCCTCTGGGGGATGGGGAGCCAGTGGAGGTGAGCGAGGGTGGGAGTGATGTGGTCCCAAAGTCTGGTGTGGGACAGTACACGAGCTGCAGAGTTCTGAATGACCTGCAGCTTGTGGAGGGAGGTGCCGGGAAGGCCAACGAGGAGAGAGTTCCCATAGTCCAGCCTTGAGGTGATATAGGCGTGAACCAGAGTTTCAGCAGCGTGAGGGGTGAGGTAGTGCCGTAGTCTGGCGATGTTCCGGAGGTGATGGAAGGCGGGGCCAGTTGTGGCGCAGATATGAGGGAGAAAGGACAGCTCAGGGTCGAACACGAGGAGGCAGAGGGAGCCCTGGTCACAGATGGTCAGGATGTCATTGGTGACCTTGACCAGGGCAGTTTCTGTGCTATGGGCAGCACGGAAAACCAACTGAAGGGGTTCGAATAATGAATGAGTGGAGAGGAAAGAGCACAGCTGGGAGGCGACAACTCGTTCCAGGACCTTGGACAGGAAGGGGAGGTTGGAGATGGGCCGGTAGCTTGATAGCTGCGATGCATCAAGGGAGGGTTTTTTCAAGGTGGGAGTGATGGTGGCAGTTTTTAAGGGAATGGGAACAGAGCCAGAGGAGAGGGACAGGTTGATGATGTCTGTGATATGTGGGGCAAGGAGGTGGAGATGGGAGATAAGGAGTGGAGTGGGGATGGGATCAAGGGAGCAGGTGGTGGGTTTCAGGGATAGGATGAGTTTGGTGACAGAGGGTGGGGAAACGGGTACAAAAGTGTGTAGGGGAGGATGGGTAGGAGTCGGAGTGTGGGAGGGAGGGGGTGGGTGGATGTTGGAGGGGAAGTGACCGCAGAGCGAATTCCCTTGATTTTGGATTCAAGGAAATCCAGCATCTCCTCGCAGTGAAGGTTGGAGGAGATGACCTGCGCGGGGTGGCGGGGGGACGGAGGAGTCGGGATGTGGTAGAAAACAGTAGCCTGGGGTTGTTCTTCGCCTCCAGGATTATCCTGGAGTAGAAGGACGATTTGGCCGAGGCTAGAGTGGAGCGGTAGGTTTTGAGGAGGTCCAGCCAGATTTGTCGGTGGACCGTTAGGCCAGATTTGACAGGTGCGTTCAGCGGCCCGCACCTGGCTCTTCAGTGAGCAGAGGTGGGTGGTGAACCAGGGGGAGGAGCGAGAGTAGGAGACAGTACGGGAGGTGATGGGGGCAAGAGTGTCAAGTGTGGAGGAGAGGGTGTTGTGGAGGAGGGTGAGAGCAGAAGAGGGGTCAGTGAGGGTTGAAGGCCAGAGGGAGAGGAGTTCAGAGGACTCCAAGGCAGCGGTTAGGGATTGTGGGGTAACTTCTTCCAGGGCGGTAGAAGATGGTGGTGGGTCTGGTGGAGGTGGGGAGGGGGTGGAGGTGGTGAAGGAGATGAAGTGGTGGTCGGAGATGGCCTTGTCGGTGATAGTGACATCCGAGACACTGAGGCCCCGGGTGATCACCAAGTCGAGTGGGTGGCCGTGACTGTGAGTGGGGGAGTTGATGTGGAGGGAGAGGTTGAGCGAGGAGAGCAGGGAAGAGAAATCTGAGGAGATGGAGCAGGAAGGGGGTGAAGTGCAGGTTAAAGTCGCCCAGGATGATGAGGCGATCAGAGCAGAGGCAGAGAGATGTAAGAAGTGTCGAAATATTGGAGATAAAGGTGGGAGATGTTTTAGGGGGCCGGTAGAGGAGGAGGATTTTGAGCGAGAGGAGGGAGGGTGGGGTGCTCGAAAGAGGGGAAAGAGCCAGAGGAGTAGGGCAAGTGGTGTCCTTGAGATAAGGGCTACACCCCCGCCATGGCGGTTGGGGCGAGGCATGTGGTGGGAGGTGTAGCCGGGTGGTGTGGCTTCCGTGAGGGGGAAGATGTTGCCTGCGGTGAGCCAGGTTTCCGTTCAGGCCATGATGTCAACGCTCTCATCAAGGATGAGATCGTTGATGACCAGGGCCTTGTTACAGAGGGAGCGGACGTTTTGTAGTCCGCTGTGGAGGGAGCGGTTGACAGAAGGGTGTGTGTGAGGGGAGGGGGCTCCAGGTTGTGAAGCTTAAATGAGTTGTTGAGAAATGGAACTGTGCAGTTGATTGAATTACGACTGTATCTGAAAAATATTGCGTTGAAGTGATTTATCTTATTGATTTTTACCCAATTCTCCTAGAGAAATCCAATAAATTCTAAAAACAATTTACTGCAAATCTGAGTCAATCCTTTGATTTTTTTTCTCTCCAGGTTACATTGAATTTGATCTGACCAAAATGGTCCCAGGAGCGAAGAATGCCCGGCAGTGCAGGCTCAGCATGGCGATGGAAAACACCCACCAAACCATATCCATTCTGAAAAAGAGGCGAGACCGAGGGTGGTGGCCTTTTATCAAGATCCAACCAGTTGAAGAGGAGGAGGAAGAGAGAAAAAAAAAGAAGGAAGCTATCCGAGTTGGCGACGTGATATACAAGCTTACTGTAAGAAGACATCAACCACATTTTGTAACATAATTCCAAAAGATTTATTGTAAGCCACGTCAGATCAGTAAAGCCAACCATTGTTCATTATAAGAATGTGCAGCACCAGAAAAGAGCCCCACAGGCCATCTGTTTGGTTCCATTTAATCCCAATCCCCCGCATGGTCAAACGTTAACCAGTTCCCTCTTAAATTGGCCCACACTATCTGCTTCTACTACTTCCTTGGGATAACATTCATTTACAAAATGCACAGTCACTATAGTGGAAATTGATGAATTAGCTTAACTTAACAGTTTAAATTGCTTTGAGATGATTTGACAATGTGATAAGTAAGGAGCTATATTGAATGCTAGGATTGATATTATTATTGTGAATTGTTCTACTAGCTGACCATTCTCTGGATAAAGCAATTGATTTTAAATTATCTTTTCATCTTCTCCTTCTTAGTTTGAGAACAGGATCCCTTGTAGTGGATCTCTTCCTTACTTACAAACTTCCTTACTATATCATGTATATAGATATATATAATATTTATGACTTTTTGTAGAAATAGAGGGACTTTAGCTAGACTTTGCGAATTTCATTAAACTAGGATGAATTATACATTCTAAAGAAGGGAGCTTAAAATTTCAAAGATACATGGACAGATTAAGTGGTTGGGCAGAACTATGGCAGATGGAATGCAAATAGAAATAGGTGAGGTAATACACTTCGGATGTAAGAATGATGGATTGGAATTTATTCTAAATCAGTGGGATTATCTTGATAAAAGGCCACCACTCTCGGTCTCACCTCTTTTTCAGAATGGATATGATTTGGAAACATACAGAGAGGTAGATGAACAAACAGTACAGGAGAGTGGGATTAGCTTGGCTCATATGGAGAAAAACACCAGTGCAAGCAGAACTGCTGCATAAAATGAATAATTTAATCCTTACATTTGATATAGTACCTTTCTTGTCGAGGGGACATCTCAAAATGCTTCGTAGGATTTATTGTAAAGTGTATGGTGGTTTGTAGACAAATGCCTATTTCTGAGCTCTAACATTATCTGATTTTACAGTTCTATGTTAAGCATTTGGCTGAAACATTTTCATTCCTCAGGTGCTCCAGTATATGTGTGTGTGGTTGCGCGATAGCAGAAGTTTATATTTTTAGTCAAACTAATTAACTGGAGGCTACAGCAGGCAACCAAGGAAGGGTAAGGCATACTGGCAAGCTGTTTATGAGAAAATGTTTTATTATTAAAATTATGGATAGGATTTTCCCTCCCTTATTTTGTCATGGGCTTGATTACACTATAATATATGCATAGTGATAAACACTACAATAATTAAATTTTTGCTTCCTTCATCATCTCGTGCTCTCACATGATTCATCGTTTCTCCCTGCTGGAAGAGAACTGGGATATTTACTTACTCACACATAGAATAGGCTATTGATTGAGAGTCAATTCTTCACAAATTATCTAGATTTCTCTCTGTCTGTAATAGAAATACAATGCAATTTTACATTGTAAAGATGCTTTTACATGATACCTTTTAGGTCGGATGTCTCAAAGCACTTGATATAGTTGACTGATTTAAGGTTTAGATTGACTAAATGATTAAATGTTAGGAATTTGAAAAGAACAGGAAAAATGTGAACTTAGCATTTCACAGGGATGAACATGCAGTCAATGGAAATTTGCTTGGTCAAAACACCGCTGACAATTCCTTAAAAGTTTGGATAGTCTTCAGCCACTAATCCCTGGAACTCTCTTTCAAAACCATTTTGCTTTGCCAGCACCATCTCTGTTTTCAAACACCTCCTAAAGAAACATATTTCTTTGTTCTGCTATTGGCCAACATCTCTTATTTTACTGCTTGAAGTCCACCATTACATTTGCAAGTTGTCAGCCTGGTTTAGGTAGGGGCAGTCTGGCCTTTGAGTCAGAATTGCATAGAATGATACAACCACAGAAACAGACTATTCAGCCCAACTGGCCCGTGCTGATTTTTGGTGCAACTTTAATCCCCATGTTGGGACTTTGAGCTCGCTGTTCATCCAGCGGGAATAAGGCGCTTATTAATCAAAGCTGTAAATGTGAGGTGTATACTGGAAATCAAATCCACATTGGAGAAATTTTATTTGAAGGCTCTGTGTTCAAACCTAACATTGCTCTCAGTAATACTGTTTTTTAATAACACTTGGGTGCGAAGTAAAGCTGATAACACCACCCTGATGACCAATGCTGTGTAATAGAGTATTCTTTCTGACTTCTCTCTCTGAAAATACCCTTTGCTTTTGCAGGGCAAGGTTGAAGCTGAGTTTGAACTGCTGACATTGGAAGAGGCAGACAAGAACCCAGCTGGTCTGGGGAGGAAGGAACCGAACCCGCTTGACAAACCAAAGTGAGTACAATTGTTTTGGCAAAGATGGTAGGCCGTCAGCTCTAATTTACAGCTCACAGTAACTCAACAGCTGATAAATTATGTAAAGTGGAACAAGTGAGCAAGTAATGCCTTGTCAATGGAGCGTTCCTAACCTACAGCAGAGATTATTAGGTTACTCCTGGCCGAATGTCACATAAAGTAGGGATTGATTTTTCAACATTTTATTTGGCATATTGAATAAATATGTTTTACTAATTAAATGTGCGGTTGAAGAGAGAGGTTTTAAAGAGGGTTTTAAAGGTGGGAAAGGGGGGGAATGGTGTAAATATTACACCATCACTATTTATCCATTCTGTGTATTGACCAAGCATTTTAGCATTGCCTTCTCCTATGGTGATTTTAAAACAAAACATGGACAGTATATATCAGGTCATACGTTCTGCTGATATGTGGTATGTGGAATGAAAAAGCGGGGCCACTATACATCTACTGGGAGTGCCAAAAAGTATCGGGTAAATGAGTTCAGCCATGAAGCAGGCCATCTGTTTCCCATTGCGGTGGCTTTAGGGTCCACATACAATGCAATGTTCAGAGTGCGGTTTCTGGAAATGCAATAGAATCTGTGGCAGGATAGGTTTCAAAGTAATCACTGTTTGTAATGTCCAAATACTGGTATAAGGATAGGGCAGAGCTGGGAATGGAGCTGATATTAATATATCTTTCACTCTGTGCCCATGTGAAAAAAATAATAAATAATGCTCCTTACGTTTGATATTGCACCTTTCACACCAGGAGCATATCTCAAAGCGTTTCATAGCACATACTGTGTAGTGTAGTGACTGTAGATTTTATAGGCGCTTGTGGCAGCCAATTTGCACACAGCAATTCCTACAACTAGCCATTAAGCGACTGAACAATTTTATTTTGGGGATTGTTGGCCAGGATACCGGGCAAAACTCGCTTCTCTTTTCAAATAATCCCATGGGATCTTTAATGTCCACCTGAACAGGCAGACAGGAATTTGGTTTCACATGACCTCTGACAATGTACCCTCCCCCAACTCCCCAGCAATGCGTAGAATATTTGAGTTTAAAGTATTGACATGGGGCTTGAACCCACAACTATTGTAACTAAGCCAGGCTGGGACAATGCATATCCAGCACAGGTTTCTACCAAACACTGCTCATCTACCAAAGAACAGCCTTCAATTGTTATCATTTAGAGCATAAACTTTTGTTTGAAATGAGCTTCACTGAGTTGCAGCTGGTATGGCAGCTGACGGAGTTCATTGAAAGTAGTTACAGGAAAATGCAATACAGTCTGGATTGATGCCTTTTGGCTTTAGGAACACTGCCTTTGCAGTGATTCAATGGGCCATTAATACTTCCCTTGATAAGTCTGGTACTTGAATTCCTTCAACTGAAATACAGTACAATAACAACAACAACAAAATTAAATTTGCAAGGCGCCTTTCATGCCGGGAGGATGTCCCAAGGCACTGAACAGGTGGGGATCAGGCCCCGAGCATGGAGGTCAGGATTGGACGAGGAAGGACAGAGAGGTAGGAGGGCGCCTGAAGGCACGGTTGAAAAGAGGGTCTTGAGTCATGCCTTGAAGGAGGCAAGGGTGGGGCAGAGAAGCTGAAAGCCTGGCCGCCAATGGTAGAGTGGGTTGGGCGGGGGACATGGAGCAGGCTGGAGTCCGCTCAACGGAGGGAGCGGACAGGTTGATGGGGGTTCGGAGGTCGGAGAGGTAGGAGGGAGCAAGGCTGTGGAAGATCTTGAAAAGTGAGGATGAGGATTTTTAATTCTATCTTCTGAGGGATGGAGAGCTAGTGGAGCCTGGCGAGAGTGGTGGTGATGGGGTCACAAAGCCTGGTGCAGAAGAGGACATGAGCTGCAGAGTTCTGGATGATCTGCAGCTTGTGGAGGGAAGAGTTGGGGAGGCCGACAAGGAGGACTTTCTGTAGTTGAGCCTTGAGGTGACTAATGCATGTATAAGGGTTTCGGCAGCCTGAGGGGTGAGGCAGTGGCGGAACCGGGCAATGTTGCGGAGGTGGGGGAAGACAGAGCGGGCCGTGGCACGGATATGGGGGAGAAAGGACAGATGAGGGTCAAACAAGACGCCTAGGTTCCTGACTAGCTTGGTGAGGTGCAGTGTGCAACTGTGGATGCCGATGCTGCCAGTGCCTGAGGTGCTGAGGCGAGCCGATCAGTAGGGCCTCATTCTTGCTGACATTCAGCTGTAGAAAGTTGGCTCTCATCCAGGACTTGATGTCAGACAGACATTCTGTCAGGACGTCAAGTATCCTGTAATCGAGGGTGGAGGCAAAAAGATAGAGTTGGGTGTCATCCGCATACAGTCAGCTGCGTGAAGCGCTTTGAGGCATCTTCCTGACATGGAATGCAAATTGTATTGTATAAAGGTGAGAAATTGGAGGGAAATGACAAAAAAGATGTTTTTTTTAGAATGGTTTTGAAAGCAAAGAAGGGTAGAGAGTGGAGAGGATCTAGGTGGGAGTTCCAGTGATTGGGGGTAAGGCTGAGAGCCCCTCGCTGGTGGTGGGTCGTGGAGCAGATCTGAGTTTGTAGAGTAGAAGGAGCGGAGTTAAGAGAAGGTTGTGGATGGAGAGTATATCAGAATGAGGTTCTTGATGTCCATCCGTGATGGAGTCCTGTAGTTCAGTGGTTAGAGCACTCGCTTTGTAAGTGAGAGACCTGAGTTCAATTCCAGGCAGAGGGCGAAACCTTGGGCAAGTTTCCTTAATCCACACGCCTAATAATAATCCCTCCAAAACAAAATAATAAATTGGTCATTTTCAATCCATGACTGTTTGTGGGACACTGCTATGCACAATTGGCTGCCGCGTTCGCCCACAAATATACAGTCAATTCACTTTACAGTATATTCTGTGAAGCGCTTTGGGACGTCTAGAAGACGTGAAAAGCGCTATATCAAATGCAAGGATTATTATTGTTATTATCCATTGGAGGACAGGGAACCTATAGAGTTTGGCAAGACTGGGAGTGATGGATGCAGTGTCCAACGTGGGAGAGGATAGAGGTTGCAGAGGTTTGGATGAGCTGGAGCTTGTGGAGCATTGAGCTTGGGCGAGGAGAGACCTAGGAAAAATTGAGTCTGTAGTCTTCAAACATAAATACATGCCTGCATTGAAATTCTGTTTATCATTCAACTCTGCTCAAATACTCCAGGATCTCTTTAAAAATATCCTTTTTAGAACACCCTCAGTTTAAAGGTCATTTTTCTGTGCATTTCCAGAACTTCAATTGTAAAACGCTGAAATCTCCTGCTGGGACCATATGTTCAAACCTCAGCCTGGATCTAGATGAATCCTTGCTAAAAGGTGTTCCTTTTTTGAAAAATTAGTAATTTTTTTTAAAAAATTGCTGCCCATCTTAAAAGTTACTAACCTGTTAGTTATTATCCCCAGAGCTGGAATTGTTTTGTTCACATTCAGGACCTCCACAGAGCATGGCCTCAGCTCTGTAATATAGACTAATATTTCACGTCAGGAGGATGTCTCAAAGTGCTTCGCAGGATACAATGTAAACATAATCACTGTAGGCGAATATAGGTAGGATAGAACTATCCTATAATTTCAATTGAGCCTGCAATTTTAGTAGTACATAGATCATTTTCCTTCTGAATTTTTATTTGAGGTTTATATTGTATTTATCTATTTGCTCAAACAAGATGGTGAAAATTAAACATGGAGCTCTAATTTTTATTTTTCTCTTAATCACCTTCCCCCTCCCCCTGACTCGGCCTTGGGCTCCACCATTGTTAAGCGCTCTGAGTCGCTGCCTGGTGTGGAGGGCACTATATAAATGTTGTTGTTGTTGACATGTGGGTTGAAGGGAATGAAGAAAGGGTGGGACAATGGAATTAAATATGTGTGTTGATACAACAAACTAGCAGAGAATGTCTCCTATTTTTATGTTCCTATTTCTGCACCTCCAAGATATTGAGTAATAGCTTATTTTAAATCTTGTTAAGAAAATGAAGCTCAGCTTATAGAAAGATGAATGTGAAGTTGGGTAACAACAAACCAAGGTCCACTTTGGTTCCTGGTGACTCTGTGATAAAACAGCTCTAAACCTCATCACAAAAAAAAACTCCTTCTAGATTCATTTTGGTTGTAATCAGTTCAAGAGGCTGTAACACAATTAAATTGTGGTAATTGTTTTATCACTTTTGCTCATCATCAAGGGCAACATCCACGAGCTTTGCGAAATTAAAACATCACATTTAATTATTTGTTTTTTAAGACTGTGCAGGGAATGACTGTGTCTTCAGTCATCTTTACAAAGAATACTAGAGACATTTCTTCAACTGAGCTACTGCCGTTTAGCAGGCAGCTGTTAACTAAGTTTGCTTATTTCCAATCTCTGAATAGTTTAGTGTTCATACAGTACAATGACTAGTACACACTTAATTGTTCAAGATCCTGGTCCGCCCCTTCAAAACACTCCATGGTCTCGCTCTCCCCTACCTCTGCGACCTCCTAACCCCCTAACAACCTGCCCGCTCCTTCCGCTCAGCGTGCTCTAGCTTGCTTCATGTTCCCCGCCTCGCCCGCCCCACCATCAGCGGGCGAGCCTTCAGCCACTCTGCCCCCACCCTCTGGAACTCCATCCCACATCCCTCTGCCTCATCCCCTCTCTTGCCTCCTTCAAGATCCATCTCAAGACCTTCCTCTTGGACCATGCTTTCGATCACTCTCCTTCCCCGCTTGCCCTCCACCCTCCCCAATCTCGACCTCCAGCTCAGGTCCGAAACTCTGACTGTCCAGCACCTTGGGATGTCCTCCCGACGTGAAAGGCGCTATACAAATGTAATTTTGTTGTTGTTGTTAAATGTGTGTGAATAGAAGAGATAATACTTCTTTTTCTTTTTAACAGCCGACCTAATGTAGCCCTAACCTGGATCTTCAACAACCTAAAGGCTCTTTATTTCAGCTTGTGGAGAAACTACAAGTATTTTATCATTGGTGCAGTCATCTTACTTTTAGTGCTGTTATTTCTGGCTTTGTTAATCTACACATTACCTGGCAGCATTGCCAATAAATTTATCAATGGGTAAAATGTTTCAGAGCACCTAGGAGAAAAAATCTGGGGATTAAGGGGACAGCTTCATCTCCCATTCAATGTGCTGTATGTGGAAATAGATTAAATGTAACAAGCATTCTGCTCGGCTGAGACAGCAATCAGCGACAGTGCATTTTAGTCAAATGGTGATCACCTCTCAATGGAATAGGATTGGCATTCAGTCCAATGTTGATAAATTATTCATAGAATTACGCAGTGTTACAGTATCGAAACAGGCCATTCAGTCCAACTAGTGCATACTGGTGTTTAAACTTCACTTGAGTTTGTACCTCTAATTCCCTCTCCCAGATTGCTCTGTTCCGTATTCCCTCAGGTTTGCATCAAGTTTTCTCTTAAATATGTTGATGCTTTCTGCTTCAACTAGATTCTGGCAGGGAGTTCCACATTCTGCATAACGATATTCCTACTAAATTCCCGTTTAGATCTGATACTGCCTAGCTTATATTTATGCTCCTTCAATTTGTTTCGTTCCCTCCGCTCTTTTGTTCCTTTTTGTTCCCTCCCTACCTGTCCACTGCCTCCACTCAGCAGGCACCGGCCTGCTCCATGTCCCCTGCTCAGCCCACCCCCACCATTGGCGGTTGGGCCTTCAGCCTCTTTGACCCCACACTTTGGAACTCGATTGCACATTCCCTTTGCCTCGCTCCCTCACTTGCCTCCTTCAAGGCATGTCTCAAGACCCTCATCTTCGACAATGCCTGTGGCCACCCTCCCACTCTCTGGGATCCTAACTGCTTTAAATCCCACTGCCTTGTTCTATCGCCGGTCTCCCCTCCACTACCATTCATAAAATCCAGGTCATCCAAAACTCTGCCGCCCGCATTCTTACCCGCACCAAACTCCATTCCCTGAATACCCCAGTCCCTGCCAGACTGCACTGGCTGCCTGTCCCAAAGAGGATCGACTTCCAGATCCTCACCCTTGTCTTCAAATCCCTCCACTCCTCTGCACCCCCCTACCTCTCTGACCTCCTCTCTCCTCACAACAGTGCCCGTTGCCTTCGCTCCACCGGATCTGGCCTCTTCCTTGTCCCCCGAATCCTCCGCTCCACCATCGGCGGCCGTGCCTTCAGCTGAGGCTCTGGAACTCCCTTCCTCACTCCCTTTGCCTCGCCCCCTCTCTTCCTATTTTCAGGTCTCGGCTGAAGACCTTTCTTTTCGACCGCGCCTTTGGTCACCTTCCTCTCCCTCCCACTGGTTCGGCCCCGGGATCCATTTCTGTGAAGCGCTCTGAGTTGCCGTCCGGGGTGGATTGCGCTATATAAATCTGTTGTTGTTGTTGCCTTCCCCTACCTCTGCAACATCGCCTGGCTCCGCCATTGTCTCACACCCCAAGCCTCTGAAACCCTCATACACATCAAGGACCAAGGACAGAACCCTGAAGAATGCCACATGAGACAGAAGAAGGTTATCTGGGCTTGACTATGCAAACTCCTTGCTTGTCAGCCTCTGCAACTCTTCCCTCCATCAACTGCAGATCATCCAGAACTTTGAAGCTTGTGTCCTCTGAGCGCTCTGAGACGCCGTCCAGCGTGGAGGGTGCTAAATAAATCCAAGTTGTTATTGTTGTTGTTGTCCCCTCCCCCCCCATCAGGCTTTGTGACCCTATCACCTCCATCCTTGCCCAACTCCACTGGCTTCCCATCACAGAGGATACAGTTCAAGATCCTGGTCCTCACCTTCAAAACCCTTCATGACCTTGCTCTCCCCTCCCTCTGCGACCTCCTTACCCCCTACAATTCTGCCCGCTCCCTCATCTCAGTGGACTCCAGCCTGCTTTACGTCCCCTGCCTTGCCCATCCCACCATTGGAGAGCGGCCCTTCCGCCTCTCTGATGTAACCTGATGAGAAAATGTCAGTACTGTATGTGCCAGCATGTGGGCCCCAAGATAACAAGTCTTGCCTAAATGAAGCTATTAAATAAAAAAAATGCATTTAATTGAATGAGACAGATGGCCATCGTGGTAGTCCTCTTCAGGAGGCACACTATCCAGGGTATTCTGAACTAACATTTGAAGTTTTTACAATGTCACTGTATGATCTTAAAGTTACATCTCTGAGGTCTATGCAAGGATGAGAGTGAAAACTTATGAAGGCAGAACAAAAGTGCTGGAATAGCTCCAGATGCAGCCACACTAATAAATAACTATGTGTTTGTTACTTCTCAGTGTTCACAAACAAATATAACAAAATAACACAAGAACATTGAACTTCACTCATGGGTTTTAAAAAACAATCAATATAAATTGCTCTCAGGGTAAAATTGAAACCTAATTTTTCATCATCTTTCCATTCTTATGTCAGTGACATTGAATGATGTTTTATTTTAAGGAGCGTGAAAGAAAATCCATAATTTATAACCAATGCAACCAGTGAGATATTTAAGTCATTACATATGAATGCGAAAGTGCCTCGCTATCATTTATGTGGAACATTTCCACTTCTTGCAGAGATAATGCGCGGACAAATTGGATTTATTTGTGTTAAGGAAAAACCTTTTCGAGTTCCAATCAAACACAGCCACTGTTTGCAACCAGAGTGGTGTTTATTAAACTCCAGGATCCGTCCAAGTTCCCGATGTGCGTGGGCAAGTAAGCACAATCAATAGATTCACTAACAGAACAATACTACCGCGTAATCCCTCCTCGTGGTCGTCTACTTCTGCTTTCTAGCTCTCAGTCTTCCATCCACGGTAGGTACTGTCCAGAACGTGCGCCGATCTTGGTCTGGCACGGTGCCTTAAGCTTGTGTACATCCAATGATGGTGTGGACATTAGGTCACCTGGCCAAAATCATGCTGGGTTCACGTGAACATCTCATGGAGTGTACGTGCCTCACACACACAAAACACACTGTCCTTAAGACAGTCCGTTATCTTGTGTACTTGCAGGGAAGTAGTACACGTCTTGTCCTTGAGACACTCACGTGATCCGGGGAAACGCATGAGTTTCAGTCCAGTTGTCCCCCCACACTTAAAAGTTAACCCGTTCGCAACATCTATTATGATTCTAACATTATACAAAAAGCGTAAATTCTACATTTGGAATAAGTAGTTTGTTCCATGTGACCGAATGTTGGGAAATTTTACGTCATGTTTCTCTCAAAGCATCATATCTTTTTCAATTTAATTAGTGCCTTGTGGCTCCAAATTTATTCCTAGTATGCATACATAACATTTCCACCCTGACTCCCACCCTCACGCTTAAAGTATATGAGGATAGGGCAGGGCAGTGGGATTTAAAGACGTTTGCTCTGTGAGTTGATGCAGACTCGATGGCTGATTGTCCTCCTTCTACACAGTAAATTTCTTGCTTCTGTGACTCATTTACCCTTCCTGAAATCTTCTTCCTGAATAATTTTTCCTCATTAAATTTTNGCTAAATTTACAATCATTAAATCATAAAATTTACAGCATAGGACCCCATTTGGCCTATCAAGTCTGCATAGCTCTCAGAAAATGTTCATTGAATCCCACTACTCTTATCTCCATACGCTTTCAAGCCTCTATCTTTCATATGCCAATCTACTTACCTCTTGAAACACAAATTGACTCTGCTTCTACACCTAAATTCTCCATTTTTCTTATGACTCTTAAGACTATGGCCCCAGCATGAATTTAAGGAAATCACAAACAAATCGGTAACATTTCTTCACAAAGAAATGCGGAATTCTCTAACATTAACTATTGTTGAGGCATAGTCCATGAATGCTAAAAGCTAATAATAGATCTGTGACAATGGTAATTAAAATAAATGAGATTATACTAGGGTCCAAATAGAGAAAAACACCAGCGTAGATATGATTGGCCAAATTGCCTTTACTGTGTTGGAAAATTCTGTGATTGCAGAACACAAATCTTTGTCTTCTTCCCGTTACAATGTCAACCTTAAATAAGTGAAGGCATACAACAAAGTAACTGGCTTCTATATTGACCACCTATAACAAGACACTCAGTGATGTACTTGAGTACAGCACCAAGGAATCACAATTATAATAATAATAATAATAATCCTTGCATTTGATATAGCACTTTTCACGTCGGGAGGACGTCCCAAAGCGCTTCACAGAATATACTGTAAAGTGAATTGACTGTATATTTGTGGGCAAAACGCGGCAGCCAATTGCGCACAGCAATGTCCCACAAACAGTCATGGATTGAAAATGACCAATTTTTATTATTGTTTTTGGTTTTGGAGGGATTATTATTAGGCGTGTGGAGTAAGGAAACTTGCCCAAGGTTTCGCCCTGACCTGCCTGGAAATGAACTCAGGTCTCTCGCTTGCAAAGCGAGTGCTCTAACCACTGAGCTACAGGACTCCATAACATAACTAATGGAGAGATAAGTCCATAGAGAACTTCTGATCTTTTAATGTTTAATAATCAGAACTGTAATCTCTAGCTAAGGCTAGGATCTGAACTTAACTCGCAAACATGCCACAATGAGAAAATAGGTTTCTGAACATGTATTAAAACACCATCAAACATATACTTGGTTGTAATATTTTAATGTTGGTTACAAATTGAATTGCAAATATGTCATTGTATTATTCTTCATATAAGACAACACTTGTATAAATCAAGGTCATTTTAATAAACACGAGCAAGTTATCTTTAAGGTTATCCATTAGGCATTTAGAAACCTGCGTTTTGTCAAAATTGACATTGCTTCATTTTGGCTTCCTTCCACTGGCCTACAAACAATAAATACTAGGAAGCAAATGAAACAACTACATTAGTTACTCTGATGGTTAAGTAAAATCAATTATCGAGTAGCTGAGCCATTAGGAAGAATACCATTTTCAATCCCTAATTGGATCGAGAGTCATGAGTAAGAATTACCATTGGCCTCAGTGCTCTGGGTTAAGGAAAAATAGCCAGGGCTCCAGCTCCGTCAAGCAATTACGATAGGTTGGTCATTTGCTTTGTGAACATTCTCTGGACCCTGCTATATAGTGCAGAATGTCTGCTGTGCTTGACAGCGATTCTCTGCAAGCTGTTTGACGTTGTGAGGATTGTATCAAATGAAAGTATTACAGTAGAGGCCCCAGGTTTCCAGACATGCATAGATTCTCTTTCTACTTGTGTTACAAGGTACTAATTGACCGCCAGAACCCTGGACTTAGGGGACAGCCTTGACCATCAACTGGTCCATCAACTGCTCAGTGAGTCGGTAACTAAAGGGCATCAATTTAAGATAATTATCAAATCAGTAAATGAACAGGTTAGTTTTTTTATTAAAAAAGTTTTAGAACTTGGAATGCAGTGGCTGAGACAGAATCCATATTAGTTTTTAAGAGGAAATCAGGTTAAAAACACTGACCATTCTTCACAAAATAAATAGGAGGTTTTTTTTTGCTATTCATTTGATCAAATCTTATCAGTTCAACATAGCACTCCAAATCACAGGCCCCTTTCTCCCTACGTAACGGTCTGGGAATTACACTGCAGAAGATGAAGGCCTGCATAGACTTCATGCTCAATTCCTCATCTAATCCTGATGCTATTACCATTGGGGGCATTAAATCTACGCCTAGCCATTACTTGTGTTCAAACTATGACTCATCTACTTGAATCAGCCTGCCTATAGTTAATATTCATCTAGGTGCTATAATATACCCAGGATGCTTGGCTTACATTAAGAGTGTATTGAACTCTGGGTGCAGCATGCAAGATACTGCAGCATTATGATGAAGGGGGCATATCAGTTCTGATGGAGGGTTGTAGACCCAAAATATTGACTCACTTTCCTTTCTCCACAGATGCTGCCTGACCTGCTGAGTGTTCCCAGTGACTTCTGTTTTTGGTTTCAGATTTCTAGCATCTGCAGTACGTTGCGTTTTATTTATACCGAAACTAGCAAAATGCTTCATCTTCTCATTAGAGATGTAATTAGATGAGAAATTCCTTAAGAACCAAGTCTCAAATGGGGACTCCTTTCAGTATGAAATCTGCTCCGACAGAATTAGTTGCAGAGTAGAGTTGCTGCAGGTCAGTGTAACATACGTCTGATTACCTAGCGTAAGGAGTACCCTAGATTTGTCATAGATTTCTGTCATAGATTTCTCACATTTATTCTGTAACCACAATGAACAAGAATTTAAAAGAATAAACGTACACATTGTACACTGACTGAAAAACACCATATATCAGTCCTATCATTAGGTTATTCTGTATACTGTCTTCTTTTATGGAAACGCATTTGGTTATCCAATGCTAAAGGACAGTATTTAGTGTTGTCTAATATTAGAAATGGCATCAATGAATTAGCAGCCAACTTGTGTACTCATGTAAATAGATGTCATGAATTGACATTCATTCACAACCCTTATTAAATGTGTCTTGCTATAAAGATAGGTATTTTTATTGCCAAATCCAGTTCAGAAATCACCTTGAACACTTTTGAAGCTCCATATCGACTCTTAACAGTAACTCCATAACTATACACCACCACCAGTCGGACAATTTGGCTGATGGCACTCTCGCAATAAATTTTACTAACAATTCAGATCTAATTTTGTTCGTGTTTATTATTTGATAAGTGCCTAATACGAATCAATTGGATCCAGATTATTCACTGTTAAGGGAGTCTATTTCACACACTGTACAATTCAAATTATTTTGTGCAATGATTCAATGACCCATCCAGATTCAACAAATCATTTATGATTTCCCAAATAGGAAAGAATAAAATAGGGAAAGTTTAAAATTTGCACAAGCAAACATATGCCCAAAGCTCAGATTTTCTTTTGTGCTAACGCTAATTAAAGGTCAAAACAGGATAGTGGTAAATATGAAAAACACTAAAATATAACCATAAAGCAGAAAAGGCAAACAATTAGAATAAACTGATAACCAGTAGATTTAAAGTTATGCAGAGTGAGTTGGCATTTGTAAGAATACAGTGGCTGAAACAGATAGCTCACCTTTCAGCACAAGTTGTAGAATCAAATATTATTAAGTGATTACAGTGACATTTATCACTATCAAGTGATCATTCATTGTTCAAATGAAGCAAGTCAAAGTTCCAGTAGTTTTGAGGACAGAGAGTGAAATATTATTCACACTGGTCAGGATAGAGAGATATGAGTTAAGCAGGGTATAAAAGAAAGTTAAGCTGAGAGTTTGACCAAAGACTACTTTGTTAAGAGCTATTTGTTGAGTTTATAACATTTAAACGGATGTCGAATAAGCAACTTGCATTTCATGAAAAATAACAAGAGCACTTTACGTGTCGGGGAAACACAGAGCAAAAGATCATAGGCACAGTCAAAGAGGTAAATTTAAGGTGGGACCCGAAGACCAATATAGGGGATGAAACAGAAGGGTAGAATGAGATAAGGTTAGGGGGTGTAGAATGAGAAAGCCCAGCTACAGATAAAATACAGCAGGTACATGTAGCAAGTCTGAGTTCATCAAGTGGAGGGGATGAGCAGAGGAGTGGGTAGGAAGAGATTGGAGAGACAGGGTGGTGTAAAGACATGTAGTATTTGTAGGTGAGCATCTTGAAATCCTCAGACCAGGGAGCCGATGAAACCTGACAAGAAGTAGGTTAATAGACATGCAGTTTTGAATAAATTGAAGTTCATGGATGGTGAAGCTAGGGAGACGAGCAAGGAATGCATTTTAAAAGGCCAGATGAGAAGTAATAAAGGCATGGATAATGTTTTCAGCCACATTCAGAATGAGGTAGGAACAGAAGTGATAATGTGGCAGAAGTGAAGAAAAGTAGTCTTAGTCCAAGAACCAATGTAAGAAAAGGAGAGCTAAGAACTGAACTAGACTCAGAAGTTGGACACTGGTTCAGTGAGTTTAAGAGAGCCTGATGAGGTTGAGGTGTCAGAGCCAGAAATGAGGGGACATTGGCAGGCGCCAAGATAGAAGGCTTCAGTCTTGGCCATTTGAATAAGGGGTGAGGGCAAACTTTGTGGATTAAGAGTCATTGGCTTCAGTGGAGGAGTTAGCACCAGCATAGGCTTGAAGGGCTCAATGGCCTTCCTTCTGTACTGTAATTTTTATGATCCTATTCTATGATTCTTGTGCAGAAAAACAATGTGGAAATAGACAAACTCTTAACACAGTGTGACCAGCACCCTCTACAACTTTGTACAATTAAAACACACTTACAAAAATGCACACACACATCTTACAATTACCAATTCATAATACCATCTAACTTGGGCTAACTTTGAAATCCATACAATTAAAAAATAATTTCCAAATAGGAAACTAAATCATCTAGATAATTAACTTTGATCAATTAGTAGAGTAGAATTTCATTATTGGATTAAATGTTGTCACGTTCATTGCACCTGGGCAACATTTAAGATATTAGTGAACAAAATAGTCTGACATTGTAAAACTTGTCTCATTTGTAGAGACCACTTAAATGCAAGTCAAATAAATTAGTGTTTCAATAAATTTATACACGACCAGTCCCAAAAAGGCTCATTAGATTCTATCCAAGAGAATTACTCAAGAGTATTAATTTCCTATTCTGCATTTCACAACTTCCTGGCTTGGGTTGCAAGCCTTTTTGGCTTGAGTTGCACTTTTACCCTTGTTGGACTGTAGTTATTGTTCGCTGTAGTTGTTGTTCCAGGGTTGCTTCATAATCAAAATTCACTTTCAATACTCAAGGGAAAATAAGTTTATTTCTGGTCAATAGTGTTTTCTTCAATTAACTTTGCAGTTTCTTCTGGGATTTCTTCTTCATCACTTTTCAAGAAAAGCAAAGGAAACATTCCAAGGCAGCAGCCTATAGTCACACCGATAACCTTGCCCTGGGAACATAAAAGGTTAAAAGAAACATTTTTAAAAAGTTACGTTATTCATTTGAACATCTAATTTTAAAAGAAAATTTCAGCTTGCTGTTGAGGACATAAATCAAATGAAGACCTGAATTTATTTAAGGATCTTGCAGTGTTTGGGGAGTAGCACACAGTACTGTTACCATTGTAACTTGATCCCACTCAACCCAATACCTACCTACCTATTTTGGTCGAAGTCCATATTATCATTAAGCTATGATAGAAAGAGGAAGACTCATCTCTTGAGTCCCAATGAAGAAACAATATTTCACATTTTAGTACAAGAATGAGCATGTAACTGATAATATTTATTACTAAATGATTCTTCTTTAAATAGCTAGTTTGTTCCTTGAAAAGGAGCCGTAGGAAAGGAGGCAAGTGCACCTGAAAAAAAATGAAACACTCACCAGTTGCGAACTAACCCGAGTCTGCCACATGTCAGCTTGTTTTGGTGATAGATCAGGACATGGCAGCCCTAGTCTATATGCAAGGGCCTCGACATATCCTGCAAGACTAATAGCAAAAGAAGTTCTCAAACCAGTTGCCTACATTTGAGGCAATTTTTTAAAACTGGTATATACTCCAAAACACAAGTTATTAATAAAACTCCATCAAAGCCAACATGATTGTTTTACACTTCTACTAACTCTGCCTTCTCCCTTAAAATTGGAGGAAATGCTGTAATCATAGAATCATACAGCCCACCAATCTTGTGCCGGCTCTTGAAAGAGCTATTCAAATTAATCCCACTTCCCCACGATCTCCTCGTAGTCCTGCAAACTTCTCTCTAGAAAGTCATCATCGAATCGGCTTCCACCACCCTTTCAGGCAATGCATTCCAGATCCGAAAATTTGCTGTGTGAAAAAAATTTCTCCTCATCTCCCCTTTGTTTTTTTTGACAACTATTTAAAATCTGGGTCCTATGGGTTAATGCCCCACCCGCCAGTGCTAACAGTTTCTCCTTGTTCACTCTTTCAAATCCCTGATAATTTTGAACATCTCTATTAAATCTCCCCGTAACCTTCTATGCTCCAGGGGGGTGGGGGAGAAAACAATCATAGCTTCTCTAGTCTCTCCACAAAACTCAAGTCCTTCATTCCTGGTAAATCTCCTTTGCACCCTCACCAAGGCCTTGACATCCTTCCTAAAGTATGGCACCCAGAATTGAACACAGTACTCTAGCTGAGGGCTAACCAATGTTTTATAAAGGTTCATCATAACCTCTTTATTTTTGTATTCTATGCCCCTATTTATAAAGGCAAGGATCCTGTAAGCTTTTTTTTAAACAGCTTCCTATCTACCTCTCCAGCCACCTTCAAAGATTTGCTTATGTGAACTCCCAGGTCTCTCTGCTCCTCCACCCCCTTTAAGATAAGTTAATACTGATCTGAACCAGCATTCACAACTCCATTCTAGGACAAAAAAAGTAATAATCCCTAATTGGTCTTCATGCCAAAAGCATCACAGAGACCTCTGCATCAGAGCTGCTTCACTGACAATTTCCTCCCGAGAATCCAATCATGTTCTTTGCTGATTATAATGGATTCTTTTAATTGTTAACCATAAGGGAAATGAGCCAAAGTCATCAGTGGACATTTTCTTATGCATCTCTTACTATTAGGTTAAACAGCAGTGGAGGTTTGATCACAGATCAATTCCAAACACACATAAAATAGAATTTCATACTGGTATATGGGGTGGGGGGATGGGGAGAAGTAGAGGGGCAAAGGAGTCTAAATACAAATACTATAAACAAAATTTCTATGGATTTGATACCAAAGTGTGTGGGGGGGGGGGGGGGGGGGGAGTGGAGTGCGTGAATGGTACAACACTACACTTAGAAATAAATCTGAGTGTTCAACACCAATGCCTAATGCTATCAACCAAGCAACCAGCAGAAGCACACACTTACCCCAGGCCAGCAACATCAGACACAAGGTTCCCCAGTGCTGCAGCTGATTGGTTAAGAAGACAAAAAACAATTGAAGTGATAGGTTTGAGCCTGTCTTTTGCAATTATGTTCACATCATACTTCTCAAGTATTTGCCTGGACTAGTATTACATCTTCATATTTGAAAATATTTTGAAAATTCAGAACCATCACCAGGGAGTTGGAAAGACGGCCCAGTTTATTAAGACAATGCATTCCATCTGTAAAAATACTTGTTAAATGGCTTTGAAGGTACTGTAGAATTTACTAACTTACAATTAGGTTACACACAGTATCCATCACAAAGTTTAAAAAAATAAACACAAAAGTACCACATTCAGTCAGATCCAACTTCACTGGGTTGTGTAAGTCAAAGTACAATGAGGACATATATACTCGTCTATATACACAACAAAAGGATGCTTCAGCTGTAGAAAATGTCTTCAGATACACACCACCATCAACTGCAGAAAATAGGGCTATTTCCTCAAACTCGGTTCCAAGACCCTCTTCACTGTCCTCACTCCAAATCATGTGTTGCCCATGTATTACACAGCTATATTACAGTTGATGCTCTGTGGCAATTGCTTCATCCCAACTGCATGAACTGTGGCAAGGCTTGTGAAACCAAACTCTAGCAGCAAATGAATTAAACCTAATGTTATGACATTTGAAAGTGAGCCCCAAAATCATGAGGCATGAAGGGGGAAAAACAAACAGGAAACAACATGTTTTTTGGGGGTGGTCAGCCAGGTGTCTGACACATGCAGAAACCCATCACCATGCTTAATAGTATCCAAACCAAGTTGGGAATTCCATGCATCCCACCTACACAAGGAAATTCCAGAGATAGACTGTTGGGATAGAATGTACACACACTGCCTGGACAAAAACATCCTGTTTGCCTAAGTATGTATCAAAGGTTGGTAAAAGCCAAGACTTGGGGACCCCAGAGTTGGAGTATTGCTGGAGTCTAACCAGCTAAAACCAATCGCTTGCCATTGATATCCCCTGTTCTGGCAAGTGTTCCCACTGCTTGTCCAGTTAGGACCACGCTACTAGTTAGGGATTTGGCTTGCAGGGTTAACAGGAGATGAGTGGGATTCTCTTCCAGTTCCTGTTGATGAGCCAGGCTGGTTGTGCTGTCATCAGCAGTGCCCTGGAATACTGCAGACCAGCCTGGCTCAGGAACTGGACTACCGAGACCGTCACTGAGGGCTGGCTCGATTTTGATATTCTGTTGCCAAGCATGTCACGTTGGGGCCAGTTCAGCTCCAACAGCATGTATAAACGGTAGGTGGCTCATGAAGAACTGAACCACTCCTGTCCTGAGCCATGTCAAAAGCCTCAGAGCCTTTTAATGGGGGATAAGGACATGGCAGAGTCCCTAAATGGGTACTTTGCATCTGTCTTCACCCTAGAAGACACAACAAGTCTGCCAACAATAGAGATGAATCAAGGGGATAAGGACAGGGAGCAACTTAGGGAAATTCTCATTAGTAGAGAATTGCTACTAGGGAAACTGTTAGCACTAAAAAGTGACAAATCTCCTGGTCCGGATGGCTTGCATCCCAGGGTTTTAAAAGAGGTAGTTTATGAGATAGTGGAGGCCTTGTGTCTGATCTTCCAAAATTCCTTGGATTCTGGAACAGTCCCCATGGATTGGAAGATCGCAAATGTCACACTACTATTTAAAAAAGGTGGAAAGGAAAAGATGGAGAACTATAGGCCAGTTAGTCTCACATCAGTGATAGGAAAAATTTTAGAATCGTTGATTAAGGATGTGGTAGTGCGGTATTTAGAGGAGCACAATATAATTAGGCCAAGTCAACATGGCTTTACAAAAGGGAAGTCATGTTTGACAAATCTCATAGAGTTTTTTGAGGATATTTCCAGTAAACTAGATAAGGGTGAATCAGTGGATGTGGTCTATTTGGACTTCCAGAAGGCATTCGATAAGGTGCCACATAAAAGGTTAGTCCAAAAGATAGGGGCCCATGGAATTGGGGGGAGCATATTAACGTGGATTGGGGAATGGTTAACGGGTAGGAAACAAAGAGTAGGGATAAACGGGTCCTTTTCAGATTGGCGGGATGTGACTAGTGGAGTGCCACAAGGATCAGTCCTTGGGCCTCAGCTATTTACCATCTACATCAACGATCTAGATGAGGACATCAAAGTTAATATATCTAAATTCGCGGATGACACAAAACTAGGAGGAAGTGTCAACACAGAGGATGACATTAAAAAAAAATGCAGCACGACATAGATAGGTTAGGTGATTGGGCAGGTAGGTGGCAGATGAAGTATAATGTAGGGAAGTGCGAAGTCATCCACCTAGGTAGCAAAAACAGTAGAGCGAGTTATTTTTTAGAAGGGGAGAGATTGGAATGTGTTAGCGTCCAGAGGGACTTGGGTGTCCTTGTACACCAATCACAGAAAGTTAGTCTGCAGGTGCAGAAGCAATTAGGAAGGCGAACGGTATGTTAGCATTCATTATGAAAGGATTAGAGTATAAGAGTAGGGAAGTCTTGCTGCAACTGTATAGGGCCCTGGTGAGACCACACCTGGAATACTGTGTGCAGTTTTGGTCTCCTTATTTAAGGAAGGATGTACTTGCCTTGGAGGGGTGCAGCCTAGATTTACTAGGTTAGTACCAGGGATGAAGGGGATGAGTTACGAGGATAGGCTGACCAATTTGGGCCTATATTCTCTAGAATATAGAAGAATTAGAGGGGATCTTATAGAAACCTATAAGATCATCAAAGGGCATGATAGAGTAGATAGTGGGAGATTGTTTCCCCTGGTTGGAGAAACTAAAACCAGGGGTCACAACCTTAAAATCAGAGGCCAGCCCTTTCACACTGAGTTGAGGAAGAACTTCTTCACTCAAAGGGTGGTGAATGTATGGAACTCACTACCCCAAAGGGCTGTTGACGCTCAGTCCTTGAACATATTCAAGACTGAGATAGATATATTTCTTATTGCAAAAGGGATTAAGGGATATGGGGATAAAGCAGGTTTATGGTATTAGCTGGAGTTAGATTAGAAGATCAGCCATGATTGAATGGCAGGGCAGGCTCGAAGGGCCGAATGGCCTATTCCTGCTCCTACATGTTATACTATATAGGCAGTTCACAGGATACAAAACCCTCAGTGTAAATTGCATCCGCTTGCTCTCAAATCTCAATTATAATTGACTGTGCAAAATGTTTTATTCAGCAGCACGTGAGCACTTATTCACCCATTTGTTCCCGTTTAATGTTCACTGGATCATGAACTTATGGATCTATTTCAAATGTCTGATTAAACAATAATTAGAAATGGTTGGGACAATGTGGATCAGCAGTAAAACATTTTTAATAGTGATTAACAATTTACAGCTGAAGTATACTAAAAAATCCTGACTCATTAAAAAAATGCTACTCATTGCTAATCCATTTATTAAAACAATTAAATCATTTAAACCTTTCCTTGCCAATTTCTTCCCTCTGAAGCTGCTTTCAAGTCTTCCTTTTACAGGGGTGCGATCCTATGCTTCCTGGTCACCCTCTCCTATCTCATTAAATGTCTAGCCTTCATATAGTAGTCTTGACAGTGAATGTTGATAGGATGTTGATGGAAGGGGGGTGACAGAGGAGTTGCAGACAAGCCAGATCCTAGTTCAATGAATACCAATACTAAAAAGTGCAATCTCCACCAGTAGTCACTGGACAGCAAAAAAAAAAAAAAACAACTGGAATCCTGGCTGAATTTTCCTTCCCTGACCGGGGGAAACAGAGGCCAATTGTCACTTCATTTGAGATCAACCAACTTAGCTCACCCTTTCTTTGTTTGTATGACTTAGTTTTTCCATTAGATAAAACTTTCTAAGCTATTGAGAAGAGAAATAAATCTTTAAGTGTTTTTTAATAAAGTTGTGCCAAAAATATGCAATGGAAAATTATATGAAGTCAGTGTCCATGACTAAACTTTGCATGGCTTAGCTCAGGAAATTCTTGCCTACATACTCATCCTATTAAAAACTGGATCCAAAAATTGTAAAGCCCTACGGGCCTGAAATTCCACCTAGTTTTAGCCTGCAAGACCATTTTCTTAAAAAATTTAAGCTTATAAAAAATAGTAAATTCTTAAGTGCAGTCTTAATTTTGCCTACAAATAGTCACAAGCCTGTACAGTAAACGGTGTGAACTTTTCAATGTTTAATTTGGAATTGATTTTCCAGTGGGTTTTTTTAAATAAAGGCTTCCAATATAAAGAATGATTAAGAATTTTCAATCATTCTGCACGATGTTAAATTCTGGAATCCAGAAGGGAGTGAAGGGAGACGTGTGACCGGAGTTGATTTGCAACACGTTCCAGAATTTTAGCAAGAAAAGGCTAGTTAGAAATAAGTCGGCAGTTTGTAAGATTAGAGGGATCATGAGTGTTTTGGAGAGGAAAATAATGGCAGCAGTTTTGAGGGGGAGTGGGACGGAGCCAGAAGAGAGGGACTGGTTAACTGTATCAACTAGCAGTGAGCAGAGGAGGAGGAGTCCAGTGACCAACAGCCAGGAGGGGAGGAGCGGGTGGGGGTTGAGGCAGCAGGTTTCATATGAGTGATGATGGTTGAGAAGTAGGAAGTAGATGGGGGGAAAAAGGCATGTAGAAATGAAAGAAGAGTGTTTGGTGCTGAGCTGGTTCCAAGGTGACATGCCTGGCAAGGAAATATTGGAATAACATCAATCCTGTGCTGTAGTCCCATAGTCTGGTACCTGAACCAGCAGAATTTAGGATTAGCAGACCAGCCACTGGGAACTGGAATTTTCTCATTCAGCTCCTCTAAATCCCACAATCCAAAACTCAAATGGATAGTTATTCATCTGCAATCATACCTGCCATGGTAGAAATTCCAAAGATAACTCCAATGGACAGCTCAATCTGTGTCCCCTGCGAAAAGAAAAACATAATTTCAGATTATAAGCATTTGAAGTGTTATTGTGTAAATTCAACAGTCATTAAAATGAAAATGCCTCCAAGTGCAGTACAACATAAAAAGTATGGAACAAGAAAAGGTCATTCCACCCACAAAGTCTGATGCATCTGCAGATCAGATTGTACATGATCTATCCCATTGCGAACTCTACCACATCCAGACAATTTCCTGAGGCAAATGTTCTGCATGAAGACACCAAGGTACTCAAAGCTCGTCAAGCCCAACACAACATTCACTCACTTATTAAACACTTCCATTTAAGATTAGAATCTTATGAGCAATAAAAGCAATACTTACTGCAACAATCATTATAGCGTTGTCCAAAAAGCCAAATCCTACAAAAGGTATTGCACTGTGAAGAAACACTGCAAGATGAGAAAAAGATGGAAAGTTGATGATACTCAATGACAAATCGACACAAAATTTTACAATCAAAATCATTGCACCAGATACTTAAAATTCTACACTATTAACTTACCTATAGAGTATTTGCTAATTCAGTTTTAATTGAAAACTACCTAGCTGAATCCATAATGCTTTAATGTACACTATTCTTAACGTATGAAATATTCCCCAGATATCATGATTATTCACATAGCAGGAAGACATGCAAGATAACCTGGGGGATTCAGAATACAATCATATTCAAAATAAACCATCTATATTTGAGTCTCTTCGAGTCTTATTTGTCTTTGAGAAACTGAAATCTCGTCTATTCAGGTAGATATCAAAGGTTTCACAGAATTATTCAAAAGAAGGAAGTTTCTCCAGGTGTCCTAGAGAAAAATGCGAGATTAATCTGTCATTTACCTTGGGGAAATGGCTGCCAGGAGACATAGTGCAAGCGAGGAGATATTTTCTGGTCAAAGCACCTTACGTTTGAAGCTTTTTAATTATATTCCAATTACAGAATTCCCACTAGAATTTTTCTGGCAAGCTGCAAAATATCATGTCAGCTCAGTTTTGCAATTCACCAGCTTCCCCAATGAACAAGCTACCAACCTTCACCATGACATTGACAGTGGATGTGAGGCAGTTCCACCTATGTGTGTGGCAGGGCAAAGGAAAGAGAAGGGAAGAACAACCTTCATTTATATAGTACCATTCATGTGGGGTACCATCTCAGAGTGCTGAAAGAAGGCAAAGACTTGCAGCTGATTATAAATTGGCACTGACTGAGACTATCTGCTTGAAACCTGGTTTGGAAATGATGGTGCTAAGCAGTTTAGTAATTGGGAACGAGCTCACCAAATGTAGTAAATGTAGATACTGCATTTCTCTTGATCAGTTTCAAAGTGTAATTAAATCAAAGCTGGAGTAAGAAATCCTCCTAATTATAAATAAGCTTTTGGTGAATTGCTTTGATTCACAGGATATTTTGCATTCATTATTGCACTACAGAGTAGAACAGGAATTGACTTAGTTTCAACACTGTAGAACACGACTAACCAATGCAGTCAAACTAAGGGGTACAGAGTACTAGGACAGCTTTCTCAGTAAATAAAGATTTTGTACCATATCGTCTCTGGGCTGATGATGGAGGCTTAATTTCCATTGTTTCTGCAGAAAAGAAAAAGAACTGGTTGGAACAAACTGAAAAAAATACATTTTTTCTCAGTACTTAAAACACCCTTTGTGCATCTAAACATTACATTCAAAATAAATTATACAAATAAATCACACTTTTACAAAGCCCATATTAAGCATTGACGGAACTGAAAATTACATAAGCTGTCGATCATTCAACTTTGCTGACGATAAGCCAACCTAAACAAGCCCAGTTTGTAAAGATGCCTAATTTTCAAGGATCAATTCTAAGTCCTTCCTATCTCCACTTGCTGTACTGCACTTTTAATAGGCTATACTTTACTGACTTCTTTTTCTATTTACATTGCTATTCATACACCCTGATCATCTGAACCACAGAGCTCCTCCCTGTACAAGCTTTGTACCATCCAGAACTTCAAAGCTCATGTTCTTGTCCACATGAGCTCCCACCCTTACTTGGCACTATTGGTTCCCTATTCCCAGCACATCCAATTCAAGATGCTCACCCTTCTGTTTAAATCCCTCCATGGCCCCACCACCGCTCATCAACTTCCTGCAACCCTAATAACTTCCCTCAGCAAACACCCGTCAACTTCATATGCCCAGACTCACCCGCCCCATCATCAGTGGGCAATCAATTTCAGCCGATCCTCCCCCAATCTCCAGAACTCCATCCTCTGTCCCTCTGCCTCACCCTATATTTAGAGGCTGACGCTGCTGCCTTAAGACCTCTTTGACTGTGTGTTTGGTTACTTTTTTTTAAAAAAAGACAGTATTGTTATGCACTTTGGGATGTCCTCCTGATATGAAATGCACTATACAAGTGTAAATTTGTATTGTATATTTCAGTGTACTGTCCTTCCCCCCAAAAAACCCTTTTCAACTCCTGCGCAGTTTCCCAGTTGACTTTGTGAAGCTCTTTGAAGACATCTTTTTGTATCATGATAGCCACTATACAAATGTAAAATCGTTGTAAACAAAATTGTTGTGTTATACTGAAAGGAAAATTCTGTTCCCCCCACTCTGTCTGCCCACTGAGTAAGAGTTGTTCAAACTGCACAATTCCTTTCAGCAGTTTAGTCACACAAAGTTCCAATGTACGGGGCGAAGAAATCCAAGGCTCAAATATATTTACTATATAACTGAGTGGTAATACTTGCGCTTAATGATTGTTTATCTGAGCTCACAAATCAATGATAATATAAGCAGCAACTGGAAAAAATCATGCCAAGTTAATACTTCCATTGAAACTAGCTTTACCAATTTAAAACAGTACTTGACTTACAATTCAAATATATTGTAATTCATTTGCCAGCTTGCTGATCTTGATATAGTACACCGTAATGTAATAATGATTCAGATTTTTTCAGCATACAATGCAAAATAAGATTATTATAATCAGACATCATCATCTCACAGTGCTGCAGTGGAAATGTGTTGGGAGGAAAGTCGCAGTGCCAAAAAAAATCAGACTGAGAAACCCCTCACTGCTTTTGTGTATACTAGAATGATAGTATAATAAACCTTGCTTTTGATGCATAATGGTTAAGATATTTCTATTCAAATGCAAAGATTCAGGCTCATAATACAACAACGAAACGCACAGACGCATAGGATGTGGGTCTATGTTCGCCCACAAAATATACAGTCAATTCACTTTACAGTATATTCTGTGAAACACTTTTGAGACATCTAGAAGACGTGAAAAACACTATATCAAATCCAAGGATTTTTTTTTAATATATGTTCATTATCCACAAGAGAGGTCCAGTTAGTCATGCCATTAGTCTAGTCAGCAGGCTGAAGTCAGACATCATACAAGACACCTCTCAGGCATTTCGCAGCAGCATTGTGTAAACTTCAACAACCTCAAACATTTTAAGATGTCATGTGGTAGCACCACACAAACCGAATAACCCAACAGCAACACCTATTCCAACAAACAAGTCGCACTCACATCCCTGCCTCAACTCGCACACAGAGACCTCAGGTCTAGAATCAATTAGCTTATTTCTAGCACCGGTCTCCCCTTCTATTAAAATTATCAATTTGACCACACTTCAAATGGGGCATTCTTCATCAGCGGATTTCTTTAAAAGAAAGCCCAATTGCCTGAACATTTTATGTTTTTGTTCTTTTGTCTCTGGGTTTATTTCTGAGAATTGTTGAAAAGGCAAGTCCCATAATATCAAACACTAATCTCAAAGGATTTTTCTAGATTCAAATGGGAGCTAAAATAGCATCATCCATTACTCAGCATGCATGCAATTGCCTCATATCGTTGAGGTCAGCGGGTACTAGCTTGACATCATCAACATTCACAGCTTTAAATTCTATCCACTGAATCCCTTCCTCTTCTACATATTTTGAGCAAGTTTCCTCTGATCAGATTTTGCCTGCAATCTCTTCCCTTCTTCCATTTAAAACAAAACACTGCAGCAGAGGGAAATCTTGGCCAAGAATTCTATGGCATAATAGACAAAACAGGAACAACTGACGTGCTGCTGCTGAATTTGGTGGCATGTACTCTGTAAATAAGGTTAGGCTTTTATGGGTAAGAGATTAAAGAAGTCTGAGGAGATAGCAATAAAGGAGAATCAAAGGGACACCTTGAGTTTAGAAGCTTTCAGACTGTAATTATATCTATTACTCATAATCATTTGAAAATGTAATATTTTACACGGATTTTTAAAACATGGGTGTGTCAATTATTTTTCAAACTTTTCTCCCCATGCACAGGTGCCTCTGATCCCTCCTCAGGCGCCTCATGCTAAAGTGCGGTCGCCTTCTGGTACCCTACCCTAATGGTCACTGTTCATGTGTCAACAGAAAACTAGGTTATAGAAATTGCTTCCGACCCTGTCCAATTCCAGCCAGGCTGCCACACACGTGCATTACCATTAGCGGGCGATGAAAATGTCATCAAATTTCCCAGTGTGCTAAGTAGAACCTGTAAGATGGGGGGCAGAAGGATCAGACCAGCATCGAATAATTCAGATTACAGTGCTCTCAACCTGTCCACCTTCAACGTTCCAGTAGCAGGAGTGCTACTTCATATCGACATTTACTTTTGAACAAACAGAACTTTTGTTCTGCCACTTTGAAATTGTTTACATGGTTTTGGCTTTGGGAAGTTTTTTCAGCCCATTCAGATTCAATCTGCAGCAGCAAAGGTATCAGTCATCTTCTTTCCGAGGAAGGAGAGCCGAGACCAAACAACAATCCATGTATTTTTTCGACCCTTTGTAATTCACGCCACAGTTAAATGGATTTTGATAGTACTGGGGCTGGGATATGTAATTCAGACAGAGGTGCTAGCCAAGGTTGTGAAATGCTGTCAGCTTGTTCCAGGGGGCAAGCAGATATAATACAATTTCAAACCCCAGGAGATTATTGAACACCAACAGCTGTGCATTAATACAGAATCAATATGAAAATCTGGTCAAAGCAGCACATCGAGACCTAAAATTTTACTTTGCACAACTGAACACTTATATATAGCTGGTACAAGAGACCTTTAAACTTTGCAGTTTCAAAGGATACTTAAGCCTCCATCTTCATAGTTGTCCATAGTACTGGGATACAGAGCACACAGCCTGACAGCAAGTGTTAGAAAGATGAATGCTAGTTCTAAGCTCCACCCTGAATGTTTCAGTGGCCAAAGAAACGAATCTGGGACAAAAGATTTAAGATCATGAATTAGAATCATTCAAATATTTTTTTCCCGTTAATTAGTATCATACCTAGGCCACTGGATATATTGCCCTAACCCGGTACCAGAATACCAGTATGATAGGATTACAATCAGAAGAATATTAATCATTCAAACAGAGACTAAAGTAGAATGAATCGAAAAACTAATGAGACAATCTGGCTGAGGAGTCACTGGGCAGCAGCTAACAATAGGGTTTGACTCAGTAATTATACTTTACAATTATTTTTTCATTCTGTTCTCCTACAATGTATTGCAAGAGCACTATTCATTTAGCAAACGGATGGTCTGCTTGGCTCAATGGAACGCCTGCACTATTGGAACAGTCTTAAACCCGGGGTTTAAAAATAACTCCCTTCCAAATTAACTAAATTTAAGAATTTTCCACAAACCTGGGCTTCCTTAAATAGTTAGATAATATTTGGCTAAGATTAGGTAGAATTTTGAGACAAAAAAATCATGTGTTTCCCTCTAAAATCGTACCCAGACTATTATTCAATAGATTAAATGCTAGTCTCTCTCTCCCTGTAACATTCAGTACTAGGTTGTCAAAATGTCAGGGGTTGATGTTTTCAGCCAAAAAGAAATCGAGTTGCTGCAATGAATTCAAAGAGCTAGGATGTTTGTGCTTCAACAACATTGTCATATTACACATTTGGCTGGATGTAAAATGCACACACATACACAATAAAATTCTCCAGCAGCCGGGGGGAAGATGACGAGAGAAAGAGAAGCATCATGTATGGGGCTTTTTTTCTTTGGAGCTGAGAAGGCTGGGAGGATGATAGAGGTGCATAAGATGATAGGGTGGACAGGGAAAGATAATTTTTGGTCGTCAGGGATTATAGAACTGGAGGGCATGGTTTTAAAATCAGAACTGGGAGGTGCAGAAAAGAGATTAGGAAAATATTTTCCACACCGAGTGGTAGGAGTTGGGACAGTAACCATGTGCACTTCAAAAAAAAGGCTGGACACATGGTTAGGAAAATAAAACTGTGGGATATGGATATAATAGGATAATGAACAAAGGACAGGATCTAGGCATGATTCTATCACCCAAGCCTCAATAAAATTATTAATGAATTGTACATGTCAGTAGACCTCTGAAAAAAGGAAAATTCCTTCCAACCTCTTCCCAATTCTTCTGCGAATTTTCATGCCCCTCTCAACTTAGAGAAGGGAGTTTTTCCCCCAGTGTCCTAGCGAACAATCTCCACCCCAAATTAAACATGGCTGCTTGTGGAGCACTGCTCTGTGCAAATGAGCTGCCGTATTCTCCTACAGATAGGGTCACTCTACAGTAAAATCCTGTAAAGTGCTTTGAGAAGAAAGCCATTATACCAAATGCAATGATTGTTATCAATAGCCTCCACTGTTCTCATAGTACAGAGATTTGAGCCATCTTCTCTACCTATGTATATTGTCTCATATCTCCCACCATCCTCATTGTGAGTCAGTACTGCAGTGGCATCATGTTTGTAATAGGGCGCCCAGAACACAATATTCCAACGCTGATGAACCAATGTCCTATACAATTCCAACACATCTGCCCCACTTTTATATTCAATATCCTACTTATATTCCAATTTGTCATCTTGGTTGTTTTATGTACCTGCTGTCCCTTTTCAAAACCAACTAGCACCCGTCACGTGGGGTAGTGCCTCACAGCATTTCCGGTGATCAATGTACTTGTGTGCTCCAAATATCTCCACTCCGTTACCATTTCTAATCTTTAGGCTATAACTCAACTCGGTACTGTTTTTCCCAAATTGCAATACTTCATTTTTAATCAGTTAATCTACATTTGCACTTGTCCAACCATTTCTCTAGTCTCTCAATTTTTTTTCCAGAAATTGTATACAATTATGCGCTATTTGCAAATCCACCCAATTTCACATCAGCAAGCATTGATGCACCCCCTACCCCCTCCACACACACACACACACCCCAAACCCAAGTTAAGTGTTCCACTATCCTAACAATACTTTCTTGACCTTGTTCATTTTCCATGAATAAACAAACCTCTCTGTTTTGTTGATGAACATTTACCTTACTTGGAAAACTGAAGTGTGCATAATAATTACTCTTATTGGCCTCCTTTAAATGCCTGTGTGCAGCTCTTCAATTTCTTTGGAATTATCTACACTAAACTCAACAACATTGACGCCAAACTGTTTTCATCTTGTTTCTCTCCCGATTGACAGTCTGAATAATCTCCTCCAATAGATTCTCTCTCCGGCTGCTTTGGACTCCAATCAATATTGCTATCCCACCTCTATTCTTATCTCCAACTGTTCTAAATTCTATATCTAGTCCTATCACTCCAGTGCATGAATTGCTTCTATCAAGGCTATTTCAGGATATTTTTCCACAGCAATCATTTGTAGCCAATAGGGAAAAGGAAGTAGCGCATTTGTCTTCCAAATCCAAATTTTCTAATAATCTCATCTGTAACCTGATACTTTGGTTTGGGCTAGCAGCATCTTGCTCCTCTTATTCTGAGGTTTTCCCTGAGGAATTAACGGGAAGAGGGGTGGAGCATGCAATGTGGGTAAACCAAGGAGCTTCAGACAGGATTTTTGAACAACTGTTCCACATGCAACAGCTGGTATTCCCTGTAAAGCACAACACCATGCCAACCAAGTGAAATCCAGCACTGCGCAGGACGTTTAACAAAAAATATAGAAATATTAAGCAATATGACCACAATTAACATGCCAAAACACAACAGAAACCTAACAAGCATGGTTGTGGTTAAAACGTGGCACTAAAATACAGCCCATACCACCTGCTGCGGCCAGATCTCTCCACGTCCTGCTTACTGGAATCTGTGTTCTGGAGTAGCGGTGTCCAGGGGATGCTATAATTCAAATACAAGTCCAACATCTGTTAGCATCCGCAATAAATGCACTTGTCACGGGCAAAGAAAACAGCCAGATATAGATAGCATCATTGGCATGCTGCAATAAAATCATAATCTTTGATGGACTTACAAAAAGGTCTTTTTAAAAAAAGCATTGTAGCGTTACAATATTAATGAACATTGCTCCTTATGGAATTATAAATGCTGCTTCGTATAGCTCACATCAGTACTAAGAGACTGACTGAGCAAGGCAAGGATTGCTAGAACCAATATTTTTCTCAGGCAAGTTCATCCTATTATTTCGCAGGAATAAATCATTTGCCATCCAGAAATAGGCCAAGGAACTCAGTGATTAATGTCCTATTCTAGAGACAACAGGAACTCACACGTAAAAACAAGTCACAAGTTTAATCTTTTACCGCTCTAAGAGGAAAACAAAACCACACATTTACACTGGCACTGCAGATATCCTATATTTATCTTACAATCTCTTCCCAGAGAAGGAAACTAAAGTGATCTAATTCCATTCTTCTCCTCATTGTCTCAAACTGGTGGATCCATGGAAATAGAAAGATAGCCATATAATGGGAAAAGGGGGAAGAAGAGAACTATTGAGTAATCTTGATTTGTGGGTCAAAATAGCTATTCTTTTGTGCATTTGGGTAAATGATTTTTACAGTAATTACTGTCAAGTGTAGGATTTTTGCAAACAAATGTGGCATGGATTGATCTCACATCAGCTGCAGGATTGATCCCAAAACCTTTTGATACATGGGCAAGAATGTTACCAATGGAGCCAGACCGATTAGACGATTGCTGTGGGAATAATAATAATAATAATCCTCGCATTTGATACAGCGCTTTTCACGTCGGGAGGACGTCCCAAAGCGCTTCACAGAACACACTGTAAAGTGAATTGACTGTATATTTGTGGGCGAACGCGGCAGCCAATTGCGCACAGCAATGTCCCACAAACAGTCGTAGATTGAAAATGACCAATTTATTATTGTTTTTGGTTTTGGAGGGATTATTATTAGGCTCTGTGTGGAGTAAGGAAGCTTGCCCAAGGTTTCGCCCAGGGGAAGGGGGATAAGAGGGGAGAGTTATGGCATGTCTTAAATAATTTAAACCAGGATAACATTGAAAAAGCTTGGAATGTGAGACATAACCCAATTGGGCATCATTTTCCCCAGTAACCCAGTTTAGCTGCAAATACCTCCCTTTGAGGTATGGCAATTGTTTCAACTTTTCGAATCTCTACTGGAATCAAAAACACAAGTTTGACAACTCCAGCTCTGAAATGTCAATGACTTAGTATTGTTGTCAAATACAAGCATTATAAAATCATGCAGAAGGAAGTTTGTGAGGCTATAATTTTAAAAGAATGAAAGTTTTTTTTCCAAATATTTTTTCCAAATATTTTTCTGAAAAGTCCACAAAATCACAGACTTCAAAAACAATAAAAAAAATTATTAAGTCTGAAAGTTTTCAAATTCCATCAAACAGCCAGCAAAATGCCTCCACTTTTCTTCTCAACACCAAGAATTTCTTCCTCAAAACAGGTGAAGGGCCTTTGATAGAAATGAAGTGTAGGTGATAGACATCAAGAATGTCGATAGCAAATTGACAATCAACTTTTCAAAATATTGCAGAAACCTTTAAACAAATTTATGAGGCAAGGTTGATCAGGTCATTCACCCCAGTACCCCACTACTGACGAGGTTCTACCGTCTCACTGTCTCCCTGTAGATTGGTTTCAAGTTCCTCAACTATAAATGCCTTCATGCCCGAGCACCTCCCATCTTTCTGATCTCCTCCTAGACAAGGGCGACACCTTGAAATCGATCCGCTGGGACTTCAAAGGCCCGATGTGGGAATTGAACCTACAACCTTTTAATTCAGAGGTGACAGTGCTACCGACTGAGCTAGACTGACAGTACCCACATCCAGCCTTAGTTAAACTTGCATATTGATGCCATGTCCTATTTGCTGGTAATGTAAACATTTTGCATATGGTCTTTCCAAGAGATGAATTCAGCTTTTATGGATGTATAACTTAAAAACTGTTGCCACCTTTCAGCAACGGTTAGCAGGGAGGTGATGAACCTAGAAGTACTTTTTGCTATTCTGATTTTAGTGGTCCTCCACATCTCGCTCAGTTTACGAGAAATCAAAAAAAAAAATCCTTGTAAGATGTTTACATATAAGCTCATGAACCACATTTTTAAAAAAAACTCGTCGGGTTCTGTGGATAGATTACTCACACGTAAAGCTTTGCTAATTGTAATTTGCCTGTGAAAGTTGACAATATTAAACCTACTTAGAAATTAGATCTTAGAAATTCATCCGCATTTCAAAAGGTGCCGAAAAAGTGGTTCAATTCCTTCCCTTTCCCCACCTCCAGTTTAACGCAACCTACAATTAATTGGTACAGCAACAGTTTTGTTTAGATTTACATTACAAAAACAATTTGCAATACGGATCCAATTAGTCTGTATTCACAAGCTTAGTTTGTTGAAGGATTTGCTGCGCAAGTCACTTGTGTTATCAGGGCTTGAAAGTCAGATCAGACACATTTTGTTTTGTTCAAAGTGCCCAGCGCACACCACACAGGTTGGATTATATCCAATCATTGTAGCGGTGATGGTGGGTGAGTGGGGGGATGATGATGAGAATGATCCTGCGTCTGCCATCAAAATTGCTACCGATGTCAGCTTTACAATATAAAATAAGTACAGTTTCTTAGCGGAGTGGAGCAGCAGCTCTTACCACCATTATTCAATAGCCAAGATGTCAACCTACCAATAAAGGCCAGCAACACCATTTTCACATTTTATGTCTTCCTCTTCAGTGGAGAGTCCACAAGCAGAAAGCGTCACAACTTACAGCTCAGATGTACACAGTGGTTTCCTTGTATAGTGGATCAAACCCAGCAACATTAGCAGCTGAATCCACAACTACTGGCAGCTTCCATGGTAGATATGCGAATGTCAGAAATGGAAATCAAAGAAGAAAATGGTGGCTGTGTGGCATTAAGGAATAAAGTCCTGTGGCTGCATTAGTGATGGGTTCCTATCAGATGTTAATTACACTTTGCACACATTTAATATTAATTTTCGGACTTAAAAATGAACGATTGAAATATTGCTAGTCTTTTATCGATTGTATTTCAGATTCAATCCAGCAACTACTGTGATGATAATAATCCTTGCATTTGATATAATGACGTAGCACGTCTTCGAGACGTCTCAAAGGACTTCACAGAATATACTGTAAAGTGAATTGACTGTACATTTTGGGGGCGGCCAATTGTGCACAGCAGTGACTCACAAATAGTCGTGGATTGAAATCGTGCACCAATTTATTATCATTTTTTTTAAAGGAATTATTACCCTGGGAAAAGCGATCTGTTAATCGACTAACAACCGGGTTCCTACTTTCTGTTAGATAAACAGAGGCGTGTGAAGTAAGGAAACTTGCCCAACATTTCGCCTGCCAGGAATCAAACCCATATCTCTCGCTTGCGAAGCGAGTGCTCTAGCCAGTAAACTACAGGACTCCACATTTGTGGTATCATATTTGTAATCAAATGATCGTGTTACTGAATTGCTATATGCTCAGCGATGGTTAAAAATGTAGTTTATGGAACGATAGGGTCGGCTTAATGCTTCTTTTGCGAGTAAAGAGTCATATGTTCAGATGTAAACATCTGAGCTGCTACTTCCCATCTTTTGGGAGGATAGAGTTAAAACCTGGGTTAATATATACAAAACTACTGGCCATGACTTACTGCGAGATAAAATATCAACTTAAGATTTACATAATTAATACCTTTCAGTAAGGACAGCGTCTCAAAGAGCTTTACAGACAGTGATGATCACAAGGTAGGGATGTGGGAAAGTGAAGATGCAACCAAAGCCAATCAAAGATAGTTTTAAGCAGCATTTTGAAGGCAGAGAGAGAGGACTGGGGCCATATTGCCTGAAAGCTCATCAACAGATGTGGCGGGATAGAGGGGGTGAGGGACATGCAGCAAGTGAGAGTTTGATCTTCAGTCAGTGCAGAAATTACCTTTAATAGAGACAAATCCTCTACTGTTACACCACAGTTAAGCTAATTAAATTGATCTGAACCGGACATTATTTGTAGGACAATTTGGAGCCATTCGAATGCATCACTAATAACTACCATAAAAGTGCAGTGCAAAAGCCATTTGCTTGATTTATTGAGATTGTTTCTTGAGATATCCATTACATTCCTGGAGCCCCGTTCTCCCAGGAGTGGGGATAGGTACAAGTCACAGCCAATATGACATTCAGGAATACTAAAAGGCAATAGATTCAGCAAATTAGTGTGGCCTTTGAATAGGAATTTTACTTACATTCCTAAGAAGTGACACGACTGAGTGATCCTTGCAGGCAAGCCAAGTAATAATCCTTGAATTTGATATAGCGCTTTTCACGTTGGGAGGACGTCCCAAAGCGCTTCACAGAATAACTGTAAAGTGAATTGACTGTATATTTGTGGGCAAACGCGGCAGCCAATTGCGCACAGCAATGTCCCACAAACAGTCGTAGATTGAAAATGACCAATTTATTATTGTTTTGCTTTTTGGAGGGATTATTATTAGGCTCTGTGTGGAGTAAGGAAACTTGCCCAAGGTTTCGCCCTGATCTGCCGGGAATTGAACTCAGGTCTCTCGCTTGCAAAGCGAGTGCTCTAATCACTGAGCTACAGGACTCCACTAATGTTAAATGAATCACCATGAACCTGAAATTACTGGGATATTATTTGCAGTACATCCAAGACAAGTTGCCTAATGGTGCAATATCCAATTATTTGTTGGTAAACAAGAAAAATGATCAGGTGCCATGAAAGACGCATTTTAAATTGAGCACAATGCAATGTTGAAAAAAAACAGCCAATTAGTTTTTAAACAGATTTCACATTTAAAGACGATAAAGTTGGTAGGCTCAGGTATTCAGTACCTTACCTCA